AAAAAATATTAAAAATAAAAAGGAAAAGATGTTCTGAAGAAAGGAAAAGGATCTTTGAAAAGGAGGAAAAAATTCTTTTAAAGGAGGGAAAAAATTATTTGAAAAGGAGGAAAAAATAATTTTAAAATAAGGAAAAAAATTCTTTGAAAAAAAGGGAAAAAATTCTATTAAAGGAGGAAAAAATTATTTGAAAATAAAGAAAAAATTCTTTAAAGGAGGAAAAAAATATTTGAAAAAAGGGAAAGGATTTTCAAGAAAAAAGAGATTTTTTGGTGATTTTATGGGGGATTTTTTGGTGATTTTTGTGTGATTTTTTGTGGGGTTTTTTGTGATTTTTTGAGATTTTTTGGTGATTTTTTTTGTGATTTTTTGTGGCTTTTTGTGATTTTTTGTGGGTTTTGTGTGATTTTTTTTGTGGTTTTTGGTGATTTTTTGGTGATTTTTTGTGATTTTTGGTGGTTTTTCTGTGATTTTTTGGTGATTTTTGGTGGTTTTTTGGTGATTTTTCTGTGGGTTTTTTGTGGTTTTTTGGTGATTTTTCTGTGGGTTTTTTGTGTTTTTTTGGTGATTTTTCTGTGGGTTTTTTGTGATTTTTTGGTGATTTTTTGGTGGTTTTTCTGTGATTTTTTTGTGATTTTTTTGTGGTTTTTGTGTCATTTTTTCTGTGATTTTTTTGTGATTTTTTTGTGGTTTTTGTGGTTTTTGGTGATTTTTTGGTGATTTTTTTGGTGATTTTTTGTGGTTTTTGGTGATTTTTCTGGTTCTTTGCTGAGGGATCCGGAGCAAACAAAGGGGCAAAATTTCCTTTTGGGAATTGGGGATTTGATCCCAAAAAAAGAGAAAATTCCTCAAATTCGGCCCCTCCCAAGGGCCTGCAGCTCCCAGGGGGATTTTGTGGAGCCCGGAAGGAAAAATGGAAAATGAAAAATGGAAAAATGGAAAAATGGAAAAATTTGCTTTGCACCCAAGGCCAAGACTGAAAATTTCCTTATTTGGTTTGAAAAAGTTTGGCTTTGGTTCAAAAAAAAAAAAAATTAAAATAAAAATTTAAAAATTTAAATGAAAGTGAAATTTAAAAAAATAAAATTAAATTAAATAAAATTAATTTAGAATAAAATAAAATAAAATTGAATTTAAAATAAAATAAAATTTTAAAAGTAAAATAAATAAAATAAAAATAAAAATAAAAATAAAAATAAAATAAAATAAAAATAAAAATAAAAATAAAAATACCAAAAGTAAAAATAAAAATAAAATAAAAAGGAAATAAAAATAAAAATTAAAATAAAAATTAAAAATAAAAAATAAAATAAAATAAAAATAAAGTAAAATAAATAAAACTAAGAGAAAAATAAAAATAAAATAAAAATAAAATTAAATTAAATAAAAATAAAAATAAAAATAAAAATAAAAATAAAAATAAAAACACCAAAAAATAAATTAAAAAAAATAAAATTTAAAATAAAAATAAAATAAAAATAAAATAAAAATAAAATAAAAAAGAGAAAAATAAAAAATAAAAATAAAAAATTAAAAAATAAAATAAATTAAAAAATTAAAATAAAATAAAATAAAATAAAATAGATAAAAAATAAAAATAAAAATACCAAAATAAAATAAAATAAGATAAAAATAAATTAAAATTAAAATAAAAAATAAAACTAAAGTAAAAAATAAAAATAAAATAAAAATCAAATCAAATAAAAAATAAAAAATAAGAGAAAAATAAAAAATAAAAATGAAATAAAAGTAAAATACAAAATAAAATAAAATTTAAAAAATTAAAACAAAATTAAAATAAAATTTAAAAAATTAAAATAAAAAGAAAATAAAAAGAAAAAGAAAAATAAAAATATTAAAAAAATCCAAAAGGACCAGTGCCAGGGGATCCCCCCCAAACCTCCATCTCCAAAAAGGAAATAAAAATCAACAAAAAATCGAATTTTGGTGCAGAATTCCCTTTTCTATGGGGTGAGGAGCTCGGAAATTCCCAAAATTCCCAAAATTCCCCAAATTCCCCCAATTCCCCAAATTTCTGGAATTTTCTGCTCCTTCCTTTGCCTCCCCCCTTTGGCTCCCACAGCTCCGGGGCAAGGAGGGAAAATTTTGTTTTTTGACGTCGTTCCAGTCACTCAGAAGGGGAAAAATAACAAAAAAACCCCCAAAAGTGCAAAATTCCCAAACACTTCCAACCAGGGTTTGCAAAAGAATGAAAATTTAAATAAAAAATGAGAAAAAAAAACCCCAAAAAATCAAAATAAAGTTGTGAAAAAGGACTCGAAGTGCGTTTGTTTCTTTGGGAAAGGTGGAAATGTTGAATTGGAATTTTTTAAAATGGTTTTTGCGGGGTTTTATTGGGTTTTTTTAAAGTAAATTTTTGTTTTTCTATAAATAATTCGATTTTTTTTAACCAAGCCACCAACACGGAAATGGTCACATAAATCAAAAGGGGAAAAATTGATTTTTAAGAGGTGAGAAATTGGTAAAAAGAGGGGGAAAAACACCCCAAAAAAATCCCCAAAAAAATGAAAATTCAAATAAAAATGAGAAAAAAACCCCAAAAAAATCAAAATAAAGTTGTGAAAAAGGACTCGAAGTGCGTTTGTTTCTTTGGGAAAGGTGGAAATGTTGAATTGGAATTTTTTTTTAAATGGTTTTATTGGTTTTTTTAAAGTAAATTTTTGTTTTTCCATAAATAATTCGATTTTTTTTTAACCAAGCCACCAACACGGAAATGGTCACATAAATCAAAAGGGGAAAAATTGATTTTTAAGAGGTGAGAAATTGGTAAAAAGAGAGGGAAAAACACCCAAAAAAATCCCCAAAAATTCAAAAATCAACAGAATCCCTAAAGTGCCTGGTGGGGGGAGGAGGCTCCAGCGGGGCACCCATTGAATTTTCCCTAAAATTCCCAAAAATTCCCAAAAATTCCCTAAAATTCCCTCAAATTCAGCTGCCAGAGGGATTTTAGTGTGCCAGGTACAGCAGATTTGGGATTTTTCAAGTGTTGTTTTTTGGGGGTTGAGGCGAGGGGAGATTTTCCCACCCTAAATCCCCAAAATCCCCAAAAATTCCCCCAAAATTCCCCCAAAAATTCCCCCAAAATTCCCAAAAAATCCCCAAAAAATTCCCCCAAAATTCCCAAAAAATTCCCCCAAAATTCCCAAAAAATTCCCCAAAAATTCCCCAAATTTCTGGCCAAGAGTTCGGGGTTGTTTTGTGTGATCTCAAGGGGTGGAAATGGGAGGAAAATCCTGGAGGGAGCGAAATGAAAAGGAAAATGAAAATGAAAATTTGTTCCATTGGGAAGGGGAGGAAAAATTTGGGAAGGAAATAAAAAAATTTGGGAAAGAAATAAAAAATTTGGGAAGGAAATATAAAATTTAGGAAGGAAACGGAAAGATCAGGAAGGAAACATTGGGAAGGGAATAAAAAAATTTGGGGATGAAACAAAAAAATTTTGGGGAAGGAAATGTCAGGAATGGAACAAAAAATATTGGGAATTAAACAAATTTAATTAAATTAATTAAAAAATTTTAATTGAATTAATTAAACAAATTTAATTGAATTAATTCAACAAATTTTAATTCCTGGGAATGAAACACCAGGAATGAAACATTGGGAAGGAAACAAAAAATTTGGGAAGGAAATGTTGGGAATGGAACAAAAATATTGGGAAGGAAAGAAAAATATTGGGAATTAAACAATTTTAATTGAATTGAATTAATTCAATAAATTTTAATTCCTGGGAATGAAACACCAGGAATGAAAGGTTAATTAATGAAACAAAAATTGGGAAGGAACACTGGAATGAATATAGATAAGAACAAATTTGGGAAGGAAACATGAAAAATTAAGGGAATTAAACAGTAACACCGGGAATTAAACAAAAATAAAAGGGAATTAAACAGTAACAGAGGGAATTAAACAAAATAAAGGGAATAACAGTAACACAGGGAAGGAAACAAAATGTTGGGAATGAAACAAAAACTTTGGGAAGGAAACAAAAACTGCGGGAGTGAAACAAAGATGCCAGGAGGGAAACAAAAACCTGGCAGGAAATGGCTGCCACCAACCCTGACGGGAAAAATTCAACAGAAGCTGATTTGTGCCAACCTAAATCCTGCCCTTTCCGTGCCAGGGGTGTGCCAGGCCAAATCCTGCCAGCCCAAATCCTGCCCTTTCCGTGCCAGGGGTGTGCCAGGCCAAACCCTGCCAGCCCAAATCCTGCCCCTCCAACCCCTGCCAGACAAAGAAGGTTGGGAGGGCATGGGAGATGTGCCAGCCCAAATTCTGCCCCTTCCAGCTCCTACCCAGTCAGAGAGGGCACAGGGAATGGGACTGGGGATGTGCCAGCCCAAATTCTGCCAGACAGGGAGGTTTGGGAGGGTACCAGGAACGTGCCAGCCCAAATCCTGCCCCTTCCATGCCAGGGAGGTTTGGGAGGGTACCAGGAACGTGCCAGCCCAAATCCTGCCCCTTCCATGCCAGGGAGGTTTGGGAGGGTACCAGGAACGTGCCAGCACAAATCCTGCCCCTTCCACCTCCTGCCACCCAGGCTGGGCACAGGGATCGAGCCTGGCATCACTCTGACCCCACTGGAACCACACAAACGCCGAACTCTCGGCCTCACCCTCACCCTCACCCTCACCCCCACCCACCCCACGCTGGGCCCGCCCGGTCTTGTTCTCCTTTAAAGTGCCCTATATTTATAGAATTTCTAAATAAATAGAATAAAGATATCGGGTCACCCGTGGTCGGGGGAGGAGGAGGAGGAGGTCACTCCGAGTAGCAGCCGTCCAGGCCGATGGCGCTGTGGCGTTCCTTGGAGTAGGGGCAGGAGGAGCCGTTCGGGAGGGCCCCGCACGCCGGCACCGGCACCGGGAGGGCCCCGCGGGCCGGCACCGGGAGGGCCCCGCACGCCGGTACCGGGAGGGCCCCGCACGCCGGCACCGGCACCGGGAGGGCCCCGCAGGCCGCCGCCGCCGCCTTGGCCGCGATGCCGCAGTTCGTGAGGAGGCTGAGGCTGAAGGAGCCGAGCGCGTCCTTGGGCGGGAAAGGCTTCATGGTGGAGAGGATCAGTGCCAGGCAGTCGGCAACGTCCTTGTTGGGGGCGCACGCCAGGGCTGGGGTGTGACCTGAGGGACACACGGAGGTGTGAGGGGTGAGCTGTGGGATTCTGGGGGTGTGGGGTTGTGGGGCTGTGGGGTCACAGGATGAGGTGTGGGGCTCTGGGGTGTGACCTGAGGGAACCAGGCAGCCATGAGGGGTGAGCGGTGAGGGAGCCGTGAGGGGTGAGCGGTGAGGGAGCCATGAGGGGTGAGCGGTGTGAGGGGGTGGGGTGTGGGGTTCTGGGGGTGTGGGGTCATGGAATGGGGTGTAGGATTGGGGGATTGTGGGCGTGTGGGGTTGGGGGGTTGTGGGGTGTGAGGTTCTGAAAGGCTGCATGGTGGAGAGGATCAGTGCCAGGCAGTCGGCAACGTCCTTGTTGGGGGCACATGCCAGGGCTGGGGTGTGACCTGAGGGACACACGGAGCCGTGAGGGGTGTGAGGGTGTGGGATGGGGTGTGGGGTTCTGGGACTGTGGGGCTGTGGGGTCACAGGATGAGGTGGGGGGGTTCTGGGGTGTGACCTGAGGGGGGACACAGGCAGCCATGAGGGGTGAGCGGTGAGGGAGCCGTGAGGGGTGAGCAGTGTGAGGGAGTGGGGGTGTGGGGCTCTGGGGGTGTGGGGTCATGGAATGGGGTGTAGGATTGGGGGATTGTGGGGGCTGTGGGGTTCTGAAAGGTTTCATGGTGGAGAGGATCAGTGCCAGGCAGTCGGCAACGTCCTTGTTGGGGGCGCACGCCAGGGCTGGGGTGTGACCTGAGGGAACCAGGCAGCCATGAGGGGTGAGCGGTGAGGGGGGGTGAGGGAGTCGTGAGGGGTGAGCGGTGTGCGGGTGAGGTGTGGGGCTCTGGGGGTGTGGGTTTGTGGAGATGTGGGGTCACAGGATGAGGTGTGGGGTTGTGGGATGGCGTGTGAGTTTCTGAGGGTGTGGGGTTCTGGGGTATGGGATGGGGAGAGGGAGGATGTTCTGGGGGGCTGTGGCTGAGCACTCCCCGGGCTCTGGGCGCTCCCCAGGGTGGCTGCAGCCCCACAGGAGCCCCGGGGCACACACACTCTCACACTCACACTCACACACTCATACTCACACTCACACTCACACTCACCCTCACCTTCTTCATCCACAGCCAGCACGGTGGCCCCGCGGCTGAGCAGGGCCTGCACCACCGAGGCCAGGCCGTTCCGCGCCGCGATGTGCAGCGGCCTGGGGAGGGGGGAAAATATCATTACAGCCCCTAAATCCCACCCTAAAATCCACCCGAAATCCCACCCCAAAATCCTACCCTGAAATCCCACCCCAAAACTTCACCACAAAACTCTACCACAAAATCCTGCCCCAAAGCCTCACCCCAAAACCCCACAGAACACCCCGTGCCAAAATCTTTGAGTGGTTTCAAGGGTGGGCTTGTGGCTTGCCTGTTCACACTTCCCAGTGTTCCCCCATTCCCACATTCCCAGTTCCCCCATTCCCATTTCTTCCCAGTCCCCTATTTCCCCCCCATTCCCAGCTTCCCCATTCCCAGTCCCCTCAGTTCCCTCATTCCCAGTCCCCCCAGTTTCCCCATTCCCAGCTTCCCCATTCCCAGTCCCCCCATTTTCCCCCTCATTCCCAGTCCCCCCAGTTTGCCGTTTGCCCACTTTGCCCAGTTTCCCCAATCCCAGTCCCCCCAATTTCCTCATTCCCAGTCCCCCCAGTTTCCCCATTCCCAGTCCCCCCAGTTTGCCCAGTTTGCCCAGTTTCCCCAATCCCAGTCCCCCCAATTTCCTCATTCCCAGTCCCCCCAGTTTCCCCATTCCCAGTCCCCCCAGTTTGCCCAGTTTGCCCAGTTTCCCCATTCCCAGTCCCCCCAGTTTCCCCATTCCCAGTCCCCCCAGTTTGCCCAGTCTGCCCATTCCCAGTCCCCCCAGTTTCCTCATTCCCAGTCCCCCCAGTTTGCCCAGTTTGCCCAGTTTCCCCATTCCCAGTCCCCCCAGTTTCCCTATTCCCAGTCCCCCCAGTTTTCCCAGTTTGCCCATTCCCAGTTTGCCCAGTTTGCCCAGTTTGCCCAGTTTCCCCATTCCCAGTCCCCCCAGTTTGCCCAGTTTGCCCATTCCCGGTTTGCCCATTCCCAGTTTGCCCAGTTTGCCCAGTTTGCCCATTCCCAGTTTGCCCAGTTTCCCCATTCCCAGTCCCCCCAGTTTCCCTATTCCCAGTTTGCCCAGTTTGCCCAGTTTGCCCATTCCCAGTCCCCCCAGTTTCCCCATTCCCAGTCCCCCCAGTTTGCCCAGTTTGCCCATTCCCAGTCCCCCCAGTTTGCCCATTCCCAGTCCCCCCCAGTTTGCCCATTCCCAGTCCCCCCAGTTTGCCCAGTTTGCCCATTCCCAGTCCCCCCAGTTTCCTCATTCCCAGTCCCCCCAGTTTGCCCATTCCCAGTTTGCCCAGTTTGCCCATTCCCAGTCCCCCCAGTTTGCCCAGTTTGCCCATTCCCAGTCCCCCCAGTTTGCCCATTCCCAGTCCCCCCAGTTTCCTCATTCCCAGTCCCCCCAGTTTGCCCAGTTTGCCCAGTTTGCCCATTCCCAGTTTGCCCATTCCCAGTCCCCCCAGTTTGCCCAGTTTGCCCATTCCCAGTCCCCCCAGTTTCCCTATTCCCAGTCCCCCCAGTTTTCCCAGTTTGCCCATTCCCGGTTTGCCCATTCCCAGTCCCCCCAGTTTGCCCAGTTTGCCCATTCCCAGTCCCCCCAGTTTGCCCAGTTTGCCCATTCCCGGTTTGCCCATTCCCAGTCCCCCCAGTTTGCCCAGTTTGCCCATTCCCGGTTTGCCCAGTTTGCCCAGTTTGCCCATTCCCGGTTTGCCCATTCCCAGTCCCCCCAGTTTCCCTATTCCCAGTCCCCCCAGTTTGCCCAGTTTGCCCATTCCCGGTTTGCCCATTCCCAGTTTGCCCATTCCCAGTTTGCCCAGTTTGCCCAGTTTGCCCATTCCCAGTTTGCCCATTCCCAGTTTGCCCAGTTTGCCCATTCCCAGTCCCCCCAGTTTCCCTATTCCCAGTCCCCCCAGTTTGCCCAGTTTGCCCATTCCCGGTTTGCCCATTCCCAGTTTGCCCATTCCCAGTTTGCCCAGTTTGCCCGGTTTCCCAGCTGTGCACTCACATCTGCAGAGCACTGTTACTTGCATTGATAAGGCCAAGGTCTTGGGTTTCCCCCAGGATCAACAAGGCACACTTTTCATGGCCCTGGGGACACACGGGGACATTCAGGGCAGGAGAACCCTCCCCTGAACTGTCCTGCTCCCCCAGGTCACCCTGGCACCTGCTGGCCTTCACCTTCCCCTCCTTGGTGGGGACAGAGTGACCACGAGCCTCTGGGTGCCACCATGGCTTGGGAGTGACCACCGCGGGTTGGACAAAGTGACCACCATGGGTTGGGAGTGACCACCATGGGTTGGACAAAGTGACCACCATGGGTTGGGAGTGACCACCATGGGTTGGACAAAGTGACCACAAACCTCTGGTTGCCACCGTGGCTTGGACGAAGTGACCACCACGGGTTGGACAAGGTGACCACAAGGCTCTGGTTGCCACCATGGCTTGGGAGTGACCACCATGGCTTCGACAATGTGACCACCATGGAATGGACAAAGTGACCACCATGGCTTGGGCAAAGTGACCACCATGGCTTGGGAGTGACCACCATGGCTTGGACAAAGTGACCACCACGGGTTGGACAAAGTGACCACAAACCTCTGGTTGCCACCATGGGTTGGACAAAATGACCACAAGGCTCTGATTGCCATCATGGCCGGGGAGTGACCACCACAGGTTGGACAAAGTGACCACAAGGCCCTGGTTGCCACCATGGCTTGGACAAAGTGACCACCATGGGTCGGACAAAGTCCATCATGGCTTGGTTGAAGTGACCACCATGGCTTGGACAAAGTGACCACCATGGGTCGGACAAAGTCCACCATGGCCTGGACAAAGTGACTATGAGGCTCTGGTTGCCACCATGGAATGGACAAAGTGACCACAAGCCTTTGGTTGCCACCATGGCTTGGACCAAGTGACCACCATGGAATGGACAAAGTGACCACCATGGGATGGACAAGGTGACCACAAGGCTCTGGTTGCCACCGTGGCTTGGGAGTGACCACCATGGGTTGGACAAAGTGACCACCATGGGTTGGACAAAGTGACCACCACGCGCTGGACAAAGTGAACACCATGGCTTGGACAAAGTGACCACCATGGGTTGGACAAGGTGACCACAAGGCTCTGGTTGCCACCATGGCTTGAGAGTGACCACCATGGCTTCGACAATGTGACCACCATGGAATGGACAAAGTGACCACCACGGGTTGGACAAAGTGACCACAAGGCTTTGGCTGCCACCATGGGTTGGACAAAGTGACCACCATGGGTCGGACAAAGTCCATCATGGCTTGGACGAAGTGACCACCATGGCCTGGACAAAGTGACTGTGAGGCTCTGGTTGTCACCACGGAATGGACAAAGTGACCACCACGGGTTGGACAAAGTGATCACAAGGCTCTGGTTGCCACCATGGCTTGAATGAAGTGACCACCATGGTTTGGGAGTGACCACCATGGAATGGGAGTGACCACCATGGCTTGAACCAAGTGACCACCATGGGTTGGACCAAGTGACCACCAGGCTCTGGTTGCCACCATGAACTGGACCAAGTGACCACCAGGCTGTGGGTGCCACCGTGGCTTGGACAAAGTGACCACCACGGGTTGGACAAAGTGACCACAAGGCTGTGGGTGCCACCGTGGCTTGGACAAAGTGACCAACGTGGTTTGGGAGTGACCACCATGGGTTGGGAGTGACCACCATGGAATGGACAAAGTGACCACCATGGCTTGAACCAAGTGACCACAAGGCTCTGGTTTCCACCATGGAATGGACAAAGTGACCACAAGCCTTTGGTTGCCACCATGGCTTGAACCAAGTGACCACCATGGGTTGGACCAAGTGACCACCATGGGTTGGACCAAGTGACCACCAGGCTCTGGGTGCCACCGTGGCTTGGACAAAGTGATCACCAGACTCTGGGTGCCACCATGGGTTGGGAGTGACCACCATGGCTGGGACCAAGTGACCACCAGGCTCTGGGTGCCACCATGGCTTGGACCAAGTGACCACCAGGCTCTGGTTGCCACCATGAACTGGACAAAGTGACCACCATGGCTTGAACCAAGTGACCAGCAGGCTGTGGGTGCCACCATGAACTGGACAAAGTGACCACCAGGCTGTGGGTGCCACCATGGAATGGACAAAGTGACCACCATGGGTTGGGAGTGACCACCATGGGTTGGGAGTGACCACCATGGCTTGGACCAAGTGACCACCAGGCTCTGGGTGCCACCATGGCTTGGACCAAGTGACCACCGTGGCTTGGAAAAAGTGACCACCATGGGTTGGGAGTGACCACCATGGGTTGGGAGTGACCACCATGGAATGGACAAAGTGACCACCATGGCTTGAACCAAGTGACCACCAGGCTGTGGGTGCCACCATAGAATGGACAAAGTGACCACCATGGGTTGGGAGTGACCACCATGGCCTGGACCAAGTGACCAGCAGGCTGTGGGTGCCACCATGAACTGGACCAAGTGACCAGCAGGCTGTGGGTGCCACCACGGCCCAGGAGGACAGCCAGGTGCCCCAGAGGTGCCCCCTGCCCGCCCATGCCCACCTTGCTGCAGGCCAGGTGAAGAGCTGTGTTCTTGTTGACGTCCAGCACAGCAATGTTCGCTTTCGCCTGGAACAGCAGGAACTCTGCAGGGAGGAGGAGGAGGAGGAGGAGGAGGAGAACTGGTGAGGAAGAGGCAGAAAATGTCCCCAGGGGCTGCCAGGAGAGGGGACAGCTCTGGGAGAGCAGCACCCTGATGCCTCAGCTATTTATAATTTTTTAAAAAATATTTTACGTATTTTATATATTGATTTTTCAGATTTTGTGTTGCTTTAGGCTGTAGTTGTGACATTCATGGTGTGGTGTCTCAGGTTTTTATGTAGATATATTTTATATATTTTATGTTTAAAATATATATTATATATTATTTTATATATATTATATAAAAATATTTTCTATATATAATATATTATATATTTTTCATATATTATATTTATTTTTTCAGATTTTGTGCTGCTTTAGGCTGTAGTTGTGACATTGATGGTGTGGTGCCCCAGGTTTTTATGTAGATATATTTTATATATTTTATGTTTAAAATATATATTATATATTATTTTATATATTATATTTATATATATGATATATAAAATATTTTCTATATATAATATATATTTTTCATAAATTATATTTATTTTTTCAGATTTTGTGCTGCTTTAGGCTGTAGTTGCGACATTCATGGTGTGGTGCCTCAGGTTTTTATATAGATATATTTTATATATTTTATGTTTAAAATATATATTATATATTATTTTATATATTATATTTATATATATGATATATAAAATATTTTATATATATAATATATATTTTTCATAAATTATATTTATTTTTTCAGATTTTGTGCTGCTTTAGGCTGTAGTTGTGACATTGATGGTGTGGTGCCCCAGGTTTTTATATAGATATATTTTATATATTTTATGTTTAAAATATATATTATATATTATTTTATATATTATATTTATATATATGATATATAAAATATTTTATATATATAATATATATTTTTCATATATTATATTTATTTTTTCAGATTTTGTGCTGCTTTAGGCTGTAGTTGTGACATTCATGGTGTGGTGTCTCAGGTTTTTATATAGATATATTTTATATATTTTATGTTTAAAATATATATTATATATTATTTTATATATTATATTTATACATATTATATATAAAATATTTTTTATATATAATATATGATATATTTTTCATATATTATATTTATTTTTTCAGATTTTGTGCTGCTTTAGGCTGTAGTTGTGACATTCACGGTGTGGTGTCTCAGGTTTTTATGTAGATATATTTTATATATTTTATGTTTAAAATATATATTATATATTATTTTATATATATTATATAAAAATATTTTCTATATATAATATATTATATATTTTTCATATATTATATTTATTTTTTCAGATTTTGTGCTGCTTTAGGCTGTAGTTGTGACATTCACGGTGTGGTGCCCCAGGTTTTTATGTAGATATATTTTATATATTTTATGTTTAAAATATATATTATATATTATTTTATATATTATATTTATATATATTATATAAAAATATTTTCTATATATAATATATTATATATTTTTCATATATTATATTTATTTTTTCAGATTTTGTGCTGCTTTAGGCTGTAGTTGTGACATTCATGGTGTGGTGTCTCAGGTTTTTATATAGATATATTTTATATATTTATATATATTATATAATATATATAAATTCTGTGATACCACCCTCAGTACCCACCCAGTGCCGCCGTGTGCCCGTTCTGCGATGCCACCCTCGGTACCCACCCAGTGCTGCCGTGTGCCCGTTCTCCAATGCCCGTCTCTGTACCCACCCAGTGCCGCCGTGTGCCCGCTCTGTACCCACCCAGTGCCACCCTTGGTACCCACCCGGTGCCGCCGTGTGCCCGCTCTCTACCCACCCAGTGCTGCCGTGTGCCCGTGCTCCGATGCCACCCTCGGTACCCACCCAGTGCTGCCGCGTGCCCGTTCTGTACCCACCCAGTGCTACCATTGGTACCCACCCAGTGCCACCCTCAGTACCCACCCAGTGCTGCCGCGTGCCCGTTCTGTACCCACCCAGTGCTACCATTGGTACCCACCCAGTGCCACCCTCAGTACCCACCCAGTGCTGCCCTGTGCCCGTGCTCCGATGCCACCATCAATACCCACCCAGTGCCGCCACGTGCCCGTGCTCCGATGCCCCTCTCTGTACCCACCCAGTGCCGCCGCGTGCCCGTGCTCCGATGCCACCATCAATACCCACCCAGTGCCGCCGCGTGCCCGTGCTCCGATGCCACCCTCGGTACCCACCCAGTGCCGCCGCGTGCCCATGCTCCGATGCCACCATCAATACCCACCCAGTGCCGCCGCGTGCCCGTGCTCCGATGCCCCTCTCTGTACCCACCCAGTGCCGCCGCGTGCCCGTGCTCCGATGCCACCATCAATACCCACCCAGTGCCGCCGCGTGCCCGTGCTCCGATGCCACCCTCGGTACCCCCCCAGTGCCGCCGCGTGCCCGTGCTCCGATGCCACCCTCGGTACCCACCCAGTGCCGCCGTGTGCCTGTTCTGAGATGCCACCCTCGGTACCCACCCAGTGCCGCCGCGTGCCCGTGCTCCGATGCCACCCTCGGTACCCACCCAGTGCCGCCGTGTGCCCGCTCTGTACCCACCCAGTGCCACCGTGTGCCTGTTCTGAGATGCCACCCTCGGTACCCACCCAGTGCCACCGTGTGCCCGCTCTGTACCCACCCAGTGCCACCGTGTGCCTGTTCTGAGATGCCACCCTCGGTACCCACCCAGTGCCGCCGTGTGCCCGTTCTGTACCCACCCAGTGCCGCCGCGTGCCCGTGCTCCGATGCCCCTCTCTGTACCCACCCAGTGCCGCCGCGTGCCCGTGCTCCGATGCCACCCTCGGTACCCCCCCAGTGCCGCCGCGTGCCCGTGCTCCGATGCCACCATCAATACCCACCCAGTGCCGCCGCGTGCCCGTGCTCCGATGCCACCCTCGGTACCCCCCCCAGTGCCGCCGCGTGCCCGTGCTCCGATGCCACCATCAATACCCACCCAGTGCCGCCGCGTGCCCGTGCTCCGATGCCACCCTCGGTACCCCCCCAGTGCCGCCGCGTGCCCGTGCTCCGATGCCACCATCAATACCCACCCAGTGCCGCCGCGTGCCCGTGCTCCGATGCCACCATCAGCGGGGTCCTGCCCATCTTGTCGGCCGGGTCCACCAGGGCCTGGTGGCGCAGCAGCAGCCGCAGCCCCCGCACGTTGTCGGCGAAGGCGGCGGCGTGGAGGGGGGTCCTGGGACACGGCAGCAAGGGGGGATGAAAGATTTACATTTCATTTCTTCATAATATGAAATTTATTTAGTTCCTATTTTCATAATATTAATATTTTTCATTTAATTTAATTTAATTTCATTTCATTTAATATTTTTCATTTTCCATTTTCATATTTTTCATTTTCATAATATTAATATTTTTAGTTAATATTTTAATAATATTCGTAGTTTTGAGTTTGTATTTTCATAATATTCATATTTTTATTTAATAGTTTAAATACTCATTTTTATTTGATATTTTTAATTTTAAAAATACTATAATTATATATAATATATAATATAGTATATATAATATAGTATATATAATATACTATATATAATATAGTATATATAATAAATATAATAATATAATATAATATAATATAATATAATATAATATAATGTAATATAATATAATATAATATAATATAATATATAATATATAATATATAATAAATATAATACAATATATAAATATAATATATATTATATACATGTATAATATAATATAATATAATATAATATAATATAATATATAATTATATATATTTATATATAATATATATATTATACTATCTTATATAATTATATATAATATAATATAATATAAAATATTTAATATAATCTAATCTAATATAATATACAATAATATAATATAATATAATATAATATAATATAATATAATATAATATATATAATATATAATATATAATATATAATAATAATATATAAATATAATATATAATAAATATATAATATACTACACTTAATTTCAAAAATTATATTATAATTTAAAAAATATTTCATAAATTTCACACTTTCTCATTATCAACGATTAATATTAATGAAGCAATTTTGGTAAATTAAAAATATCAGTAAATTAATATTGATAAAGTAAATGTACCACATTAGAATTATTAATAAATGAACGAATTAATAATTAAAATCCATAATTGAACGCTCACCTTCCTTTGGCATCTCTGCTATTGACAATCTTGGCACCCAATGCTTCCAGCAGCATTTCAGCAGTGCCGTCCTGGTTGTTAATTCTGACAGGGGGAGAATAAAATCATTTCAATTATTTTTAGGTAAAATTCCCTTTTCAGCCCATCCCATAAATTCCAAGGCCTGGAATTATTAGAATTATTTTGGGGTAAAATTCCCTTTTCAGCCCATCCCAGAGGCTCCAAGGCCTGGAATTTTTTGAATTAATTTGAGGGTAAAATTCTCTTTTCACCCCACTTCAGCAACCTCAAACCCCAGAATTATTTTGGGGTAAAATTCCCTTTTCACCCCATTTCAGGGGCACCAAACCCCAGAATTATTTTTGCTCTAAAATTCCCCTTTCAGCCCATCCCAGAGGCTCCAAGGCCTGGAATAATTTGAATTATTTTTAGGGAAAATTCCTTTTTCACCCCACTTCAGCAACCTCAAACCCCAGAATAATTTTGGGGTAAAATTCCCTTTTCACCCCATTTCAGGGGCTCCAAACCCCGCATTTATTTTTAATTAAAATTCCCTTTTCAGCCCATCCCAGAGGCTCCAAATCCCAGAATTATTTTGGGGTCAAATTCCCTTTTCAGGCTCCAAATCCCAGAATTATTTTGGGGTAGAATTCCCTTTTCAGGCTCCAAACCCCAGAATTATTTTGGGGTAAAATTCCTTTTTCAGCCCATCCCATAAGTTCCAAGGCCTGGAATAATTGGAATTATTTTTGGGGTAAAACTCTCCCTTCAGCCCATCCCATAGGTTTAAAGGCCTGCAGATATTTGGGATAAAATTCCCTTTTTGGGGGATCCAAGGCCTGGAATTATTGGAATTATTTTTAGATAAAATTCCCCTTTCAGCCCATCCAAGGCCTGGAATTATTTTGGGGTAAAATTCCCTTTTCACCCCAACCCATAAATTCCAAGGCCTGGAATTATTAGAATTATTTTGGGGTAAAATTCCCTTTTCAGCCCATCCCAGAGGCTCCAAGGCCTCGAATTTTTTGGATTATTTTGGGGGTAAAATTCTCTTTTCAACCCATCCCAGGGGCTCCAAATCCCAGAATAATTTTGGGGTAAAATTCTTTTTTCACCCCATTTTAGGGGCTCCAAACCCCAAAATAATTTTGGTCTAAAATTCCCTTTTCACCCCATTTCAGGGGCTCCAAACCCCAGAATTATTTTGGGGCAAAATTCCCTTTTCAGGCTCCAAACCCCTGAATTATTTTGGTCTAAAATTCCCTTTTCAACCCATCCCAGGGGCTCCAAATCCCAGAATTATTTTGGGGTAAAATTCCCCTTTCACCCCATTTCAGGGACTCCAAGGCCTGGAATAATTTGAATTATTTTTAGGTAAAATTCCCCTGTCAGCCCATCCCAGGGACTCCAAATCCCAGAATTATTTTGGGGTAAAATTCCCTTTTCAGGCTCCAAACCCCTGAATTATTTTGGGGTAAAATTCCTTTTTCACCCCGTTTCAGGGGCACCAAACCCCAGAATTATTTTTGCTCTAAAATTCCCTTTTCAGCCCATTCCAGGGACTCCAAGGCCTCGAATTATTGGAATTATTTTTGGGGGTAAAATTCCTTTTTCAACCCAGGGGCTCCAAATCCCAGAATTATTTTGGTCTAAAATTCCCTTTTCAACCCATCCCAGGGGCTCCAAACCCCGCATTTATTTTTAGGTAAAATTCCTTTTACACCCCATTTCAGGGGCTCCAAATCTCAGAATTATTTTGGGGTAAAATTCCCTTTTCACCCCAACCCAGAGGCTTCAATGCCTGGAATAATTTGAATTATTTTTAGGTAAAATTCCCCTGTCAGCCCATCCCAGGGGCTCCAAATCCCAGAATTATTTTGGGGTAGAATTCCCTTTTCACCCCATTTCAGGGACTCCAAGGCCTGGAATAATTTGAATTATTTTTAGGTAAAATTCCCCTTTCAGCCCATCCCAGGGACTCCAAGGCCTGCAATTATTGGAATTATTTTTGGGGTAAAATTCCCTTTGCCAAATTACTTTGGAAGAATTATTTGCAATAATCCAGAATTATTTTGGGGTAGAATTCCCTTTTCAGGTTCCAAATCCCAGAATTATTTTGGGGTAAAATTCCCCTTTCACCCTATTTCAGGGACTCCAAGGCCTGGAATAATTTGAATTATTTTTAGGTAAAATTCCCCCTGTCAGCCCATCCCAGGGGCTCCAAATCCCAGAATTATTTTGGGGTAAAATTCCCTTTTCAGGCTCCAAACCCCTGAATTATTTTGGGGTAAAATTCCTTTTTCACCCCGTTTCAGGGGCACCAAACCCCAGAATAATTTTTGCTCTAAAATTCCCTTTTCAGCCCATTCCAGGGACTCCAAGGCCTCGAATTATTGGAATTATTTTTGGGGTAAAATTCCTTTTTCAACCCAGGGGCTCCAAACCCCAGAATTATTTTGGGGTAGAATTCCCTTTTCAACCCATCCCAGGGGCTCCAAACCTCACATTTATTTTTAGGTAAAATTCCTTTTTCACCCCATTTCAGGGGCTCCAAATCTCAGAATTATTTTGGGGTAAAATTCCCTTTTCACCCCAACCCAGAGGCTTCAATGCCTGGAATAATTTGAATTATTTTTAGGTAAAATTCCCCTTTCAGCCCATCCCAGGGGCTCCAAATCTCAGAATTATTTTGGGGTAGAATTCCCTTTTCACCCCATTTCAGGGACTCCAAGGCCTGGAATAATTTGAATTATTTTTAGGTAAAATTCCCCTTTCAGCCCATCCCAGGGACTCCAAGGCCTGCAATTATTGGAATTATTTTTGGGGTAAAATTCCCTTTGCCAAATTGCTTTGGAAGAATTATTTGCGTTTTATTTTGGGGTGTCACTTACACTGCACAGTGCAATGGAGTAAAGGGGTTTCCTTCCAGGTAAGCGAACGGGTTGTGTTCAAGTAACAATTCAAGACAATCTTCGTGCCCTGGGGAGACACAACAGCAGCTGGAGCAGCTTTTCCCTAAATCCCAAAAATCCCAAAAATCCCAAAAATCCCAAAAATCCTGGAAAATCCCCCCCCCCCCCCCCCAGATCATCCAATCCAAGCTGGGAGTGACCCCAAACCCTGAGTGCCACGTCCAGTCCTGTGGTCACCTCAGGGATGGGGACACCAAACCTGGGCACCTCCATGGCCTGACCACCTTCCATTCCTCCTGATGTCCATCCTGAACTTCTGGAGGAGTTTGGGGCTGTTCCTGACCCTCTCCTGGAGGAGTTTGGGGCTGTTCCTGACCCTCTCCTGGAGGAGTTTGGGGCTGTTCCTGACCCTCTCCTGGAGGAATCTGGGGCTGTTCCTGAGCCTCTCCTGGAGGAGTTTGGGGCTGTTCCTGAGCCTCTCCTGGAGGAGTTTGGGGCTGTTCCTGACCCTCTCCTGGAGGAATCTGGGGCTGTTCCTGAGCCTCTCCTGGAGGAGTTTGGGGCTGTTCCTGAGCCTCTCCTGGAGGAGTTTGGGGCTGTTCCTGACCCTCTCCTGGAGGAATCTGGGGCTGTTCCTGACCCTCTCCTGGAGGAGTTTGGGGCTGTTCCTTCTCCTCCTGCTGCTCATGGCAGCAGATCCTGACCCTGGAGTTTTGGGGTGAAAATTCCCCTCTGAACTTTTTTCTTTCAGGCACTTCCAAAGCCTGACCACCTTTTATTCCTCCTGATGTCCATCCTGAACTTCTCCTGGAGGAGTTTGGGGCTGTTCCTGAGCCTCTCCTGGAGGAATCTGGGGCTGTTCCCTCTCACCCTGGTGTTCCCTGGGAGCAGATCCTGACCCTGCTCTCCCACCAGGGAGTTTTGGGGTGAAAATTCCCTCCTGATCCTGTTCTCCAGGCAGTTCCCCCACCTTTGCCAGGAGGAAATTTCCCTGGTGTCCACCCTGAACCTCTCCCCTGGGAGCAGATCCTGACCCTGGGCTGAAAATTCCCCTTGTGAGTCTCCTGTTCCAGGCAGTTCCAAAGCCTGACCACCTTTTCCATGAGGAAATTCCTTCTCATGTCCATCCTGAACTTCTCCTGGAGGAATTTGGGGCCATTTCCTCTTGTCCTGGTGCTCCCTGGGAGCAGATTTTGATCCCACCTGGCTCCACTCTCCCATCAGGGAGTTTTGGGGTGAAAATTCCCCTCTGAACCTCCTTTCCTCCAGGCAGCTCCAAAGCCTGACCACCTTTTATTCCACCTGATGTCCATCCTGAACTTCTCCTGGAGGAGTTTGGGGCTGTTCCTGAGCCTCTCCTGGAGGAGTTTGGGGCTGTTCCTGACCCTCTCCTGGAGGAGTTTGGGGCTGTTCCTGACCCTCTCCTGGAGGAGTTTGGGGCTGTTCCTGAGCCTCTCCTGGAGGAGTTCGGGGCTGTTCCTGAGCCTCTCCTGGAGGAGTTCGGGGCTGTTCCTGAACTTCTCCTGGAGGAATCTGGGGCTGTTCCTGACCCTCTCCTGGAGGAGTTTGGGGCTGTTCCTGACCCTCTCCTGGAGGAGTTCGGGGCTGTTCCTGACCCTCTCCTGGAGGAATCTGGGGCTGTTCCCTCTCACCCTGGTGTTCCCTGGGAGCAGATCCTGACCCTGGGCTGAAAATTCCCCTCGTGAGTCTCCTGTTCCAGGCAGTTCCAAAGCCTGACCATCTTTTATTCCTCCTGGTGTCCACCCTGAACTTCTCCTGGAGGAATTTGGGGCTGTTCCTTCTCCACTTGGCGTTCCTGGGAGCAGATCCTGACCCTGCTCTCCCATCAGGGACTTGTGGGGTGAAAATTCCCCCCTGAACTTCTTTCCTCCAGGCAGCTCCAAAGCCTGACCACCTTTTCCATGAGGAAATTCCTTCTCATGTCCATCCTGAACTACTCCTGGAGGAGTTTGGGGCCATTTCCTCTTGTCCTGGTGTCCCCTGGGAGCAGATTTTGATCCCACCTGGCTCCACTCTCCCATCAGGGAGTTTTGGGGTGAAAATTCCCCTCTGAACTTCTTTCTTTCAGGCACTTCCAAAGCCTGACCACCTTTCATTCCTCCTGATGTCCATCCTGAACTTCTCCTGGAGGAATTCGGGGCTGTTCCTTCTCCACTTGGCGTTCCTGGGAGCAGATCCCGACCCTGCTCTCCCACCAGGGAGTTCTGGGGTGAAAATTCCCCCCTGATCCTCCTTCCCTCCAGGCTGAGCCCCTTCCCAGCTCCCTCAGAGCTTCTCCAGAACCTTCTCCTGCTGCTCCAGCCCCTCAATGTCTCTGTGGCCAGGAGGGCTCCCAACTGGAGGGGCCCCAGCAGTGCCAGCACAGGGGGACAGACTCAAAAAACCCTTCCCAAATCTTCTTGCCTTCAAACCCTGCGGGATCCCAATGCCAGGGGCTGGGACGGCTCTGGGAATACCCAAAAAGCTCCAAGGGACCCAAATTCCTCCCCATCGCTTCCCGAGCTGAGCCAAGGGAGAACCATTTGGATTCTGGAGTGCATCACGGTCTCACCACTGTGGGAGGCCCAGTGCATGGGCGAGGAGCCGCTGTAGTCCATCACCAACCCAATCTCAACCAAAAAAATTCAGAAAAACCCCCCCCAAAAGACCCCAAAAAAACCCAAAAGAGGAGAAGGACCAGTTGGATTTCGGAGTAGATCAGGCTCTCACCACTGTAGGAGGCCCAGTGCATGGGCGGGTAGCTGCTGTAGTCCACCATGGACCCCAAAATCCCCCCAAAAACCCCACAAAACTCAAAAAAACCCCCCAAAACCCCAAATGAGCAAGAGGACAATGTGGATTTTTGAGTGGATGAGGCTCTCACCACTGTAGGAGGCTCAGTGCATGGGCGAGCAGCCGCTGTAGTCCACGGACCAAAAATGAAACCCCAAACCCCAAAAAACTGCAGAAAAACTCCAGAAAAATCCCAGAAAAACCCCCAAAACCCCCAAAAACCCCTAAAAGTAGAAGAGAACCATTTGTGTTTTGGAATAAATCAGGTTCTCACCACTGTAGGAGGCCCAGTGCATGGGCGAGCAGCCGCTGTAGTCCACAGACCCAAAAACACCCCGAAAAAACTCAAAAAACTCCAGAAAAACCCCAAAACTCTACAAAACCAGGAAGACCATTTGTGTTTTGGAGTAAATCAGGTTCTCACCACTGTAGGAGGCCCAGTGCATGGGTGAGGAACAGCTGCAGTCCATAGACCCAAAAAAACAAAAAAAAAACTCAGAAAAAACTCAAAAAAACCCAGAAAAACTCCAGAAAAAAAAACCCCAAAAGCCTCAAAATCCTAAAGAAGAGGAGGACCAGCTGGATTTTGGAGTAGATCAGGTTCTCACCACTGTAGGAGGCTCAGTGCATGGGCGAGGAACCGCTGTAGTCCACGAACGAAAAATGAAACCCCAAAAACCAAAAAAAACGCAGAAAAACTCAGGAAAAATCCCAAAAAAACCCCCAAAAACCCCCCAAAACCCCAAAAGAAGAGGAGAACCATTTGGGTTTTGGAGTGGCTCATGGTCTCACCACTGTGGGAGGCCCAGTGCATGGGTGAGGAACCGCTGTAGTCCACGCACCCAAAAACACCCCGAAAAAACTCAAAAAACTCCAGAAAAACCCCAAAACTCTACAAAACCAGGAAGACCATTTGTGTTTTGGAGTAAATCAGGTTCTCACCACTGTGGGAGGCCCAGTGCATGGGTGAGGAACCGCTGTAGTCCACGCACCCAAAAAACCCCCCAAAACCCAGAAAAACCTAAAAAAACCCCCCAAAACCCCAGAAAAACTCCAGAAAAAAACCAAAAAAACCCCAAAACCCATAATGAGGTGAAGACCATTCGGGTTTTGCAGTAGATCAGGGTCTCACCGCTGTAGGAGGCCCAGTGCGTGGGCGAGCAGCCACCGCAGTCCCACGGACCCAAAAAACCCCCTCAAAAAATCAGAAAAAAAATCCCGAAAAACCCCCGAAAACCCAGAAAAACTCAAAAAAAAAAAAAAAAACCCAAAAGAAGAGGAGAGCCATTTGGGTTTTGGAGTAAATCAGGTTCTCACCACTGTAGGAGGCCCAGTGCATGGGCGAGCAGCCGCTGTAGTCCACGGACCAAAAATGAAACCCCAAACCCCAAAAAACTGCAGAAAAACTCCAGAAAAATCCCAGAAAAACCCCCAAAACCCCCAAAAACCCTAAAAGTAGAAGAGAACCATTTGTGTTTTGGAATAAATCAGGTTCTCACCACTGTAGGAGGCCCAGTGCATGGGCGAGCAGCCGCTGTAGTTTATGGACCCAAAAAAACCCCCAAACCCCCAGAAAATCCCAAAAAAAGCAGGACAACCCTCAAACTCCACAAGAACAAGAGGACCATTTGGATTTTTGATTAGAGCAGGCTCTCACCACTGTAGGAGGCCCAGTGCATGGGCGAGCAGCCGCCGTAGTCCACGCACCCAAAAACCCAGAAAAAAACAAAAAAAAACCCCCAAACCCCCAGAAAATCCCCCCAAAAATGCAGAAAAACCCCAAAACTCCAGAGTTTCGGCTCTCACCACTGTAGGAGGCCCAGTGCATGGGCGAGTAGCCGCTGTAGTCCACCACGGCGTCCAGCGGGTCGGTGGACAGCGCCGCGCGCAGCAGCGTCCGCAGCACCTCCAGGTGCCCGCAGGCCGAGGCGAAGTGGATCGGGGTGCGGCCCTTGAAGTCCCGGCACAGGACGAAGGCATCGTGGTCCAGCAGGGCGGCCAGGCAGTCCTCGCAGCCAGTCACAGCCTGGGGACACACACACAGCCCTCTTGAATGGATTGTTTTAAAAAAAATGATTTTATATATATATATTTATATATCTCTATATCTCCATTTCTATACAGATACACCGTGGTCCAGCAGGGCGGCCAGGCAATCCTCGCAGCCAGTCACAGCCTGGGGACACACAGACAGCCCTCTTGAATGGATTTTGAATATTTTTATATTTTTATATTTTTTATATTTTTCAGATTCTGTGCTGGCTTAGTGTGATGCCTCAGGCTTTACATTTTTTTATTTTTTTGTGTCTATATATCTCTATCTATATCTGTATATCTATATCCATATCTCTATATCTCCATATCTATACAGATACACCGTGGTCCAGCAGGGCGGCCAGGCAGTCCTCGCAGCCAGTCACAGCCTGGGGACACACAGACAGCCCTCTTTAATGGATTTTGAATATTTTTATATTTTTATATTTTTTATATTTTTCAGATTCTGTGCTGGCTTAGTGTGATGCCTCAGGCTTTACATTTTTTTATTTTTTTGTGTCTATATATCTCTATCTATATCTGTATATCTATATCCATATCTCTATATCTCCATATCTATACAGACACATCGTGGTCCAGCAGGGCAGCCAGGCAATCCTCACAGCCAGTCACAGCCTGGGGACACACAGACAGCCCTCTTGAATGGATTTCATTTTAAATTTATTTTATATATATGTATATCTATCTATATTTTTAAATATTTTTCTATTTTTTCTATTTTTCCTATTTTTCATGTTTTTTATATTTTTCAGATTCTGTGCTGGCTTAGTGTGATGCCTCAGGCTTTAGGTTTTTTTATTTTTTTGTGTCTATATATCTCTATCACTATCTCTATCTCTATCTATATATCTCTATCTATATCTGTATATCTATATCCATATCTCTATATCTCCATTTCTATACAGATACACCGTGGTCCAGCAGGGCGGCCAGGCAGTCCTCGCAGCCAGTCACAGCCTGGGGACACACAGACAGCCCTCTTGAATGGATTTTTTAAAAAAATTATTTTATATATATGCATATCTATTTATATTTTTTAATATTTTTCTATTTTTCTATTTTTTCTATTTTTTATGTCTTTTATATTTTTCAGATTCTGTGCTGGCTTAGTGTGATGCCTCAGGCTTTAGTTTTTTGTATTTTGTTATGTCTATATCTATATATCTATGTCTCTATATATCTATGTCTCTATCTATATATCTATATATATCTCTATATCTCCATTTCTATACAGATACATCGTGGTCCAGCAGGACGGCCAGGCAATCCTCACAGCCAGTCACAGCCCAGCTCAGAGTCAGCCCAGCAAAGGGTTAATGCAGCTTTTATGGGATCCAGATTCTGTGCTGGCTCAGGGGTTAGGGTTTTATATAAATATTATTTATTTATTTAGTATTTTTTATTTTATACAGATTTTGTGCTAGCTGAGTGGGATGGCTCAGGTTTTAGTTTTTTATATATATTTTTAAATTTATATTTATATTTACAAATTATATATTTTTAAAAAATTTATATATATATAAAAAGTATATTTTTCAGATTCTGTGCTGGCTGAGTGGGATGCCTCGGGCTTTAGTTTTTATTTTTTGGTCTATATCTTTATAGACAGATATCTATATATCTATATATATTGATATATATAATCTATATATCTACATATCTAGATAGATATCTGTATATATCTATAATATCTATATATCTATCTCTATCTCTATCTATATATCTATATCTGTATATCTATATATACGTCTATACCCCTGCATATCTATATAGATAGATATCTACATATCTATATCTATATCTACATCTACATCTATACCTACATCTATCTATATCTACCTATATCTATATCTATCTATATCTATATATACATCTATATCTATATCTATATCTATATCTATATCTATATCATCTATCATCTATATCATCTATATCTATATCTATATCTATATCTATATCTATATATCAATACCTATCAATATCTATATCTACATATCTCTATCTCTATTTAGAATATCTATATATATCTATATATCTACATATCTATATAGGTAGATATCTATATATCTATCAATATCAATATCAATACCAATATCAATATCTACATATCTCTATTGCTATCTATATATATCTATATCTGTATATCTATATATATCTATATATATCTATGTATCTACATATATATAGATATCTATATATGTCTCTATCTCTATCAACATCTATATCTATACCTATACCTACATCAATCTCTATCTCTATCTCTATCTCTATCTCCATCTATATCTATATCTATATCTAATATCTATACCTATCTATATCTATATATCTCTACCAATACCTATCTCTATCTCTATCTCTATCTCTATCTATCTATCAATACCTATCAATATCTATATCTACATATCTCTATCTTTATCTATAATATCTATATATATCCATATATCTATCTACATATCTATATAAATAGATATCTATATATCTATCAATATCAATACCAATACCAATATCTACATATCTCTATTGCTATCTATATATATCTATATATATCTATGTATATCTATGTATCTACATATATATAGATATCTATATATCTGTCTCTATCTCTATCAACATCTATATCTATATCTAATATCTATACCTATACCTACATCTATCTCTATATCTATCTCTATCTCCATCTATATCTATATCTATATCTATATCTATATCTATATCTATATCTAATATCTATATCCATCTATATCTATATATCTATATCTCTACCAATACCTATCTCTATCTCTATCTCTATCTCTATCTCTAAATACCTATCAATATCTATATCTACATATCTTTATCTTTATCTATATCAATATATATCCATATATCTATATATCTACATATTGATATAAATAGATATCTATATATCTATCAATATCAATACCAATATCAATACCTACATATCTCTATTGCTATCTATATATATCTATATATATCTATATATATCTATGTATCTGCATATATATAGATATCTATATATCTGTCTCTATCTCTATCAACATCTATATCTATATCTATACCTATACCTACATCTATCTCTATATCTATCTCTATCTCCATCTATATCTATATCTAATATCTAATATCTAATATCTATACCTATCTATATCTATATATCTATATCTCTACCAACACCTATCTCTATCTCTATCTATCTATCAATACCTATCAATATCTATATCTACATATCTCTATCTATAATATCTATATATATATCCATATATCTATCTACATATCTATATAAATAGATATCTATATATCTATCAATATCAATATCAATACCAATATCAACATCTACATATCTCTATTGCTATCTATATATATCTATATCTGTATATCTATATATATCTATATATATGTATCTACATATATATAGATATCTATATATCTGTCTCTATCTCTATCAACATCTATATCTATATCTAATATCTATACCTATACCTACATCTATCTCTAAATCTCTATCTCTATCTCTATCTACATCTATATCTATATCTAATATCTATACCCATCTATATCTATATATCTATATCTCTACCAATACCTATCTCTATCTCTATCTCTATATCTCTCTATCAATACCTATCAATATCTATATCCACATATCTCTATCTTTATCTATAATATCTATATATATTCCATATATCTATATATCTACATATCTATATAAATAGATATCTATATATCTATCAATATCAATACCAATATCAATACCTACATATCTCTATTGCTATCTATATATATCTATATATATCTATGTATCTACATATATATAGATATCTATATATCTGTCTCTATCTCTATCAACATCTATATCTATATCTAATATCTATACCTATACCTACATCTATCTCTATATCTATCTCCATCTATATCTACATATCTTTATCTTTATCTATATCAATATATATCCATATATCTATATATCTACATATTGATATAAATAGATATCTATATATCTATCAATATCAATACCAATATCAATATCTACATATCTCTATTTCTATCTATATATATCTATATCTGTATATCTATAGATATCTATATATCTGTCTCTATCTCTATCTCCATCTATATCTATATCTAATATCTATACCTATACCTACATCTATCTCTATATCTATCTCCATCTATATCTATATCTATATCTATATCTATATCTATATCTATATCTATATCTAATATCTATACCCATCTATATCTATATATCTATATCTCTACCAATACCTATCTCTATCTCTATCTCTATCTCTATCTCTATCTATCAATACCTATCAATATCTATATCTACATATCTTTATCTTTATCTATATCTATATATATCCATATATCTATATATCTACATATTGATATAAATAGATATCTATATATCTATCAATATCAATACCAATATCAATACCTAATATCTCTATTTCTATCTATATATATCTATATCTGTATATCTATATATATCTATATATATCTATGTATCTGCATATATATAGATATCTATATATCTGTCTCTATCTCTATCAACATCTATATCTATATCTAATATCCATACCTATACCTACATCTATCTCTATATCTATCTCCATCTATATCTATATCTATATCTATATCTATATCTATATCTATATCTAATATCTATACCCATCTATATCTATATATCTATATCTCTACCAATACCTATCTCTATCTCTATCTCTATCTCTATCTCTATCTCTATCTATCTATCAATACCTATCAATATCTATATCTACATATCTTTATCTTTATCTATATCAATATATATCCATATATCTATATATCTACATATTGATATAAATAGATATCTATATATCTATCAATATCAATACCAATATCAATATCTACATATCTCTATTTCTATCTATATATATCTATATCTGTATATCTATAGATATCTATATATCTGTCTCTATCTCTATCTCCATCTATATCTATATCTAATATCTATACCTATACCTACATCTATCTCTATATCTATCTCTATCTCCATCTATATGTATATCTATATCTATATCTATATCTATATCTATATCTAATATCTATACCCATCTCTATCTATATATCTATATCTCTACCAATACCTATCTCTATCTCTATCTCTATCCTCTATCTCTATCTCTATCTATCAATACCTATCAATATCTATATCTACATATCTTTATCTTTATCTCTATCTATATATATCCATATATCTATATATCTACATATTGATATAAATAGATATCTATATATCTATCAATATCAATACCCAATATCAATATCTACATATCTCTATTTCTATCTATATATATCTATATCTGTATATCTATATATATATATATATATCTATATCTATGTATCTGCATATATATAGATATCTATATATCTGTCTCTATCTCTATCAACATCTATATCTATATCTAATATCTATACCTATACCTACATCTATCTCTATATCTATCTCTATCTCCATCTATATCTATATCTATATCTATATCTAATCTATATCTATCTATATCTATATCTAATATCTATACCCATCTATATCTATATATCTATATCTCTACCAATACCTATCTCTATCTCTATCTCTATCTCTATCTCTATCTCTATCAATACCTATCAATATCTATATCTACATATCTCTATCTATATCTATATATATCCATATATCTATATATCTACATATTGATATAAATAGATATCTATATATCTATCAATATCAATATCAATACCAATATCAATATCTACATATCTCTATTGCTATCTATATATATCTATATCTGTATATCTATATATATCTATATATATGTATCTACATATATATAGATATCTATATATCTGTCTCTATCTCTATCAACATCTATATCTATATCTAATATCTATACCTATACCTACATCTATCTCTATATCTATCTCTATCTCCATCTATATCTATATCTATATCTAATATCTAATATCTATACCTATCTATATCTATATATCTATATCTCTACCAATATCTATCTATATCTACATCTACATCTATACCTCTATCTATATTATCTATATCTCCATCTACATATCTATCAATACCTATCAATATCTATATCTCTCTCTCTCTCTCTCTCTCTCTCTGGCAGGAGCCCCCCAGACCCCCACTCACCCCCCCGGTGCAGCGCGGTCCGGCCCCTCTTGTCGGCGGCGTCGGCGCGTGGAGCCCTTGTCCAGCAGGAGATGGACACAGTCCACGTGGCCGTTCATGATGGCCAGCATCAGAGGGGTCCTGCAGGGGAAAGGAGGAGAACTCATGAGAGCTGCAAGGACCTGGGGGGGTTGGCATGGAGGATTCATGGAGAGCTGCAAGGACCTGGGGGGGTTGGCATGGAGGATTCATGGAGAGCTGCAAGGACCCTGGGGGGGTTGGCATGGAGGATTCATGGAGAGCTGCAAGGACCTGGGGGGGGGGTTGGCATGGAGGATTCATGGAGAACAGCAAGAGCATGGAGGAAATTGGGGTGGAGAATTCATGGAGAACACCAAGAACATGGAGGGATTGGGGTGGAGAATTCATGGAGAGCACCAAGAGCATGGAGAGGTTGGGATGGAGGATTCATGGAGAACACCAAGAACATGGAGGGATTGGGTGGAGAATTCATGGAGAGCACCAAGAGCATGGAGGGGTTGGGATGGAGGATTCATGGAGAGCAGCAAGAACCTGGAGGGAAAAGGGATGGAGGATTCATGGAGAACACCAAGAACATGGAGGAGTTGGGATGGAGAATTCATGGAGAGCAGCAAGGACCTGGAGGGGTTTGGGATGGAGGATTCATGGAGAGCACCAAGAACATGGAGAGGTTGGGATGGAGGATTCATGGAGAGCACCAAGAACATGGAGAGGTTGGGATGGAGGATTCATGGAACCCACCAAGAGCCTGGAGGGGAAAGGGAAGGGAATGGAGAATTCATGGAACTGACAAAAAGCCTGGAAGGTTGGGATGGTGGGGATGGAGAATTCATGGAGAGCACCAAGAATATGGAGGGACTGGGATGGAGAATTCATGGAGAGCTTCAAGAGTCTGGAGGGTTGGGATGGAAAATTTATGGAATCCACCAAGAGCCTGAAGGATTGGATGGAGAATTCATGGAGACCACCAAGGACATGGAGGGGGTTTGGGATGGAGAATCCATGGAGAGCACCAAGAACATGCAGGGGAAAGGGATGGAGAATTCATGGAGACCACCAGAGTCTGGAGGGGTTTGGGATGGAGAATTCATGGAACTGACAAAGAGCCTGGAAGGTTGGGATGGTGGAGATGGAGAATTCATGGAGAGCACCAAGAACCTGGAGGGTTTGGGATGGAGAATTCATGGAACCGACAAAGAGCCTGGAAGGGTTGGGACAACTGGAAATGGTGCTGAGGGACACTTGGGAAGGTGGTGGCACCTCTGGGATAAGACATTTAAGCAAGCAAAAAATGGAAGGTTCTTGTGCAGAGGACGTGGGATGGACTGAGCACAGCCCCCATCCCCCAGGGAGGAGCAGAAGAGCTGGGAAGGGTCAGGAGAAGCTCCTTTGGAACCACTTCCCCTCTCATGATCCCACCATGATTTCATCACCAATAAACCCAATTAATGAATATCCCAAATTCCAGCTCATTTTGGCCATGTCTGTCGGAGTTTGCTGAGGGATCTCCTCTGGTCCTCATCTCAAGCTGGGACCTTCCAGCAGGTTCCACTCCTGTCTCATGATCCCACCATGATTTCATCACTAATAAACCCAATTAATGAATATCCCAAATTCCAGCTCATTTTGGCCATGCTGGAGCTGCTGAGGGATCTCCTCTGGTCCTCATCTCAAGGTAGAACCTTCCAGCAGGTTCCACTCCCTGTCTCATGATCCCACCATGATTTCATCACCAATAAACCCAATTAACGAATATCCCAAATTCCAGCCCCATTTTGGCCATGACAGAGGTGCTGAGGGATCTCCTCTGGTCCTCATCTCAAGGTAGAACCTTCCAGCAGGTTCCACTCCTGTCCCAGGATCCCACCATGATTTCATCACTAATAAACCCAATTAATGAATATCCCAAATTCCAGCCCCGTTTTGGCCATGACAGAGGTGCTGAGGGATCTCTCCTGGTCCTCATCTCAAGCTGGGACCTTCCAGCAGGTTCCACTCCCTGTCCCAGGATCCCACCATGATTTCATCATTAATAAACCCAATTAATGAATATCCCAAATTCCAGCCCCGTTTTGGCCATGACAGAGGTGCTGAGGGATCTCCTCTGGTCCTCATCTCAAGCTGGGACCTTCCAGCAGGTTCCACTCCTGTCTCATGATCCCACCATGATTTCATCATTAATTAACTCAACCAATATCCCAAATTCCAGCCCCGTTTTGGCCATGCTGGAGCTGCTGAGGGATCTCTCCTGGTCCTCATCTCAAGCTGGGACCTTCCAGCAGGTGGCCCTGGTGGCCCTGGTGGCACTCACTGGCCGTGGATGTCCATGACGTCGGTGATGTCCGCCCGCTCGCCGCTGTCGATCAGGAGGTGCAGGGAATCCGTGTTCCCGTTGGCAGCTGGGCACGGGAACGGGAAATGGGAGGAGGAAAAGGGCAGGAGGAAAAGAGGGATGAGGCAAAGAGAGACAACAAAACCCCAAAACCCCCAAACCCCCAGAAGAAACTCATCCCCTGGGGTTTCTGCGTTCTGCCAAGCCTTGCCCCATCCCTTCCAGGATCCAGAACATGTCAGGAACCCTTCCAGGACCCTCCTAGGATACCTCCAGAACCCTTCCAGGACCTGCAGGAGCCCAGAACCCCTCAGGAACCCTCCCAGGACACCCCAAGAACCCTCCCCAGGACCTTTCCAAGTCACTTTGGGAACCCTTCCAGGACCTGCAAGAGCACCAGAACCCCTCAGGAACCCTCCCAGAACACTTCCAGAACCCTTCCAGGACCTTCCCAAGACACTTTTGGAACCCTTCCAAGACCTGCAGGAGCCTAGAACACCATGAGAACCCTCCTAGGATATTCCAGAACCCTCCAGGACACCCCAAGAACCCTCCCAGGATCCAGAACACCCCAAGAACCCTTCCAGAACCATCCCAGAACCCTCCCAAGTCACTTTGGGAACCCTTCCAAGACCTGCAGGAGCCCAGAACCTCTGAGGAAACCCTCCCAGAACCCTTCCAAGACCTGCAGGAGCCCAGAACCCTCTGAGGAACCCTCCCAGAACCCTTCCAAGAGCTGCAGGAGCCCAGAACCCTCTGAGGAATCCTTCCAGAACCTTCCCAGAACACCCCAAGAACCCTTCCAGAACCATTCCAGGACCCTCTCAAGTCACTTTGAAGCCCTTCAAGACCTGCAGGAGCCCAGAACCCCTGAGGAACCCCTCCCAGGGACACCCCAAGAACCCTCCCAGAACCCTTCCAGGACCCTCCCAAGACACTTTTGGAACCCTTCCAGGACCTGCAGGAGCCCAGAACCCCTCAGGAGCCCTTCCAGAACCTTCCCAGAACACCCCAAGAACCCTCCCAGAACCATTCCAGGGACCCTCCCAAATCACTTTGAAGCCCTTCCAAGACCTGCAGGAGCCCAGAACCTCTGAGGACCCTTCCAGAACCTTCCAGAACACCCCAAGGATCCTTCCAGAACCATCCCAGGACCCTCTCAAGTCACTTTTGGAACCCTTCCAAGACCTGCAGGAGCCCAGAACCCCCTGAGGAACCCTGCCAGGTGCCACCTGCAGCGTGGAGAGGCGTCCACTTCCTCTTCCTCTCCTTGACCAGGGCGGAGGCGCCGTGGCTGGTGAGCACCTGCACGCACTCGCTGGCGCCGCGCTCCGTGGCCAGGTAGAGCGCGGTGCGGCCCTTGTGGTCCCGCACGTCCAGGTTCACCAGCGTCTCGGCCAGAGCCTTGAGGGCTTCACAGTGACCATTGTAGGCCTGGGGACGGCCAGAAATGTCCTTTCAGTGCCCAAAGTGTCCCTCAGGTACGCAAAGTGTCCTTCAGGTACCCAAAGTGTCCCTCAGGAACTCAAAGTGTCCCTCAGGTAACCAGAAATGTCCCTTGGGCAATCAGAAAAGTCCTCTCAGGAGCCAAAGTGTCCCTCAGGTACACAAGGTGTCCCTCAGGTACACAAGGTGTCCCTCAGGTAACAAGAAATGCCCTCCAGACAACCAAAGCGTCCCTCAGGTACCCAAAGTGTCCTCCAGGTACTCAAAGTGTCCCTCAGGCACCCAAAGTGTCCCTCAGGAACTCAAAGTGTCCCTCAGGCAACCAGAAATGTCCCCTGGGTACCCAAAGTGTCCCTCAGGTAACCAGAAATGTCCTTTCAGTACCCAAAGCGTCCCTCAGGTAACAAGAAATGCCCTCCAGGCACCCAAAGTGTCCCTCAGAACTCAAAATGTTCCTTCAGGTACCCAAAGTGTCCCTCAGGTACTCAAAGTGTCCCTCCGATAACCAGAAATGTCCCCCTGGGTACCCAAAGTGTCCTCCAGGTACTCAGAGTGTCCCCTCAGGTACCCAAAGTGTCCTCCAGGTACTCAAAGTGTCCCCTCAGGTACCCAAAATGTCCCCTCAGGTAACCAGAAATGTCCCTCAGGTACCCAAAGTGTCCCCCAAGTAACCAGAAATGTCCCTCAGGTACCCAAAGTGTCCCCTTCCATTTCATCAACTCAAAATGTTCCTTCAGGTACCCAAAGTGTCCCTCAGGTACTCAAAGTGTCCCTCGATAACCAGAAATGTCCCCTGGGTACCCAAAGTGTCCTCCAGGTACTCAGAGTGTCACACAGGTACCCAAAGTGTCCTTCTAGCAACCAAAGTGTCCCTCAGGTACCCAAAGTGTCCCTCAGGTAGCTGGAGTGTTCCTCAGGTAGTCAAAGTGTCACCCAGCGACCCAAAGTGTCCCTCAGGTACCCAAAGTGTCCCTCAGGTAACCAGAAATGTCCTCCAGGCAACTAAAGTGTCCTTCAAGTACCCAAAGTGTCCTCCCGGGTACCCAAAGTGTCTTTCAGGAACCCAAAGTGTCCTTCAGGCACCCAAATGTCCCCAGAAAAGTCCCTCAGGCACCCAACGTGTCCCTCAGGAACTCAAAGTGTCCCTCAGGTAACCAGAAATGTCCTCCAGACAACTAAAGTGTCCTTCAAGTGCCAAAGTGTCCCTCAGGTACTCAAAGTGTCCCTCAGGTAAGCAGAAATGTCCTCCAGGTACCCAGAGTGTCCTTCAGGTACTCAAAGTGTCCTTCAGCTAACCAAAACTGTCCCTTGGGTAACCCAAAAATGTCCCTCAGGCAACCAGAGAAGTCTCCCGGGTACCCAAAGTGTCCCCAGTGTCCCTCAAGCACCTGAAGTGTCCTTGAGGCACCCAGAAATGTCCCTTGGTACACCTTGGGCACCTAAAGTGTCCTTGAGGCACCCAGAAATGTCCCTTGGTACACCTTGGGCACCTAAAGTGTCCTTGAGGCACCCAGAAATGTCCCTTGGTACACCTTGGGCACCTAAAGTGTCCTTGAGGCACCCAGAAATGTCCCTTGGTACACCCTTGGGCACCTAAAGTGTCCTTGAGGCACCCAGAAATGTCCCTCACCGGCGTCTCAGCCAGAGCCTTGAGGGCTTCACAGTGACCACTGTAGGCCTGGGGACAGGGGACACGCAGGTCATGGCCAGGACGTGGCAGGTGGGACACGCAGGTGGCAGGTGGAAGTGTCCCTCAGGTACCCAAAGTGTCTTCAGGAACCCAAAGTGTCCCTCAGGCACCCAAATGTCCCCAGAAAAGTCTCTCCAGGTAACCAAAGTGTCCCTCAGGTACCCAAAGTGTCCCCCAAGTAACCAGAAATGTCCCTCAGACACCCAAAGTGTCCCTCAGGTACTCAAAGTGTCCTTCAGGTACCCAAAGTGTCCCTCAGGTACTCAAAGTGTCCTTCAGATAACCAGAAATGTCCCCTGGGTACCCAAAGTGTCCCTCAGGTAGCTGGAGTGTTCCTCAGGTAGTCAAAGTGTCACCCAGCGACCCAAAGTGTCCCTCAGGCACTCAAAGTGTCCCTCAGGAACTCAAAGTGTCCCTCAGGTAACCAGAATGTCCCCTGGGTACCCAAAGTGTCACCCAGCCACCCAAACTGTCCTTCAGGCACCCAAAGTGTCCCCTCAGGTAACCAGAAATGTCCCCTGGGTACCCAAAGTGTCCCTCAGGAACTCAAAGTGTCCCTCAGGTAACCAGAAATGTCCTCCAGGTACCCAGAGTGTCCCTCAGGTACCCAGAGTGTCACCCAGGCACCCAGAAATGTCCCTGTCATGCACCCAGAAGTGTCTCCTAAAGCACCCCCTGAGCACCCAGAAATGTCCCCACCAGAAATGTCACCCCCAGAACCCTTGCAGGACCCAGAACACCCCAAGAACCCTTCCAGGACCCTTCCAAGACCCTGTGGGAACCCTTCCAGGACCTGCAGGAGCCCAGAACCCCTCAGGAACCCTTCCAGAACCCTCCAGAACCCTTCCAGGACACCCCAGACCCCTCTCAGGACCTACAGGAGCCCAGAACCCCTCGGGGAACCTCCAGGACCCTCAGGAACCCTCCAGGACCCCTCAGGAACCTTCCAGGACCCTGAGGAACCCTCCCAGGACCCTCAGGAACCCTCCAGGACCCTGAGGAACCCTCCCAGGACCCTGAGGAACCTTCCAGGACCCTCAGGAACCCTCCAGGACCCTGAGGAACCCTCCAGGACCCTCAGGAACCCTCCAGGACCCTCAGGAACCCTCCAGGACCCTCAGCAACCCTTCCAGGACCCTCAGGAACCCTCCAGGGACCCTCAGGAACCCTCAGGACCCTCAGGAACCCTCCCAGGACCCGCAGGAACCCTCCAGGACCCTCAGGAACCCTCCTAGGGACCCTCAGGAACCCTCCAGGACCCTCAGGAACCCTCCCAGGACCCGCAGGAACCCTCCAGGACCCTGAGGAAACCCTCCAGGACCCTGAGGAACCCTCCAGGACCCTCAGGAACCTTCCAGGACCCTGAGGAACCCTCCAGGACCCTCAGGAACCCTCCCAGGACCCTCAGGAACCCTTCCAGGACCCGCAGGAACCCTCCAGGACCCTGAGGAACCCTTCCAGGACCCTCAGGAACCTCCAGGACCCGCAGGAACCCTCCAGGACCCTGAGGAACCCTCCAGGACCCTCAGGAACCCTCCAGAACCCTCCAAACCTCCAGGACCGAGAACCCTCCCAGGACCCTCAGGAACCCTCCAGGACCCTCAGGAACCCTCCAGGACCCCTCAGGAACCCTCCAGGACCCGCAGGACTCACAGCTAAGTTGCAAAGGGCTGACTGGAACGGTGCTTTCCACATCCTCCAGGCAGTTAAAGGACATTTCCAGGAGCTGCAAGGACAAAAAACCCAAATCCAGAACTGACCCCTGGAGCTCCCCAAACCCACCCTGAGCTGCACAAGGGGAAAAAACCCAAAAACTCAAAAAACCTCCAAGTTCAAAACCCCAAAAATTCCAAAAATCCTGACCCCAAAACTCCAAAAATCCCAACCCCAAAGCCCCAAAAACCCCCAAAAATTCTGACCCAAAACCTCCAGAAACTCCAAACCCCAAAACCTCCAACTCCAAACCCCAAAACCTCCAAAAATCCCAACTCCAAAACCCCAAAAACCCCAAAAATTCTGACCCAAAACCTCCAGAAACTCCAAACCCCAAAACTCCAACTCCAAAACACCCAAAAATCCCAACTCCAAAACCCCAAAAATTCAAGAAATCCTGACCCCAAAAGTCCAAAAACCTTTACCCCAAAAACTCCAAAAATCCTGACCCCAAAAGCCAAAAAATCCCAACCCCCAAAGCCCCAAAAAATCCAAAAATCCCAACCCTAAAACCCAAAAAACTCCAAAAATCCCAACCCAAAAACGCCAAAAAATTCAAAAATCCCAACCCCCAAACCCCAAAAACTCCAAAAATCCCAACCCCAAAACCCCAAAAATTCAAGAAATCCTGGCCTCAAAACCCAAAATCTCAAAAAAAGATCTTGGCCCTAAAACCCAAAAACTCCAAAATCCAAACCCAAAACTCCAAAAATCCCAATGCCAAAACCCCAAAAAATCCAAAAATTCTGACCCCCAAAACCCAAAAATTCCAAAAATCCTGACCCCAAAACTCCAAAAAATCTTGGCCCTAATACCCAAAAACTCCAAAAATCCCACCCAAAACCCCAAAAAAATCCGAAAATCCCATGCCAAAACCCCAAAAACTCCAACCCATAAACCCCAAAATTTGGGATGGGCTATTATTCCAAAATTCCCGTTTTCCTGACTCGCATTCCCATCTTTTCTCTCAGTTTTGAGTTTTTCAGCTCAAATTTTCTCTCCAGCTCAGATTTTCCCTTTTTCTGGGAGGATTTTCCCTTTTTATTTTTTTATTTTTTTCCTGGTTGCGATTTTCCCTCATTTCCTGGATGATTTTCTCCCATTTCTGGAATTGTTTTCCCCCTTCCCTGGGGGTGTTTTTCCTCCATTTCCTGAATTATTTCCCCTCATTTCTTGGATGATTTTCCCCCATTCCTGGGAGTGATTTTCCCCCTTTTCTGGCTGATTTTCCCCCTTTTCTGCAGTCAATTTTCCCCATTTCTGGGGGTGTTTACCCCCCCCCAATTTCCTGGCACTGATTTCCTCTATTTCCTGGCTGATTTTCCCCCATTTCTGGGTGATTTTCCCCCATTTTTGGGGGTGATTTTCCCCCTTTCTTGGGAACAATTTCCCCCCTTTCCTGGGGATAATTTCCCCCCATTTCCTGGGTGTGTTTTCCCCCATTTCTTGAATTATTTTCCCTCATTTCCTGGATGATTTTCCCCTCGTTTCTAGGGGTGTTTTCCCCCATTCCTGGGGATATTTCCCCCCATTTCTGGAGGTGTTTTCTCCCATTTCTGGGGATGATTTTCCCCCTTTTTTTGGGGGTGTTTTACCCCATTTCCTTTATGGTTTCCCCTCATTTTCTGGCTGATTTTCCCCCATTCCTGGTGGTATTTTCCCCCATTCCTGGGAGTGATTTTCCCCCTTTTCCTGGACGATTTTCCCCCTTTTCTGGGAAATGTTTTCCTCCATTTCCTGCCTGATTTTCCCCTCATTCCCTGCCTGATTTTCCCCTCATTTCTTGGGGTGTTTCCCCTCATTTCCTGGGGATATTTTTCCCCATTTTTGGGGCTGCTTTCCCCCATTCCTTGAGGTGTTTCCCCCCATTTTTGGGGAGGTTTTCCCCCATACCTGGTGGTGTTTTCCCCCATTTTTGGGGCTTTTTCCCCCATTTTTGGGGCTGTTTTCCCCCATTCCTGGTGGTGTTTTCCCCCATTCCTTGAGGTGTTTTCCCCCATTTTTGGGGCTGTTTCCCCCCATTTCTGGGGATGCTTTCCCCCATTCCTGGTGGTGTTGTCCCCCATTTTTTGGGGCTGTTTCCCCCCATTTTTGGGGCTGTTTTCCCCCATTTTTTGGGAGGTTTTCCCCCATTTCTGGGGCTGCTTTCCCCCATTTTTGAGGCTGTTTTCCCCCATTTTTGGGGAGGTTTTCCCCCATTTTTTGGGAGGTTTTCCCCATTTCTGGGGCTGTTTTCCCCCATTTTTGGGGCTGTTTTCCCCCATTCCTTGAGGTGTTTTCCCCCATTTTTGGGGCTGTTTTCCCCCATTTTTGAGGCTGTTTTCCCCCATTTTTGGGGAGGTTTTCCCCCATTTCTGGGGCTGCTTTCCCCCATTTTTGGGGCTGTTTTCCCCCATTTTTGAGGCTGTTTTCCCCCATTTTTGAGGCTGTTTTCCCCCATTTTTGGGGCTGTTTTCCCCCATTTTTGAGGCTGTTTTCCCCCATTTTTGGGGCTGCTTTCCCCCATTTTTGAGGCTGTTTTCCCCCATTTTTGGGGAGGTTTTCCCCCATTTCTGGGGCTGTTTCCCCCCATTTCTGGGGCTGCTTTCCCCTCTCCTGGAGCCCTCACCAGCTCGAGGTTCTGCCGGTTGCCGTAGGCGGCCGCGTAGTGGACGGCGGTGTAGCCCTGCTTGTCCCGCAGGGAGGGGTCAGCACCGTTGTCCAGCAGGAATTCCAGACAGCTGAAATTGGGAAAAAACCCCAAAAAATGAAAGAAAAGGATAAAAAAAACCTGTAGGGAAAAGTCACAAAATCTCACAGAAAGTGCTGGGAGTGAAGGGGGTGGGTTTGGGCAGGGGGTTCCTCTCCTGAGGGTCTGCAGAGGATTCCCAGTAAATTCCCATTAAATTCCCAGTAAATTCTCATTAAAATCCCAGTAAATTCCCAGTAAAATTCCCATCAAATTCCCTTTAAATTCCCAGCAAATTCTCAGCAAAATTCCCAGCAAATTCTCAGTAAAATTCCCAGTAAAAAATTCCCAGTAAATTCCCATTAAAATCCCAGTAAATTCCCAGTAAAATTCCCATCAAATTCCCAGCAAATTCTCAGCAAAATTCCCAGTAAAATTCCCAGTAAATTCCCATTAAATTCCCAACAAATGCTCAGCAGAATTCCCAGCAAATTCCAATAAAATCCCAGCTAATTCCCATTAAATTCCCAGTAAAATCCCAGTAAATTCCCAGGGAAATTCCAGGAAAATTGCTATCAAATTCCCAGCAATATTCCCAGTAAAATCTCAGTCATTTTTAGCATATTCCCTGAAAATTCCCATTAAATGCCCAGTAAATTCCCAGCTAATTCCCATCAAATTCCCAGTAAAATCCCAGTAAAAAAAATCCCAGTAAATTCCCTTTAAATTCCCAGCAAATTCCCTTTAAATTCCCAGCTAATTCTCAGCAAAATGTCCCCAGCAAATTTCAGTAAAATCCCAGCTAATTCCCATTAAATTCCCATCAAATTCCCAGTAAATTCCCATCAAATTCCCAGTAAAACCCCATTAAATTCCCAGTAAGTTCCCAGCAAATCCCCAGTAAATTTTAGCAAATTCCCATTAAATTCCCAGTTAAATCCCAGTTAAATCCCAGTTAAATTCCAGTTCATTCCCACTCCATTTCCAGTTCATTCCCAGTTAATTTCCAGTCCATCCCAGTCTGCTCCAAATCCATCCCAGTTAATCCCAGCCTCTTCCCAATCCGTTCCCATTCCATTCCCAGTCCCTCCCAGTCCCTCCCAGTTCAATCCCAGTCCCTCCCAGTTAAATCCCAGTCCATTCCAGTTCAATCCCAGTTAATCCCAGTCCCTCCCAGTTCAATCCCAGTCCCTCCCAGTTAAATCCCAGTCCATTCCAGTTCAATCCCAGTTAATCCCAGTCTCTCCCAGTCCATCCCAGTCCCTCCCAGTCCCTCCCAGTTAAATCCCGGTCCCTCCCAGTTAAATCCCAGTCCATTCCAGTTCAATCCCAGTTAAATCCCAGTCCCTCCCAGTCCATCCCAGTCCCTCCCAGTTAAATCCCGGTCCCTCCCAGTTCAATCCCAGTCCCTCCCAGTCCCTCCCAGTCCCTCCCAGTTAAATCCCGGTCCCTCCCAGTTCAATCCCAGTCCATTCCAGTTCAATCCCAGTTAATCCCAGTCTCTCCCAGTTCAATCTCAGTCCCTCCCAGTCCCTCCCAGTTAAATCCCAGTCCCTCCCAGTCCATCCCAGTCCCTCCCAGTTAAATCCCGGTCCCTCCCAGTTCAATCCCAGTCCCTCCCAGTCCATTCCCAGTCCCTCCCAGTCCATTCCCAGTCCCTCCCAGTTAAATCCCAGTCCATTCCAGTTCAATCCCAGTCCCTCCCAGTCCATCCCAGTTCAATCCCAGTCCCTCCCAGTCCATTCCCAGTCCATCCCAGTCCATCGCAGTTCAATCCCAGTCCCTCCCAGTTCAATCCCAGTCCCTCCCAGTTAAATCCCGGTCCCTCCCAGTTAAATCCCAGTCCACCCCAGTTCAATCCCAGTCCATCCCAGTCCCTCCCTGTCCCTCCCAGTTAAATCCCGGTCCCTCCCAGTTCAATCCCAGTCTCTCCCAGTCCCTCCCAGTCCCTCCCAGTCCCTCCCAGTCCATCCCAGTCCCTCCCTGTCCCTCCCAGTTAAATCCCGGTCCCTCCCAGTTCAATCCCAGTCCCTCCCAGTCTCTCCCAGTCCCTCCCAGTCCCTCCCAGTCTCACAAGAACGCCTCCTTCAGCCTCGACTCCTTCAGGGGCTCCTCCTCGCTGGGTCCTGAGTGAGCCTCGGCTCTGCAGCGGCACCGGGGACACCGCGGGGACAATGGGGACAATGGTGACAATGGGGACAGGGGACAGTGACAGCGACCACGGGGACACCACGGTGCCACCAGTGCCACTGCGGGTTGGTGACAGTGACCATGGGGGACACCACAGTGCCACTGGGGCCACCACGGTGACAATGGTGACAGGGGACAGTGACCACAGGGACACCACGGTGCCACCAGTGCCGCTGCGGGTTGGTGACAGTGACCACAGGGACACCACAGTGCCACCACGGGTTGGTGACAATGATCATGGTGTCACCTCCAGTGCCACTGTAGGTCGGTGACAGTGACCACTGTGCCACCTTTAATGCAACCGCAGGTTGGTGACAGTGCCCAGGGTGCCACCCCTGTGTCAGCCCCAGTGGCATTAGTGTCATGTCAGGCTGGTGACAATGCCCGCAGTGCTCCCAGGTGCCACCTCAGGCTTGTGACAATGGCCACGGTGCCGCCAGGGTGCCCCCACAGTGCCCTTGGTGCCATGTCAGGCTGATGACAACACCCATAGTGCCACTCCCAGTGCCACCTCAGGCTGGTGACAATGCCCGCGGTGCCCCCAGGGTGCCCTCCCAGTGCCCCCAGCGCCACCTGGGGTTGGTGCCAATGCGCCCAGTGCCACCTCAAGCCGGTGACAACACCCATAGTGCCACTCCCAGGGCCACCTGAGGTTGGTGACAGTGCCCCCAGGTGCCATCTCAGGCTGGTGACAGCGCCCCGGTGCCCCTGGGGTTGGTGGCGCTGCCCTCACCTGCGGTAGGTGTCGGAGGCGGCCGCGTAGTGCAGCGCCGTGCAGCCTGTGCCATCACTGACAGTGCCCCCTGCACCCCCGGTGCCACCTGGGCTGGTGACAATGCCCTGGTGCCACCTCAGGCTGGTGACAATGCCCCCAGGTGCCATCTCAGGCCGGTGACAATGCCCCCAGTGCCCCCCCAGTGCCATTAGTGCCACCTCAGGCTGGTGACAGTGCCCCCAGTGCCCCCGGTGCCCCCCAGGTGCCCTCACCTGTGGTAGGTGTCGAAAGCAGCCGCACAATGCAGCGCCGTGCACCCCCACAGTGCCACCTCAGGCTGGTGACAATGCCCCCAGGTGCCACCTCAGGCAGGTGACAATGCCCCCAGTGCCCCCAGTGCCACCTCAGGCTGGTGACAATGCCCCCAGGTGCCACCTCAGGCAGGTGACAATGCCCCCAGTGCCCCCAGTGCCACCTCAGGCTGGTGACAATGCCCCCAGGTGCCACCTCAGGCAGGTGACAATGCCCCCAGTGCCCCCAGTGCCACCTCAGGCAGGTGACAATGCCCCCGGTGCCCCCGGCAGTGCCCCCGGCGGTGCCCTCACCTGCGGTAGGTGTCGGAGGCGGCCGCGTAGTGCAGCGCCGTGCAGCCTTTGCCGTCGGCCTCGTTGACGCCGGCCCCGGCCGTCACCAGCGTCACCGTGCACTGGTAGCTGCCGTTGGCCGCCGCGTAGTGCAGGGGGGTCCTGGGGACACGGCGGGGGACAAAGGGGACAGCGCGGCCTCAGGGACCCGCCCGGAGCCCTGCGCGCCTGCCAGGACCTGCGGGAGCCCGGGATGCCCCGGGAACCCTTCCAGAACCTTCCAGCACCTGCAGGAGCCCAGGACACCCCCAGAACCCTTCCAGAACCTTCCAGGACCTGCAGGAGCCCAGAACATTCTGGAAACCCTTCCAGGACCCTCCCAGGACACCTCAGGAACCCACTCAGGACCTGCAGGAGCCCAGGACACCCTGAGAACCCTTCCAGGACCCAGAACACCTCAGGAACCCTCCCAGGACCTTCCCGGGACACTTTGTGACCTTTCCAGGACCTGCAGGAGCCCAGGACACCCCCAGAACCCTTCCAGGACCCAGTAGGAGCTCAGAACATTCTAGAAACCCTTCCAGGACCCAGCTGGAGCCCAGAACACTCCCCCAGAACCCTTCCAGGACCCAGAACACCCCAGGAACCCTTCGAGGACCCAGCAGGAGCTTAGAACATTCTGGAAACCCTTCCAGGACCCAGCTGGAGCCCAGGACACCCTGAGATCCCTTCCAGGACCCTCCCAGGACACTTTGGGGACCCTTCCAGGACCTGCAGGAGCCCAAGAACATTCTGAGGAACCCTTCCAGGACCCAGAACATTCTGGAAACCCTCCCAGGACCTTCCCAGGACACTCTGTGACCCTTCCAGGACCTGCAGGAGCCCAGAACACCCCAGGAACCCTCCCAGGACACTCTGGGGACCCTTCCAGGACCTTCCCAGGACACTCTGGGGACCCTTGCAGGACCTGCCGGGGGTTTGGAGCCCCCATGCCAGGGATGTCCCAGGCAGGAGCGTTGGTGTCCCCTCAGGAACCCAGAAATGTCCCCAGCCCTGATCTGGGAGTTGGGGACACCAGGGAGTCCCTGCCCAGGTGGCCCCAGGTGACCCCAGTCTGGGATTTGGGGACATTGGGATGTCCCCAAGTGTCCCCAGATGTCCCCAGGTGGTCCCAGGTGACTCAGCTCTGGGATTTGGGGACACCAGGAAGTCCCTGCCCAGGTGGCCCCAGGTGACCCCAGTCTCGGATTTGGGGACATTGGGATGTCCCTGCCCAGGTGGCCCCAGGTGTCCCCAGATGTCCCCAAGTCTGGGATTTGGGGACATTGATATGTCCCTGTCCAGGTGTCCACAGGTGACCCCAATCTGGGATTTGGGGACATTGGGATGTCCCTGCCCAGATGTCCCCAGGTGTCCCCAGTCTGGGATTTGGGGACACCAGGAAGTCCCAACCCAGGTGGCCCCAACTGACCCCGAGTCTGGGATTTGGGGACATTGAGATGTCCCTGCCCAGGTGGTCCCAGGTGACTCAGCTCTGGGATTTGGGGGACACCGGGATGTCCCCAAGTGTCCCCAGATGTCCCCAGGTGTCCCCAGGTGTCCCCGCTCACCTCCCGAACTTGTCCCTCCTCCGCAGGTCGGCGCCGCTGCTCAGCAGCAGGTTCAGACATTCAACGTTCCTGCAGGGGACAGGGACACGGCAGTGTCACCCAGGCCACCCCAGAGTGTCACCAGGCCACCCAGAAATGTCCCTCAGGCACCCAGAAATGTCACTACGCCACCCAGAGTGTCCTCCACCTACCAGAAATGTCCCCATGCCACCTGGTGTCCCCCCAGCCACCCAGAGTGTCCTCATGCCACCCGAAGTGTCACCATGCCACCCAAACTGCCCTTCAGGGAACCAGAAATGTCCCCATGACAACTGGAGTGTCCCCACGCCACCCAGAGTGTCCCCATGCCACCCAGAGTGTCACCATGCCACCCAGAGTGTCCCCATGACAACTGGAGTGTCCCCACGCCACCCAGAGTGTCACCATGCCACCCAGAGTGTCTTCCAGGTATCCAAAAATGTCTCCGTGTCACCCAAAGTGTCCCTCAGGCACCCCAAGTGTCACCAGGCCACCCAGAAATGTCCCCCCCACAAGTGTCACCCCCAGAACCCGTCCAGCTTCCCATCCCTGCTCTGAGCAGCTCCGTGCCCTCGCTCGGAGCACTGTCCCCATGTCCCCATGTCCCCAGGTGTCCCCATGTCCCCAGGTGTCCCCAAATGTCCCCAAGGTGTCCCCAGCCTTTCCCGAGCTGTCCCCGCAAGTGTCCCCAAGTGTCCCCAAGGTGTCCCCAAGGTGTCCCCAGCTGTCCCCACCCTCCGGAAGCAGCAGCGTGCAGACAGGTCCCGCCCAGGCTGTTGGGGGTGTCCCCATGTCCCCATATCCCCAGGGATCTCCACATCCCCATATCCCAGGTGCCCCCAGGTTATCCCCATGTCCCCAAGTGTCCCCAAATGTCCCCAAGGTGTCCCCATGTCCCCCCACCCTCCGGAAGCAGCAGCGTGCAGACAGCTCCTGCCCAGGCTGTCGGGGTTATCCCCATATCCCCAGACTGTCCCTGTGTCCCCAGCTGTCCCCTCATGTCCCCAGGTGTCCCCAAGGCTGTCCCCAGGTGTCCCCACCCTCTGGAAGCAGCAGCGTGCAGACAGCTCCTGCCCAGGTTGTCGGGGCTGTTCCTATGTCCCCATATCCCCAGGTGTCCCTAGGCTATCCCAAGGCTGTCCCCAGGTGTCCCCAAGGTGTCCCCAAATGTCCCCAAGGTGTCCCCACCCTCCGGAAGCAGCAGCGTGCAGACAGGTCCCACCCAGGTTGTGCCCTGGCTATCCCCATGTGCCCATGTCCCCATATCCCCAGGTTATCCCCATGTCCCCAAGGTGTCCCCAAATGTCCCCAAGCTGTCCCCACCCTCCGGAAGCAGCAGCGTGCAGACAGGTCCCGCCCAGGCTGTCGGGGCTGTCCCAAGGCTATCCCCAGGTGTCCCTATGTCCCCTCCGGCTGTCCCCAGGTTATCCCCATGTCCCCAAGGTGTCCCCAAATGTCCCCAAGCTGTCCCCACCCTCCGGAAGCAGCAGCGTGCAGACAGGTCCTGCCCAGGTTGTCGGGGGTGTTGATGTCGAAGCCGGCGCTCAGCACGTGCTCGTTGCTCAGCGAGGACACGATGCTGTACAACTGACCTGGGGGGACACCGGCGTCACCCGGCCGTCCCCGAGGGCCACCCGGCTGTCCCCGAGGGCCACCGGGGCGGGGCTGGCACGGGGACGGGGCGGGGACGGTCACCTGAGGAAAGCAGCTTGCGACAACAGTCGGAGAACCCGAAGAGAACGGCCAAGTGCAGGGGGAACATGTCGTGGATGCCGCGCCTGCAGGGACGGGTGGGGCAGGAATGGGAATTTTGGGATTGAAAACCTCCTCAAGTTTCTTAATTTTGGCATTAAAACCTCCTCAGATTTTTGAATTTTGATATTAAAAATCTCCTCAAATGTTTTAATTTTGGCATAAAAAAACCTCCTGGATTTTTTCATTTTGGGATTAAAAACCTCCTCAAGTTTCTTAATTTTGGCATTAAAACCTCCTCAGATTTTTTAATTTTGATATTAAAAATCTCCTCAAATGTAATCTCCTCAAATGTTTTAATTTTGGCATAAAAAAACCTCCTGGATTTTTTCATTTTGGGATTAAAAACCTCCTCAAGTTTCTTAATTTTGGCATTAAAACCTCCTCAGATTTTTTAATTTTGGGATTAAAAATCTCCTCAAGTGTTTTGAGATTAGAATTTCCTCCGATGCTTTTAATTTTGGGATTAGAAACCTCCTCAAATGTTTTAATTTTGGCATAAAAAAAACCTCCTCACATTTTTAACTTTTGGCATTAAAACCTCCTCAAATTTTTAAATTATGAGATTAAAAATCTCCTTAAAGTTCTTATTTTTGGCATTAAAAACCTCCTCAAATTTTTTCATTTTGGGACTAAAAATCTCCACACATTTTTTTAATTTTGGCATTAAAACCTCCTCAAGTTTTTAATTTCGGCATTTAAATCTCCTCAAGTTTTTTTAATTTTGGCATTAAAACCTTAAGATTTTTCATTTCGGCATAAAAACCTCCTCAAGTTTTTTTTTTTTAATTTTGGGATTAAAAACCTCATTATTTTTTTTAAATTTTGCCATAAAAACCTCCTCAATTTTTAAATTTTGCCATAAAAACCTCCTCAATTTTGTTTTAATTTTGGCATTAAAACCTTCTCAAGATTTTTCATTTCGGCATAAAAACCTCCTCAAGTTTTTTTTTTTAATTTTGGGATTAAAAACCTCATTAATTTTTTTAAATTTTGCCATAAAAACCTCCTCAATTTTGTTTTAATTTTGGCATTAAAACCTCCCCAAGGTGCTGCCGGCCTCCTCTGGGAAGGGTTTTGGTCACTTTGGGGTCTCTGGCTCCTTGGGCAGCTCCTTTGTCCTGGTGAGATCCCACCAGGGCTGGATCCAGCCCTGGGATGGGACATGGGATGGCACCAGGACCCAGAACGTTCTGGAAACCCTTCCAGGACCCACCCAGAACACCCCAGAACCCTTCCAGGACCCAGCAAGGAGCTCAGAACATTCTGGAAACCTTTCCAGAACTCTCCCAGGACACCCCAGAACCCCTCCAGGACCATTTAGGACCCCAGAACATTCTGGAAACCCTTCCAGGACCCAGCCAGGAGATTCTGAGAACCCTTCCAGGAGCTTAGAACATTCTGGAAACCCTACCAGGACCCAGAACATTCTGGAAACCCTTCCACAACTGTCCTTGGACCTTTCAGGAACCCTTCCAGGACCCTCCCAAGACACTCCAGAACCCCTCCAGGAGCCAGCAGGAGACCAGAACATTCTGGAAACCCTTCCAGGACTCTCCCAGAACATTCTGGAAACCCTCCCAGGACTCTCCCAGAACACTCTGGAAACCCTTCCAGAACCCACCCAGAACACCCCAGAACCCTTCCAGGACCCATCCAGAACATTCCGGAAACCCTTCCAGGGTTCTCCTGGAACACCCCAGAGCCCTTCCAGGACCCAGAACATTCTGGAAACCCTTCCAGGACCCTCCCAGGACACTTTGGGAACCTTTCCAGGAGCTCAGAACATTCTGGAAACCCTTCCAGGACCCTCCTAGGACCCTTTAGGAACCCTCCCAGGACCCAGCAGGACCCAGAACATTCTGGAAACCCTTCCAGGACTCTCCCAGAACATTCTGGAAACCCTCCCAGGATCCTCCCAGGCCACTTTGGGAACCCTTCCAGGAGCTTAGAACACTCTGGAAACCCTTCCAGAACCCACCCAGAACACCCCAGAACCCTTCCAGGACCCATCCAGAACATTCTGGAAACCCTTCCAGGATTCTCCTGGAACACCCCAGAGCCCTTCCAGGACCCAGAACACCCCAGAACTCTTCCAGGACCCTCCCAAGACACTCCAGAACCCCTCCAGGAGCCAGCAGGAGACCAGAACATTCTGGAAACCCTTCCAGGACTCTCCCAGAACATTCTGGAAACCTTCCCAGGATCCTCCCAGGCCACTTTGGGAACCCTTCCAGGAGCTTAGAACATTCTGGAAACCCTTCCAGGACCCAGCAGGAGCACAGAACCCTTCCAGGACCCACCCAGGACATCCTGGAAACCCCTCCAGGACCCAGCAGGACCCAGAACATTCTGGAAACCCTTCCAGGACTCTCCCAGAACATTCTGGAAATCCTTCCAGGATCCTCCCAGGCCACTTTGGGAACCCTTCCAGGAGCTTAGAACACTCTGGAAACCCTTCCAGAACCCACCCAGAACACCCCAGAACCCTTCCAGGACCCATCCAGAACATTCCGGAAACCCTTCCAGGATTCTCCTGGAACACCCCAGAGCCCTTCCAGGACCCAGAACATTCTGGAAACCCTCCCAGGATCCTCCCAGGACACTTAGCTGGAGCTTAGAACATTCTGGAAACCCTCCCAGGACACCTTGGGAACCCTTCCAGGAGCTTAGAACATTCTGGAAACCCTTTCAGGACATTTTTGGAAACCTTTCTAGGACTCTCCCAAAACATCCTGGAAACCCTTCCAGGACCCAGAACATTCTGGAAACCCTTCCACAACTGTCCTAGCACCTTTCAGGAACCCTTCCAGGACCCAGAACACCCCAGAACTCTTCCAGGACCCTCCCAAGACACTCCAGAACCCCTCCAGGAGCCAGCAGGAGACCAGAACATTCTGGAAACCCTTCCAGGACCCAGCAGGAGCACAGAACCCTTCCAGGACCCACCCAGGACATCCTGGAAACCCCTCCAGGACCCAGCAGGAGACCAGAACATTCTGGAAACCCTCCCAGAACACCTTGGGAACCCTTCCAGGAGCTTAGAACATTCTGGAAACCCTTCCAGAACCCACCCAGAACATCCCAGAACTCTCCCAGGACCCAGCAGGAGACCAGAACATTCTGGAAACCCTTCCAGGACCCTCCCAGAACATTCTGGAAACCCTTCAAGGACCCAGAACATTCTGGAAACCCTTCCAGGATTCTCCTGGAACACCCCAGAACCCTTCAAGGACCCAGAACATTCTGGAAACCCTCCCAGGACCCTCCCAGCCCCCCCGGAAGGTTCTGGAAGGGCAGCCCGGGCTCACCTGGCAGTGTCAGCACCATTGGTCATTAACGTACTAATTAGCAGCTCGTGGCCGTATCTAGCAGCGACGTGCAGGGGGGTGTTGCCGTACTTGTCGGCACAGTCGATCTCACTGCCTGCGGGGCAGAGGCTCCGCTCTGTTCCGGAACGTTCCGCAATCCCAAATCCCGGAATTCCCACCCCAGATCCAACAATCCCACAATTCCCACCCCAGAAAAGGTTCTGGGCTCCAAAATTTCAGAATTCCCAAATCAGGGACATCTCCAAACCCAAAATTCCAGAATTCCCACCCAAGGGAGGGCTCTGGGCTCTGAAATCCTGGAATTTCCCCTCCAGATCCAAAAACCCCAAATTCCCATCCCAGATCCAACAATCCCACAATTCCCACCCCTGAGAAGGTTCCGGGCTCCGAAATCCCGGAATTCCCAAATCAGGGACACCCCCAAACCCCAAATCCCGTAATTTCCACCGCAGGGACACCCCCAGATTCAAAATCCCAGAATTGCCATCCCAGGCACAGATCCAGGCTCTGAAATCCCGGAATTCCCACCCCAGATCCAACAATCCCCGAATTCCCACCCCAGAAAAAGTTCTGGGCTCCAAAATCCCCAAATTTCCAAACCAGGGACGGATCCCAGAATTTCCAAACCAGGGAGAGATCCAGGCTCTGAAATCCTGGAATTCCCACCCCAGATCCAAAATCCTGGAATTTCCAAATCCGGGGACAGCCCCAGATCCAAAATCTCAGAATTTCCAAACCAGGGACAGATCTGGGCTCTGAAACTCTGGAATTCTCGCACCAGATCCAAAATCCCAGAATCCCCGCCCTGGGGACGGATCCAAGCACCAAAATCCCCAAATTCCCATCCCAGGGACACCCCTGGGCTCCCAAATCCCAAAATTCCCACTCCAGGTTCCAAAATCCCAGAATTTCCAAATCAGGGACAGATCCCAGATCCAAAATCCTGGAATTCCCATCCCTGAGAAGGTTCTGGGCTCCAAAATCCTGGAATTTCCAAACCCAGGGACAGCCCCAAACCCAAAATCCCAGAATTCCCATCCAAGATCCAAAATCCTGGAATTTCCAAGCCCAGGGACAGATCTGGGCTCCAAAATCCCCAAATTCCCATCCCAGGGACAGATGCATGCTCCAAAATCCTGGAATTTCCAAACCAAGGACAGCCCCAGATCCAAAATCCTGGAATTCCCACCCTAGAGAAGGTCCTGGGCTCCAAAATCCCAGAATTTCCAAACCAGGGACAGATCTGGGCTCTGAAACTCTGGAATTCCCATCCCAGATCCAAAATCCTGGAATTCCCACCCAAGGGAGGGCTTCAGGCTCCAAAATCCTGGAATTCCCATCCAGAGAAGATTCCGGGCTCTGAAATCCTGGAATTCCCACCCCAGATCCAAAATCCCAGAATTTCCAAATCAGGGACAGCCCCAGATCCAAAATCCTGGAATTCCCACTCTAGAGAAGGTCCCGGGCTCCAAAATCCCAGAATTTCCAAACCAGGGACACATCCGGGCTCCAAAATCCTCAAATTCCTACCCCAGATCCAAAATCCCAAAATTCCCACCCCAGGGACAGCCCCAGGTCCAAAAATCCAGGAATTCCCACAGCCAGGGACAGATCCAGGCTCCAAAATCCCCAAATTCCCACCCCCAAGGGCACCCCCAGATTCAAAATCCCCAAATTCCCATCCCAGAGATGGCCCCAAATCCAAAATCCTGGAATTTTGGAGGATGCTAACAGGAATTTTGGGGAAAAATACTGCAATATTGAAGGATCTGATGGGAATTTTGGGGAAAATATCGGAATTTTGGAGGATCTGATGGGAATTTCGGGGAAAAACATTGCAATATTGAAGGATCTGATGGGAATTTTGGGGAAAATATCGGAATTTTGGAGGATCTGATGGGAATGTTCTAATTTTATGAAAGGAATATTGGGGAAAACACCACAAGAGCCCCCCCTGGGGATTTGGGGTGATGGCTTGGGAAGGTCTGAACCCCCTCCCTGAGCCCCCAGGAGGTTCTGGAAGTTTCAGGGAAATTCGGGATCGGGCAGGAAAGGCCCCACTGACCATTCTGGATGAGGATCTGCGAGCGCGTGAACCGTCCGTGGATCGCCGCCATGTGCAGGGGGCTCTTCCCTTCCTTGCTCTGCAGGAACCCCACCAGGAGGGGCTCAGACACACCCCAAAAACACCCCAAAAACACCCCAAAAACACCCCAAAAATCCAAAACCACCCAACGCCCCCAGGAGGGGCTCAGACACACCCCAAAAACCCCAAAAATCCCAAAAACACCCCAAAAACCCAAATCCACCCAACGCCCCCAGGAGAGGCTCAGACACACCCCAGAACCACCCCAAAAACCCCAAAACCATCCCAAAACCACCCCAAAACCCCCAAAACCATCCCAAAACCACCCCAAAAACGCAAAACCACCCCAAAACCACCCTAAAAATGCAGAACCACCCCAAAACCACCCCAAAAAACCAAAACCACCCCAAAAAACCAAAACCACCCCAAAAAACCCAACACCTTCCCAAAACCACCCAATGTCACCAGGAGGGGCTCAGACACACCCCAAAACCCCAAAACCATCCCAAAACCATCCCAGAAACGCAGAACCACCACAAAACCACCCCAAAAATGCAGAACCACCCCAAAACCACCCCAAAAATCCAAATCCACCCAACGCCCCCAGGAGGGGCTCAGACACACCCTAAAACCACCCCAAAACCCCAAAACCACCCCAGAAACGCAGAACCACCACAAAACCACCCCAAAAATGCAGAACCACCCCAAAACCACCCCAAAAATCCAAATCCACCCAACGCCCCCAGGAGGGGCTCAGACACACCCTAAAACCACCCCAAAACCCCAAAACCATCCCAAAACCACCCCAAAAATGCAGAACCACCCCAAAGCCACCCCAAAAACCCGAAACCACCCAAAAACCTCCAACGCCAACAGGAGGGGCTCAGACACATCCCAACACCTTCTCCATCCTTCCGGCCCCAAAATCTTGAGGATCCCTCACCTGGAGCCACACCCCAAAACCTCCCCCATCCCCGAACCTCAGATCCCAAGGATTCTGGATCTGGAGCCACACCCCAACATCCTCCCCATCCCTCCAACCCCAAAATCTTGAGGATCCCTGACCTGGAGCCACACCTCCAACCCCAAACCTCAATTCCCTGACCTGGAACCACACCCCAAAACCTTCCCCAACCCCAAACCCTGATGTCCCTCACCTGTAACCACACTCCAAGAGCCCCCAACCCCAAGGTGCCCCACCTGTAACCACACACCAACACCTTCTCCATCCCTCCAACCTCAAACCCCAAGGATCCCTCACCTGTCACCACACCCCACCACCCCATAACCCCAACCCCAAGCCACCCCACATGGAAGTTGACCCCAAGACCCCCTGACCCCAACCCCGAGGTGCCCACCTGGAAGTTGACCCCAAGACCCCAAGTTGTCCCACCTGGAAGTTGACCCCTGGACGCCATAACCCCAACCCCAAGGTGCCCACCTGGAAGCTGACCTCAAACCTGAGGTGCCCACCTGGAAGCTGACCCCAACCCCAAGGTGCCCACCTGGAAATTGACCCCAAACGTGAGGTGCCCACCTGGAAGTTGACCCCAAATGTGAGGTGCCCACCTGGAAGCTGACCCCAAACCTGAGGTGCCCACCTGGAAGATGACCCCAAACCTGAGGTGCCCACCTGGAAGTTGACCCCAAATGTGAGGTGCCCACCTGGAAGATGACCCCAACCCCAAGGTGCCCACCTGGAAGATGACCCCAAACCTGAGGTGCCCACCTGGAAGCTGACCCCAACCCCAAGGTGCCCACCTGGAAATTGACCCCAAACCCAAGGTGCTCACCTGGAAGCTGACCCCAACCCCAAGGTGCCCACCTGGAAGTTGACCCCAACCCCGAGGTTCCCACCTGGAAGTTGACACCAAGACCCCATAACCCCAACCCCGAGGTGCCCACCTGGAAGCTGACCCCAAACCCGAGGTGCCCACCTGGAAGTTGACGTCGGCGCCGTTGTTGACGAGGATCTCGAGGCACAGGGCGCCGTTGGTGGAGACGGCGGCGAAGTGCAGGGGGGTGAAGCCCTTCTCGTTGGGCTGGTTGACGTTGGCCCCCACGTTGACCAGCTCGTTGGCCACCGCGTCCTGCCCCATGTAGCAGGCGATGTGCAGCGCCGTGTTCCCGAAGGAGTTGGGCTCGTCGATCTGTGGGACACGAAGGGGATGTGGGGTTTGTGGGGTAAACAGGGTCCATGGGGTCTGTGGGGTTTGTGGATCTGTGGGGTCAGTGGGGGCTGTGGGCGATGTGCAGCGCCGTGTTCCCAAAGGAGTTGGGCTCGTCGATCTGCAGGACACGAAGGGGATGTGGGGTTTGTGGGGTAAACAGGGTCTGTGGGGTCCATGGGGCCTGTGGGGGCTTTGGGGTCAATGGGGTCCTTGAGGTCTGTGATGTCCATGGGATCTGTGGGGGCTTTGGGGTCAATGGGGTCCTTGAGGTCTGTGGTGTCCATGGGATCTGTGGGGGCTTTGGGGTCTGTGGGGTTTGTGGATCTGTGGGGTCAGTGGGGGCTGTGAGGGCTGTGGGGGCTCTGGGCGATGTGCAGCGCCGTGTTCCCGAAGGAGTTGGGCTCGTCGATCTGTGGGACACCAGGAGGATGTGGGGTTTGTGGGGTCTGTGGGGTTTGTGGGGTCTGTGGGGTCTGGGGGACACGTGGGAGCAGTGGGGCTGTGGGGTCAATGGGGTCTTTGGGGCCCATGGGATCTCTGGGGCCCATGGAGTGCGTGGGATCCCTGGGGTCTGTGGGGGCTGGGGAGTCAATGGGATCTGTGGAGTCAACAGGGTCCATGGGGTCTGTGGGGTCAACAGGGTCTGTGAGGGCTGGGGGGTCCGTGGGGTTAACGGGGTCCATGGGATCTGTGAGGTCTGTGGGGTTTGTGGGGTCAACAAGGCCTGTGGGGTCCATGGGATCTGTGGGGTCAACAGGGCCTGTGGGAAACACTGGATCTGTGGGGTCAACGGGGTCTGTGGTGGCTATGGGGTCTGTGGGGTCAACAGGGTCTTTGAGGTTTGTGGTGTCCATGGGGTCTGTGGGATCCATTGGATCTGTGGTGTCCATGGGGTCTGTGGGATCCATTGGATCTGTGGTGTCCATTGGATCTGTGGTGTCCATGGGGTTTGTGGGGGCTGTGGGGTATGTGGATCTGTGGGGTCAACGGGGTCTGTGGGGTCTATAGGATCTATGGGGGCTGTGGGGTCTATGGGATCTGTGGGGGCTGTGGTGTCCCCGGGGTCTGTAGCATCTGTGGGGTCCATGGGATCCATGCAGGAGAGATGGAACCCATGAGGTCCGTGGGGTCTGTGGTGTCCATGGGGTCTGTGGGGGCTGTGGGGTCTGTGGGGGCTGTGGGGTCTGTGGGGGCTGTGGGATCTATAGTATCTGTGGGACCTCTGGGGGTTGTGGTGTCCATGGGATCTGTGGGGTCCAAGGGATCCATGGGGTCCAGGGTTTCCAGATGGAGAAAGGTGGATGAGGAGAACCCAAAGCTCCTGTCACCACCCAGGGGGAAGGAATTTGGTTCCTTGATCTCAGGGACCAATAAAACCCTCAGGATTTGGGATTTAGGTGGGAAAAAGGCAGCAGAGAACCACTCAGGGCTGCTCAGGGTGACAGAATTTGGATCTGCAGAAACGATGAAGTCCAGCGGATTTGGGATTTGGGACTTTGGGAACCACCAAGGTCTCTGTCCCCACCTGTGCAGCTCCCGCCCCACCTCTCCCAGCCCCGGGCAGGTGTTGGGCTCTCACCTCCACCCCCAGCCTGAGGAGGTGACGCACGACCTCGATCTGGCCGCTGGCGGCCGCCGTGTGCAGCAGCGTGTAACCCTTCCTGTCCTTGCACATGACATCGGCCCCGCGCGCCACCAGCAGCTTCAGCACCTCCAGGTGACCTGCGGGGACAGCCGTGACAGCAACGGGACAGCGGGGACAACGGGGACAACGGGGAGATGGGGACACTGGGGAGAAATGGGGAGACAGGGAAAAACAAGAGAGATAAGGGACACTGAGGACATGGGGGACATCAGGGAGATGGGGACACCAGGGAGATGGAGGACACCAAAGAGATGGGGGACACCAAAGAGATGGAGGATGCTGGGGAGATGGAGGATGCTGGGGAGATGAGGAGACTGGGAAGACTGGGGACACTGGAGTGATGGGGGACGCTGAGGACATGGGGGACATTGAGGAGATGGGGGGCACTGAGGAGATGGAGGACAGAGATGGGGACACTGGGGAGATGGGGGACATTGGGGAGGTAGGGACACCAGGGAAACTGAGGACACCAAGGAGATGGGGACACCAAGGAGATGGAGGACATTGGGGAGATGGGGAACATCAGGGAGATGGGGGACACTGAGAGGAGAATCCTTGTGACATTGGGGGGAGAGGAGGAACAGGAGAGATGGAGAGGAGGAATTTGGAAATGTGGAGAGAAGGGAGAGATGAAGAGAAGGGATGGGAGACAGAAGGGATGGGAGAGATGGAGAGGAAGAGTGGGAGAGATGGAGGGAACGGAGAGATGAAGAGTGGGAAATGTGGAGAGAAGGGAGAGATGGACAGGAGGAATGGGAGAGATGGAGAAGGGATGAGAGAGAGGGAGTGGGAGGGGAGGAGAGGGAGGTGGAAGCAGCAGGGAGCCCCTACCCAGGAAGGCCGCCCAGTGCAGGGGCTGTCTGTCCTTCTTGTCACACGTGCTGGGGCTGGCACCTTTGTTGAGCAGCAGGTTCACCATCTGTGGGGTGTGGGGACAGCGTCAGCAGGGCCACCCCAATTTCCCTGCCACCTCAATGTCCCTGTCAGTGCCCACCCCAATGTCCCTGTCCACCCCCGTCTGTGCTGACCCCGACGTCCTTGGCCACCCTAATGTCCAGGGCCACCACAATGTCCCTGTCCACTCCGATGCCTCTGCTGGCCACCTCTGTCTGTGCCCACCTCAATGTCCCTGCCCACCCTGATGTCCCTGCTGCCCACTCCTATCCCTGCCCACCCCAATGTCCCTGCCTGTCCCTATCCACCCCAGCATCCCCGCTGCCCTCCTCTATCCCTGCACATCCCGATGTCCCTGTCCATCCCAGTGTCCCTGCTGCCCACCCTGTCCCTGCACACCCCGATGTCCCAGCCCACCCCAATGTCCCCACTGGTCATCCTTGTCCCTGCCCACCCCAATGTCCCTGCCCCTATCCCTGCCCACCCCAACGTCCCCACTGGCCAGCCCTGTCCCTGCCCACCCACATCCCTGCCCATCCTGCCCACCGTCCCACCCCAATGTCCCAGCCCACCCTGTCCCTACCCACCCCAGTGTCCCTCCTGCCCACCCCTGTCCCTGTCCACTCCAATGTCCCTGCTCACCTTGATGTCCCTGCTGCTCACCTTGATGTCCCTGCTGCCCACCCCAATGTCCCTGCCTGTCGTTGCCCATCCTGATGGTCCCTGCCTATCTCAACATCCCTGCCCACCCCTGTCCCTGTCCACCCTTACATCCCTGCTGCCCATCCCTTTCTCTGCCCACCTCCGCCCCTGCCCACCCAGACGTCCCTCCCCACCGCTATCCCTGCCTGTCCCCATCCCTGTCCAGCCCAATGTCCCTGCCCATCCCAACATCCCTGCCTGTCCCTGTCCCTGCCCATCCCAACATCCCTGCCTGTCCCTGTCCCTGCCCATCCCAACGTCCCCACTGGCCACTCCTATCCCTGCCCAACCTGATGTCCCTACTCACTCTAATGTCCCTGCCCTCCCCAATGTCCCTGCCTGTCCCTATCCCTGCACATCCTGATGTCCCTGCCCACCCCAGTGCCCTTGCTGCCCACCCCTGTTCCTGCCCACCCCAACATCCCTGCCCATGCCAATGTCCCATCCCACCCCTGCCCATGCCAATATCCCATCCCACCCCAACGTCCCTGCCCATGCCAATGTCCTTGCCCACCCCTGCCCATGCCAATGTCCCAACCCACCCCAACATCCCTGCCCATGCCAATGTCCTTGCCCACCCCTGCCCATGCCAATGTCCCAACCCACCCCAACATCCCTGCCCATGCCAATGTCCTTGCCCACCCCTGCCCATGCCAATGTCCCAACCCACCTCAACATCCCTGCCCATCTCAATGTCCTTGACTACCCCGATGTCACCTCCCGCCCCATCCCCATCCCCTCCCGGTGTCCCTGTCCCCCTGTCCCCCCGGTGTCACCTCCAGGTGGCCGCTGTGCACGGCGTGGTGCAGCGCCGTGCGCCCGGTGCGGTCGGCCACGTTGACGGTGCTGAGCAGCGGCAGCAGCGCCTCCACGCACTTGGTGGCCCGGTTGGCGGCGGCCACGTGCAGCGGGGTCTGCCAGTGCTTGTCCCGCGCGTTGGCATCGGCCGAGTGCTTCAGGAGCAGCTGGAGGGCTTTCTGTGGGGTGCCAAACGGGGAAAGGCTCCAGACCCCAAATCCTGGCGGTCCCGGAGCTGGCGACCCCAAATCACAGCGGGGTTTTCTGCTGTGGGGTTTCCCTCTCTGGGATTGCCCACTCTGGGATTGCCCACTTTGGGATTTACACTCTGGAATTGCCCACTCTGGAATTGCCCACTCTGGCATTGCCCACTCTGGGATTTCCACTCTGGCATTGCCCACTCTGGCATTGCCCACTCTGGGATTTCCACCTCTGTGACTTCCCACTCTGGGATTTCCACTCTGGGATTTTCCTGCTGTGGGATTTTCCTGCTGTGAGATTTCCCACTCTGGGATTGCCCACTCTGATTTCTACCTCTGTGATTTCCAACTCTGGGATTTCCCTCCATGGGATTTCCCACTGTAAGATTTCTCACTTTATGATTTCCCACTTTATGATTTCCCTGCTGTGGGATTTCCCACTAGATGACTTCCCACTCTGTGCTTTCCCCCTGTGGGATTTCCCATTCTGGCGTTTCCCTGCTGTGGGATTTCCCACTATGGGATATCCCACTGTGGGATTTCCCCAGTCTGTGATTTCCCACTTTGTGATTTCTATGTCTGTTATTTCCCACTCCGGGATTTCCCTGCTCTGGGATTTCCCACTCTGGGATTTCCCACTCTGGGATTTCCTTCTGTGGGATTTCCCTCTGTGGGATTTCCCCACTCCGGGATTCCCTGCTGTGGGATTTCCTTCTGTGGGGTTTCCCTGCTATGGGATTTTCCCACGCTATGATTTCCAACTCTGGAATTTCCCACTTTTATATTTCTACCTCTGTGACTTCCCATTCTGGGATATCTCTCTGTGGGATTTCCCTCTGTGGGGTTTCCCACTCTGTGACTTCCCACTCTGGGATTTCCCTGCTGTGGGATTTTCCTCTCTGTGATTTCCCACTCTGGGATTTCCCACTCTGTGATTTCCCACTCTGGGGTTTCCCACTCTGGGGTTTCCCACTCTGGGATTTCCCTCTGTGGGATTTCCCACTCTGGGATTCCCTGCTGTGGGATTTTCCTCTCTGTGATTTCCCACTCTGGGATTTCCCACTCTGGGATTTCCCTCTGTGGGGTTTCCCACTCTGTGGGATTCCCTGCTGTGGGATTTCCCTCTCTGTGATTTCCCACTCTGGGATTTCCCACTCTGTGGGATTTCCCTCTGTGGGGTTTCCCTCTGTGGGATTGCAGTTTTTTTTCCAAGGAGAAATTTTTCCCCAGAACTTCCTGCATTCCCCAGACCCCAGAGGAGGCAAAGGTGAGCACAAAATCCCATTTTTTCCCCCTTTCCCCCAGGAATTTCCCCCCTCACCCCTCACCTCGTGGCGCGAGGCCGCGGCGCGGTGCAGCGGCGTCAGCCACACCGTGTCCTTGGCGTTCACGTTAGCACCTGTGGGGGACACACCCCAAAAAATCACCTCAGCACCCCGAAAAACCCCAAAGCTGCCCCTCCCTGCTGCCCTGAACCCCCACAACAGGCAGGGAAAAATCCCAAATCCCCAAAGGGTTCTGAAGATGGAGAGGAATGGGATAAAATTTTGGTTATTTTGGTGGGGATTTTGTGGAATCAACAAATCCCAACAGGGGCTCTCTGAACCCCAAGAGTATTCCCAAAAATTCAACGGGGACACCCTGAATCCCAAAAGCATCCCCAAATCCCAAAAGGGGCTCCCTGTACCCCAAGGGTAACCCCAAAACCCAATGGGGACACCCTGAATCCCAAAGGTATCCCCAAAACCTAACAGCATCCCAAAAGTATCCCCAAAACATAACAGGGGCACTCTGCACCCCAAAAGTATCCCTAAAACATAACAGGGCCACTCTGCAACCCCAAAAATATCCCCAAAACCCAGTAGGGGCTCCATGTACCCCAAAGGCATCCCCAAAACTCAATGAGGACATCCTGAATCCCAAAAGCATCCCCAAAACATAACAGGAAACACTCTGCACCCCAAAAGGATCCCCAAAATCCAATGGGGACACCCTGAATCCCAAAGGTATCCCCAAAACCTAACAGCATCCCAAAAGTTCCCCCAAAACGTAACAGGGACACTCTGTACCCCAAAGGCATCCCCAAAACCCAACAGGGGCTCCCTGAATTCCAAAAGCATCCCCAAATCCCAAAAGGGGCTCCCTGCACCCCAAAGGTATCCCCAAAACCCAATGGGAACACCCTGAATGCCAAAGGAATCCCAAAAACCCAACGGGAACACTCTGCACCCCAAAACCATTCCCGAAATCCAATGGGGACACCCTGAATCCCAAAAATATCCCCAAAACACAACAGGGGCTCCCTGAACCCCAAATGTATCCCCAAAAGCCAAAGGGGACAGCCTGAATCCCAAAAGCATCCCCAAAACCCAAGAGGGGCTCCCTGAACCCCAAAGGCAACCCCAAAATGGGATCTGTGGGATCAAGTGTTTGGGATCTCCACAGATTTTAGGGGATTTTCCAGATCCCCACAGATTTTAGGGGATTTTCTCTGGGATCCACAGATTTTAGGGGATTTTCCAGATCTCCACAGATTTTAGGGGATTTTCCAGATTTTAGGGGATTTTCTTGGGATCTCCACAGATTTTAGGGGATTTTCCAGATCTCCACAGATTTTAGGGGATTTTCCAGATTTTAGGGGATTTTCTTGGGATCTCCACAGATTTTAGGGGATTTTCCAGATCTCCACAGATTTTAGGGGATTTTCCAGATTTTAGGGGATTTTCTTGGGATCTCCACAGATTTTAGGGGATTTTCCAGATCCCCACAGATTTTAGGGGATTTTCCAGATCCCCACAGATTTTAGGGGATTTTCTCTGGGATCCACAGATGTTTTTGGGGTGATTTTGGGGTTCTGGCCCTCACCTGACAGGATGAGCAGCTCGAGGATTGCAACGTCTCCGATGTAGGCAGCAGCGTGGAGAGGGGTCCGGCGTTCCTGATCCTGCAGGGGGGACAGCTGTGAACTGGGAGGGACTGGGAGAGACTGGGATGGGACTGGGATGGACTGGGAGGGATTGGGATGGATTGGGATGGGACTGGGATGTGGCTGGGAGGGACTGGGAGGGACTGGGAGGGACTGGGAGAGACTGGGATGGGATTGGGAGGGACTGGGAGGGACTGGGATGGATTGGGATGGGACTGGGATGGGGCTGGGAGGGACTGGGATGGGACTGGGATGGACTGGGATGGATTGGGATGGGACTGGGATGGGACTGGGAGGGACTGGGAGGGACTGGGATGGATTGGGATGGGACTGGGATGGGGCTGGGAGGGACTGGGATGGGACTGGGATGGATTGGGATGGGACTGGGATGGACTGGGATGGACTGGGAGGGACTGGGATGGGACTGGGCGGGACTGGAAGGGACTGGGATGGACTGGGAGGGATTGGGATGGATTGGGATGGGACTGGGATGGATTGGGATGGATTGGGATGGGACTGGGATGTGGCTGGGAGGGACTGGGAGGGACTGGGAGGGACTGGGATGGATTGGGATGGGACTGGGATGGGGCTGGGAGGGACTGGGATGGGACTGGGATGGATTGGGATGGGACTGGGATGGACTGGGATAGACTGGGAGAGACTGGGATGGGACTGGGATGGATTGGGATGGATTGGGATGGGACTGGGATGGGGCTGGGATGGGGCTGGGAGGGACTGAGAGGGACTGGGAGGGATTGGGATGGGGTTGGGAAATGTGGGAGAGATTTGGATGGGACTGGGAGAGACTGGGATGGGGTTGGGCAGGACTGGGAGGGACTGGGATGGACTGGGAGGGACTGGGAGGGACTGGGAAAGGATGGGAGATACTGGGATGAGGATGGGGATGGGATGGAATTTATGGGACTTATGGGATTTTGGAATGGGATGGGATGGGATTTATGGGAGGGGATTTATGTGATGGGATCCATAGGATGGGATTTATGGAATGTGGATGGGATTTTGGGATGGGATTGTGGGATGGGATTTTGGGATGGGATTTATAGGATTTATGGGATAGGATGGGATTTGTGGGATTTATGGGATGGGGATGGGGATGGAGATGGGACTGGGAGAAACTGGGATGGGGTTGGGAGGGGGCTGGGAGGGACTGGGATGGGGCTGGGGATTGGGATGGGATTTATGGGATGGGGATGGGAAGGACTGGGAGGGACTGGGATGGGATGGAGAGAGACTGAGAGGGGGCTGGGAGGGATTGGGACAGACTGGGAGGGACTGGGATGGGGATGGGATGGAATTTGTGGGATTGATAGGACAGGATTTATGAGATTTATGGGATGTGAACAGGGATGGAGATGGGATGGATTTATGGGATGGATTTATGGGATGGGATGGGATGGGATGGGATGGGATGGGATTTATGGGATTTGTGGGATTGATGGGACGGGGATGGCAGGGATCGGGGAGCCCTGGGTGAGTTTGGCAGCAGCAGCAGCAGGAGGCCCTCACTCACCAGCACATTGATGTTCTCCTTCTGATTGAGCAGCGACCGAACCTCCTCCACATCCCGGTTAAAGATGGCTTGGACCAGAGGGGGCTGCGGGGACACAGAGGGGACAGTGACACAGCTGGAATGGGACAGGGACACAGCTGGAATGAGGGGGGACAGTGATGGGGACACAAGGAGAGGGGACAGTGACACAGCTGGAATGGAATGGGGGGTACAGTGACACAGCTAGAACAGGGGGGACGGTGACACAGCTGGAATGGGACAGTGACACAGCTGGAACAGAATGGGGGGACTGACACAGCTGGAAAAGGGGAACAGTGACACAGCTGGAATGGGACAGGGACACAGCTGGAATGGGACAGGGACACAGCTGGAACAGAATGGGGGGACAGTGACACAGCTGGAACAGGTGGTGACAGTGATGGGGACACAGCTGGAACAGGGGGGGTGACACTGATGGGGACACAGCTGGAACGGGGTTCAGCCATTCCTGGGGTTCTCCTGCTCCCGATCCAGGGGTCCCAACCTCAGGGTTCTCCCATTCCCAGAGTTCTGCCATTCCAGGACTGGGGGATCCCATTCCTGGAGTTCTCCCAATTTCAGGGTTCTGCCATTCCCCAGATTCTCCTGTTCCCGAGCCAGGTATCCCAACCCCAGGGATGTTGTGTTCCTGATTCTGGTGTCCCATTCCTGGGATTCTCCTGTTGCAGGACCGGGGGATCCCATTCCCAGGGGTTCTGCCATTCCCAGGATTCTCCCATTCCCAACCCAGGTGTCCCATTCCCGGGCTTCTCCCGTTCCCGAGCCGGGATATCCCATTGCAGGGGCTCCGCCGTTCCCGGTTCTGAGGATCCCACTCCCGGTGCAGGATCCCTCTTTAATGCTTCACATCCCCGGGCCAAGGAACCCCGCGGTTCTCCCGTTCCCAGCCCGGGGGTTCCATTCCCGGGCTTCTCCCGTTCCAGGGTCGGGGATCCCATCCCCAGCGCTCTCCCGTTCCCGGCCCGGGGTTCTCTCATCCCCAGGGCTCTCCCGTTCCCCGTTCTGAGGCTCCCATCCCCGGCGCTCTCCCGTTCCCGTTCCCGGTTCTGAGGGTCCCATTCCCGGGATTCTGCCATTCCCGGGGCTCTCCCGTTCCCCGTTCTGAGGCTCCCATCCCCGGCGCTCTCCCGTTCCCGTTCCCGGTTCTGAGGGTCCCATTCCCGGGATTCTGCCATTCCCAGGGCTCTCCCGTTCCCGGTTCTGAGGCTCCCATCCCCGGCGCTCTCCCGTTCCCGTTCCCGGCCCGGCCCCCGCTGGGCCCGGCGGGCACGGCCAGAGCGGCTCCAAACGGTGACCCCGGCCCGTCCCGGAGCTGCAGCAGGACCGGGAGCAGCGGGAAGGGCTCGGTAGAGCGGGGCCCGCGGCCTGGGGCGGCGGCGGGCCGGGCCCGGTGGCGGAGCCGCGCTAGGCCGCACATCCCCGGGCTGCCGTAGCGGCGCGGCCCGGCCGAGGCGCGGCGGCGACGGGGCCGGGCGGAATCAACCGGGGGAAGGAAGGAAGGACGGGGGAACGGCGGCCGTACCTGGTCCGTGATGCTGAGAACCCCCATGTCGGGGCCGCCCTCAGCGCCCAGCTCCCGGCATCGGGTCCGGCCGCGGCGGCTCCGCTCGGGCGGCTGCGGGGCGGGGATGGAGCGCCGGGGATGCGCCGCCCACCGGGCCCGAACGGCGGCGGCGGCGGGGGCGGCCCCGGGGCAGCGGCAGAGCCCGGGGGGACACGGCGGGAGCGGGACGGGGGACAGCGGGGAGCGGCTGCCCCGGTAATCCCGGAGGTCGCTGCTCTGGGGTGTGCCGGGGGTCCCGGAGGTTGATGCTCTGGAATGTCCCCGGTGGGAATCACACCCACGAAGGGCTCCCGGTAATCCTGGGGATCCCGGGGGTCTCTGCTCTGGGGTGTTCCCGATGGGAATCACATCCATGAGGGGTTGTCAGTAATCCCAGGGGTCCCGAGGGTCCCGGGGGTTGCTGCTCTGACCCACTCTGGGATGTTCCCGGTGGAAATCGCATCCATGAGCAGCTGTCGGTAATCCCGGGGGTCCCGGGACCGCGGCTTCCTCAGCCCGAAGAGTGCTGGGGTGGTGGGAGAGGGTCCCGGGGGTCCCCGTGTGCCCTCTCCATCCCCTCTGAGGGGTCTGTCCTGTGGGAATCCCATCCCTGGTGGTCCTGGGGGTCCCAGGGAGTCCCTGAGCAGCAGCTCCTCCATCCCAAAGGGCTCTGGAATGGTGGCAGAGGGTCCTGGGGGTCCCATGTGCCACCTCTGTCCCTCTCTGGGCTGAACTGGGATGTGCTGGGAGGAACTGGGCTGAACTGGGCCATACTGGGATGAACTGGACTGGGCTGTGCTGGGTGGAACTGGTTGGCACTGGGTAATGCCGAGCTGGTCTGGGCTGAACTGGGAGACACTGGGAGGCCCAGGGCTGTGCTGGGCGGTACTGGGAAGTACTGGGAGACACTAGGCTGTACTGGGCTGTACTGGGATGTTCTGGGAGACACTGGGAGGCCCCGGGCCACACAGCTCCCGCAGGTTCCGTGTTCCTGGTCTCTCAATTCCTCTCCCCGGTTCGGAGCGGGGCCGTTACTGGGACCCAGCACGGAGGGCTCCCCGTCCCTCTCCGGACCCACCGACCGGGGGCACACGTGGGAGGCAGAGCCCACCCCGGGCAGCCCCGGGACAGGCACTCCCCGTTGGTCCCGGTTGGTCCCGGTGCCGCTGCAGCCGCAGCCCCGCCCCGCACTACATCCCCCATCATGCCTCGCGCACCCCCGACTACAACTCCCATCATCCCTCGCTCGGGAGGCGTCGCCTCGCCCCGCCCCTTGACGTACCCGCCGCTATGGCGACGCGGTGACGTCACGGGGTGAGAGGTCAGGGCGGCGGCGGCGCCGCGTCCCGGCCCGGTCCCGGTTCCGGCCCGGCCGCGGTCCCGGCCCGGTGATGGCGGCCCGGCGGCTCCGCGGGGCCCTCCAGCTCGGGGCGCGGCAGCGCCTGCGGGCCGCGGCGGCCCCGCCCGGCAGGTGAGCGGCAGCGGCGGCGGCGACCCGGAGGTCACACCGGCCCCGGGGGCACCGGGGCGGGCCCGGGGCGGCGATGGTGCTGCGGGGGTTCCTCCGGGCCTGGCAGCGCTCCCGGTCCCCTCGGGACGCGGTGATCCGGGGGCACCTTGGCGGAACCGGGAGGTCCCGGTGGGACCGGCCCGGGGGTCCCGGTGGGGCCCGGTCCCGGTTCCACCGGAAGGGAGGAACCGGGACAGGGCTGGGAGGGGCTGACCTTGGAGCGAGCCCGGTGTGGGAACACCGGGAGCGGGCCGGTACCGGGGGTCACGGCGGAACCGAGCCCCGGTGTCACCGGGAGAGGCGGCACCGGCTGCGTCCCCGCGGCCGTGACCTCTGCTCGGGGACAGTGGCACGGGGACCCGGTGGTTCCGGTGGGGAGGGCGGGATCAGCCCGGGGAGCGGCACCGGAGGGCACCGGGATCAGCACCGGGAGCGGCACCGGGAGGGCACCGGGAGGGCACCGGGAGGGCACCAGTCTGGGAGGGACCTGGGCACATCTTGAGAGAGCCTGAGCTGGTCTGAGGGGGGTTGGGATGGTCTGAGGGGGGTTGTGATGGTCTGGAAGGGGTTTGGGGTGGTCTGAGGAGGTTTGGGGAGGTCTGGAAGGGACCTGGGAAGAGCCTGAGCTGGTCTGAAGGGGTTTAGGATGGTCTGAGGGGGTTTAGGATGGTCTGAAGGGGTTTAGGATGGTCTGAGGGGGTTTAGGATGGTCTGAAGGGGTTTAGGATGGTCTGAGGGGGTTTAGGATGGTCTGACGGGGTTTAGGATGGTGTGACGGGGTTTAGGATGGTCTGAGGGGGTTTAGGATGGTCTGACGGGGTTTAGGATGGTGTGACGGGGTTTAGGATGGTCTGAGGGGGTTTAGGATGGTCTGAAGGAGTTTGGGAAGGTCAGAAAGGGACCTGAGGCTGTCTGGAAAGGGCTTGGGGTGGTCTGGAAGGGATCTGGATTGGTCTGGAAGGGGTGGGAGGGCCTGAGCTGGTATGGAAGGGGTTTAGGATGGTCTGGAAGGGGTCTGGGGTGGTCAGGAAGGAGCTTGGGGTGGTCTGAAGAGGTTTGGGAAGGTCTGAAAGGGACCTGGAATGGTGGGAAGGGGTTTGGGCAAGTCTGGAAAGAGCCTGAGGTGGTCAGGAAGGGGCCTGGGATGGTCTGGAAGGAGCTTGGGGTGGTCTGAGGAGGTTTGGGGAGGTCTGGAAGGGACCTGGGAAGAGCCTGAGCTGGTCTGAGGGGGTTTAGGATGGTCTGACGGGGTTTAGGATGGTCTGAGGGGGTTTAGGATGGTCTGAAGGGGTTTAGGATGGTCTGAAGGGGTTTAGGATGGTCTGAGGGGGTTTAGGATGGTCTGAAGGGGTTTGGGAAGGTCAGAAAGGGACCCGAGGCTGTCTGGAAAGGGCTTGGGATGGTCTGGAAGGGACCTGGATTGGTCTGGAAGGGATCTGGGATGGTCTGAAGGGGTTTGGGACGGTGTAAAGGGACCTGGGATGGTCTGGAAGGGACCTGGGCCAGTCCAGAAAGGACCAGGGGAGGACTGGAAGGATCTGAGCTGATCAGGAAGCGACCCAGGCCAGGTGGGAGTGGGCTGGGAATGGTCTGGAGGGGCTTGGGATGGTATGGAAGGGATTTGGGAAGCTCTGGAGGGATTTTGGAAACCCTGGAAGGGATTTGGGAAACCCTGGAGGGATTTGGGAAACCCTGGAGGGATTTGGGACGCCCTGAAAGGGATTTGGAAAGCCTGGGAGGGACTTGGGCAGCTCTGAAAGGATTTAGGAAACACTGGGAAGGATTTGGGAAGCCCTGGAGGGATTTGGGAAACCCTTGAAGGGATTTGGGAAGCCTGGAAGGGACCCGAGAAACTCTGTAGGAATTTGGGAAGCTCTGGAGGGGCCTGGGTGGTTCTTGAGGGATTGGGGGAGCTCTGAGAGAAATTTGGGGAGCTCTGGAGGAGCCTGTGAGGTTCTGGAGGGACTTGGGCAGCTCTGGGAGGGACCTGGGAATCTCAGGAAGGATTTGGGAATCTCAGGAAGGATTTGGGAAGCTCAGGAAGGATTTGGGAATCTCAGGAAGGATTTGGGATGCTCTGGAAGGATTTGGGATGCTCTGGAAGGGACCTGGGAAGTTCTGGAGAGTTTTGGGAAGTTCGGGAAGAAATTTGGGAAGCTCTGGAGGAACCTGTGAGGCTCTGAAGAGATTTGGGAAACCCTGGAGGGATTTGGGAGACCCTAGAAAGGATTTGGGAAGCTCTGGAGGGATTTGGAAAGCCCTGGAAGGGACCCGAGAAGCTCTGGAGGGATTTGGGAAGCTCTGGAGGAACCTGTGAGGCTCTGGAGGGACTTGGGCAGCTCTGGGAGGGACCTGAAGCTCTGGAAGGGATTTGGGAATCTCTGGAAGGGATTTGGGAATCTCTGGAAGGATTTGGGAATCTCTGGAAGGATTTGAGATGCTCTGGAAGGATTTGGGAATCTCGGGAAGGGTTTGGGAAGCTCAGGAAGGATTTGGGAATCTCTGGAAGAGTTTGGGAAGCTCAGGAAGGGTTTGGGAATCTCTGGAAGGGCCCAAGGTGCTCCTGGGGCTGCCGCACGTCCCGGTGCCCCCCGGTGCCAGTCGGTGCCCCCCGTTGTCAGTTGGTGCTGCCAGTGCCACCCTGTGCCCCCCGTTGTCCCCGTTGTCCCCAGGCACGCGTTCCCGTGCGGGCTCCGCCCGTCCCGCCCGGCCCGGCCCGTGCTGGCCTGGGAGCCCCGAGCTCAGCCCAGCCGGGGCTTCCTGAGCCTCAGCAACAAACGCAAGGAGTACTCGGAGAGACGGATCATCGGGTGGGTGACACCGGGGGGGCTGGGGTGGGGATTGGAACCGGGTTTGGGGCTGGGGTTGGGGTTGAGATTAAAGTCAGGGTCAAGGTTGGGGTCGGGGACCCCTGAGATTTTGGCAGGATTTGGGATTGGAGCTGGGGCTGGGGCTGTGACCGGGGTTGGAACTGGAGTTAAGGTCAAAACTGGGGCTGGGGTTGGGGTCAGGGCTGGGGTTAGGATTGGGATTGGGCTGGGAGCTGGAACTGGGCTCCCAGCTGGGCTCCCAGCCCCGGCTCCGGACTTGCTCAGCCTCAACCCCAATCCCGGCCTCAGCCCCGACCCCAATCCCAATCCCAACTCCAGCCCCAGCTCAACCCGAGCCCCGACCCCAATCCCAGCCCCAGCCCCAGCCCTAATCCCAGTCCGAGCCCCAGGCCAGCCCCAGCTCCAATCTCAATCCCAACCCCAACTCAGACCCCAGCCCAGCCCCAATCCCAGCCCTGACCCCAGCCCCAATCCCAATCCCAGCTGTGACCACAGCCCTGAGCCCAATCCCAACCCCAATTATGGCCTCAGCCCCAATCCCAACCCTGACCCCAATCCCAGCCCAGCCCCAACCCCAGCTCCAGTCCCAAATCCAGTTCTGACCTCAGCCCCAGCCGAACCCCAGCTCCAACCCCAACCCCAACTCAGACCCCAGCCCAACCCCAATCCCAGTCCTGACCCCAGACCCAACCCCAACCCCAATCATGGCCTCAGCCCCAACCCCAGTCCCAACCCTGACCCCAGTCCCAACTGCAGCCCCATCCCCTTCCCCAGTCCCAGCCCAACCCCAGCCCCATTTCTGTCCCAGGTACTCCATGCAGGAGATGTACGACGTGGTGGCCAACGTGGAGGACTACAAGAACTTCGTGCCCTGGTGCAAGAAATCCGTGGTGGTGTCGCGGCGCCAGGGCCACCTCAAGGCCCAGCTGGAGGTGGGGTTCCCGCCCGTGCTGGAGCGCTACACCTCCATTGTCACCCTGGTGCGGCCCCACCTGGTCAAGGTGAGCTCAGGACGGGCTGGAGAAGGTTCTGGAGAAACCCTGAGGGAGCTGGGAAGGGGCTCAGCCTGGAGGGAAGGAGGATCAGGGGGGAATTTTCACCCCACAAGTCCCTCATGGGAGAGCAGGGTCGGGATCTGCTCCCAGGAACAGCAGGAGGGGAAGGAACAGCCCCAAACTCCTCCAGGAGAAGTTCAGGATGGACATGAGAAGGAATTTCCTCATGGAAAAGGTGGTCAGGCTTTGGAGCTGCCTGGAGGAAAGAAGTTCAGGGGGGAATTTTCACCCCACAAGTCCCTGATGGGAGAGCAGGGTCAGGATCTGCTCCCAGGAACACCAAGTGGAGAAGGAACAGCCCCAAACTGCTCCAGGAGAAGTTCAGGGTGGACACCAGGAGGAATAAAAGGTGGTCAGGCTTTGGAACTGCCTGGAACAGGAGACTCACGAGGGGAATTTTCAGCCCAGGGTCAGGATCTGCTCCCAGGGGAGAGGTTCAGGGTGGACACCAGGGAAATTTCCTCCTGGCAAAGGTGGGGGAACTGCCTGGAGAACAGGATCAGGAGGGAATTTTCACCCCAAAACTCCCTGGTGGGAGAGCAGGGTCAGGATCTGCTCCCAGGGAACACCAGGGTGAGAGGGAACAGCCCCAGATTCCTCCAGGAGAGGCTCAGGATGGACATCAGGAGGAATTTCCTCCTGGAAAAGGTGGTCAGGCTTTGGAACTGCCTGGAACAGGAGGCCCAGGGGGGAATTTGCACCCCAAAACTCCAGGGTCAGGATCTGCTCCCAGGGAACAGCAGGAGGGGAAGGAACAGCCCCAAACTCCTCCAGGAGAGGACCAGGAGGAACAAAAAGTGACCAGGCTCTGGAACTGCCGGGAGAAAAGGAGGCTCAGCGGGGAACTTTCACCCCAAAACTCCAATTCCTCCAGGAGAGGGTCAGGATGGACATCAGGAGGAATTTCCTCCTGGCAAAGGTGGTCAGGCTTTGGAACTGCCTGGAGAACAGAGGGGCATTTTCACCCCACAACTCCCTGATGGGACAACAGGGTCAGGATCTGCTCCCAGGGAAGAACAGGAGAAGGAAAACCAGCCTCAGGTCGTTCCAGGGCGGTTCAGTTTGGAATTTCCCCACGGAAAGAGCTCTCAGGCTTTGGAGGTGCCCGGGGAAGTTCAGAGGTGCCCAGGACGTGGCTCAGGGGGAATCTCAGACCGGGCTGGACCCGGGAGAGTTTCCCATCCTCGAGGATGATCCCGGTGCTCCCTGAGCTCCCATTTCCCCCTCCCCAGGCCAGGCTGGACCTGGGAGGGTTTTCCCATCCTCGGGGATGCTCCTTGTGGTCCTCGGTGGCTCCCGGTGCCCCCCTGAGCTCCCATTGCCTCCTCCCCAGGCCAGGCTGGACCTGGGAGGGTTTTCCCATCCTCCAGGACGATCCCGGTGCCTCCCTGAGCTCCCATTTCCCCCCTCCCCAGGCTGGGCTGGATCCAGGAGGGTTTTCCATCCTCGGGGATGCTCCCGCTGGCTCCCGGTGCCCCCCTGAGCTCCCGGTGCCCCCTCCGCAGGCCGGGCTGATCCCGGTGCCCCCCTGAGCTCCCATTTCCCATTCCCCAGGCCGGGATGATCCCAGTGGTCCCCGGTGCCCCCCTGAGCTCCCGGTGCCCCTCTGATGTCCCGGTGCCCCCCTGAGCTCCCATCTCTCCCTCCCCAGGCCGGGATGATCCCGGTGGTCCCAGGTGGCTCCCGGTGCCCCCCTGATCCCCCGTCTCTCCCTCCCCAGGCCGTCTGCACCGACGGGCGCCTCTTCAACCACCTGGAGACCAACTGGCGCTTCAGCCCCGGCATCCCCGGCTACCCCCGCACCAGCACCGTGGATTTCTCGGTACGAGCCCGGCCCGGCTCCCCCCGGGGGAAGGCGGAGCTCACCCACCCATCCTCACCTCTTCCTCTTCCTCCTCCTCCTCAGATCTCCTTCGAGTTCCGCTCCCTGCTGCACTCCCAGCTGGCCACCGTGTTCTTCGACGAGGTGGTCAAGCAGATGGTGGCCGCCTTCGAGCGCCGAGCGGCCAAAAATTTCGGGCCCGAGACGCGAATCCCGCGGGAGCTGATGTTCCACGAGGTGCACCAGACGTGAGGGGCGGAGCGGGGCCCGCCCCGAGCCCGAACCCCCCCCCAAAAATATTTATTCAACCAAGTGCGTTTCTCTCTCCTCCGCTGCTGTTGCCTCAACGCCCCCCCCGGGGCTGCTGTGAGCCCCCTGCCCTCAATCCCAGCAGCTGATTTTGCAGCTGGTTTGGGGTTTTAAGTTTTGGTTTCGTTGTTGGTTTGGTTTTGTTTTGTTTTTTTTTAACCCTTTTTTGTTGTTTTTAAGCTCCTCAGCCAGGCTGGAGGGCCCCGATGGGAGCAGCTCCGGTAGGAATGGGGAGGGGGTGGAAAGGCTGCTGTGAGCCCCCTCCCCTCAATCCCAGGAGCTGATTTTGAGGTTTAAGTTTTGGTTTAGTTTTTTTTTCCTTTATTTTTAACCCTTTTTTGTTGTTTTTAAGCTCCTCAGCCAGGCTGGAGGGCCTCAATGGGGGCAGCTCCTGCTGTGCTCTGGGATGGGTGAGGGAAAAGCTGCTGGGACCCCTCCCCAATTCCTCCCCAAGGAACAGAAAAAGGGAAGGAGGAGCCCCCCACCCACCCAAAACCATCGCACACTTTGCACAGGCCACACGCACAGGGTGGGGAGGGGGCGGCTCCTGCTGCCCCCCCCATCACCCCCACGGTCCCCACCCCCCCCCAGCGACCCCACCCCTATTTTGGGGGGGGGGGTGGGAAGGTCTCAGCTCCTCTCCCCCCCCCCTTTAACCACAGAGCCCCCCCAGGGGGGTGAGGGGGGCCCGAGCCCCCCCTGGCCCAAGGAAGGAAAGGCTTGGCCAGGCCAATAAAGAGAATTTTCCAAGGGTCAGCAGCCTCCTGCTCCTCATTGAGGGGGGGTTTTGGGGTGGGGGCTGCATGCTGGGACCCCCAGGTGGGGTGGGGGCACCAAGGGAAGGGATTTGGGGTGGTGGTTTGTTAATAAAAACATTTATTTTGCATTTTTTTGTTGTTGTTTGTACAGAAGTGCCCGAGAGCTGCGAGGAGCCGGGGTGGGTGGGTTCCAGGGTGGGTTTCAGGGTGGGTGGGGGGCGTGGGGAGGGGTCCCAGCTCTGGCTCCCGGGGGCTTCAGGCAGGGTTGGGGGGCACTGGGGGGGTCACACAAACACGGGGGGGGCACGGCCAGGGGAGGATGAGGAGTGTATCGAGTCCCTGCGGGGGGGCCCGGACACGGGGCTGGACTGAACCCCTCTCGGGGGGCTGCAGGGGGGGCAGGAGGGCGGGACCCCCTCCCCAAAACCCTGCCAGGACCCCCCCACCCAGCCCAGCAGCGCGGGAACCCGGGGGGGGCTCCCAGTGTGGGGAGCCTGGGGGGGCTCCCAGTGTGCGCAGTGAGAGCTGCCGGGGCGGGCGGGGGGCCCTGCAGACCCCCCCAAGCACCGGGGCGGGGTGTGGGGGGACCCCAGGGTGGGCTGGGGGTCCCGAGGGGGGTTCAGTGGCGGGGGTGGCCGGGCCGGGCCCGGCGGTGCCGCGTTCTTCCCTGGGGGAGCCCCGTCCCCGTCCCTTTTCAGGCGGATTTGTAGCCCACGAGCTGCATGAGGCCCTTGGTGCTCATGGACTTGGGTCTCTCCAGGGGGAAGCCCAGGGCTCGGCTCCAGATGAGCTGCGACAGAACGCCCAGAGCCCGGGAAACGCCGAAGAGAACGGTGTAGTAATTCATCTCCTTCATGCCGTAGTACTGCGGGGACAGAGCGGGGTCAGAGCGGGCACAGGGGGGACAGACAGACACAGGGACAGGCGGGACAGACACAGGGACAGGAAGGACACACCAAAGAGAACGGTGTAGTAATTCATCTCCTCCATGCCATAGTACTGCGGGGACAGAGCGGGGTCAGAGCAGGCACAGAGGGGACAGACAGACAGAGGGACAGGCGGGACAGACAGACAGAGGGACAGACAGGAAGGAGAACAGAGCTCAGGACACAGCAAAGAGAACGGTGTAGTAATTCATCTCCTCCATGCCATAGCACTGCGGGGACAGAGCGGGGTCAGAGCGGGCACAGAGGGGACAGACAGACACAGGGACAGGCGGGACAGACACAGGGACAGACACAGGGACAGGCGGGACAGGGAGAAATGGGCAAGGAGAGGGAGAGAGAAACAGGGAGAGGGAGGAAGGGATGGGGAGAGGAATGGGCTGGGAGAGTGGGATGGGGAAATGGATGGACAGGACAGGAGAGGGACAGACAGAATGGAGAACAGAGAGGGACACACAGACAGGGAGAGGGACAAACGGGACATGGGACAGACAGGGAGAGGGACACACAGACAGGGAGAGGGACACACAGACAGGGAGAGGGACAAACAGGACATGGGACAGACAGGGAGAGGGACACAGAGAGGGAGCAACACACAGGGACACAAGGCAGGGAGAGACAGGGAGAGGGACACACAGACAGGGAGAGGGACAAACGGGACATGGGACAGACAGGGAGAGGGACACACAGACAGGGAGAGGGACACACAGACAGGGAGAGGGACAAACGGGACATGGGACAGACAGGGAGAGGGACACACAGACAGAGAGAGGGACACACAGACAGGGAGAGGGACACAGGGAGAGGGACACAGGGAGAGGGACAGAGAGAGGGACAGACAGGGAGAGGGACAGACAGACAAGAAGGAGAGCAGAGCTCGGGACACAGCAAAAAGAACGGTGTAGTAATTCATCTCCTTCATGCCGTAGTACTGCAGGGAAAGAGGGGGATTAGGGTGAGCACAGAGGGGACAGACAGACAGAGGGACAGGCGGGACAGACACAGGGACAGGTGGGACAGACACAGGGACAGGTGGGACAGACACAGGGACAGACACAGGGACAGACACAGGGACAGGTGGGACAGGGACAAATGGGCAAGGAGAGAGAAACAGGAAGAGGGAGGAAGGGATGGGGAGAGGAATGGGCTGGGAGAGGGAGGGTGGGACAGGGAAAGGGATGGACAGGACAGGGAGAGGGACAGACAGAGGGACAAACAGGAAGGAGAACAGAGAGAGGGACACACAGGACAAAGGACAGACAGGGAGAGGGGCAGAAGGGAGAGGGACAGACAGACAGGGACATACAGGGCAAGGGATAGACAGGGAGAAGGGCAAACAGACAGGAAAGAGAACAGACAGAGGGACACAGGACAGGGAGAGGGACAGACAGAACAGACAGAGGGACACACAGACAGGGAGAGGGACACATGGACAAGAGGAAGGACACACAGAACAGGGAGAGGGACGTGGATGTGCAAGGGGATACATGGACAGAGAAAAGGACAGACTGACAGGAAAAGGGACAGACAGGGAGGAGAACACAGAGAGGGACACACAGACAGGGACAGGGACATACAGAGCAAAGGACAGACAGGGAGAGGGATGGACAGACAGGGACACATGGACAGGAGGAAAGACAGAACAAGGAGAGAGATGTGGACATGGAAAAGGATGCACAGGCAGAGAAAAGGACAGATTGACAGGAAAAGGGACAGACTGACAGGAAAGGGACACACAGCACAGACACAACCAGAGGCACAGAGCACCCAGGGCTCACCTGCAGCAGGACCCCGCTGTGGGCATCCACGTTGGGCCAGGGGTTCTTGGCCTTGCCCTGCTCCAGGAGCACGTTGGGGACGATCTTGTAGAGCTGAGCCACCAGCTTGAACAGGGGGTCCTTGGGCAGGTGCTTGAGGGCGAACTCCCGCTGGCAGGTGTAGCGCGGGTCCGTCTTGCGCAGCACCGCGTGCCCGTAGCCTGGCACCACCTGTGGGGATTGGGGTTCCTGAGCCCTGGGATGGGCCGGGAACGGGACCTGGAACGGCCCCTGAGCCCTGGGATGGGCCCTGAGCCCCAGCACAGCCCCTCTGAGCACCTGGAATGGGACCTGGAACAGCCCTCGAGCCCCTGGAACGGGCCCTGGCACAGACCCTGGGACCCTGAAATGGCCCCTGAGCCCTGGAATGCGACCTGGAACGGTCCCTGAGCCCCAGCACAGCCCCCCTGAGCACCTGGAATGGGACCTGGAACAGCCCCTGAGCCATGGAATGGCACCTGAGCTCCTGGAATGGGCCCTGGGATGGGCCTGGAATAGGCTCTGAACCCTGGAATGGCTCCTGAACCCTGGAACAGGCCCTGAAATGGCCTCTGAACCGTGGAACAGCCCTTGAGCCCTGGGATGGGCCCTGGGATGGGCCCTGGGATGGGCTCTGAACCCTGGAACGGGACCTGGAACAGCCCCTGAGCCCTGGAACAGCCCCTGAGCCCTGGAACAGGCTCTGGAATGGCCCTGAGCCCCTGGAACAGCCCCTGAGCCCTGGAACAGCCCCTGAGCCCTGGAATGGCCCCTGAGCCCTGGAATGGCCCCTCTGAGACCTGGGATGGGACCTGGAACAGCCCCTGAGCCCCAGGATGGTCCCTGAGCCCCAGCACAGCCCCGCTGAGCTCTGGAACAGCCCCTGAGCCCCCCTGATGAGCCCCAGGATGGTCCCTGAGCCCCAGCAGGGCCCCCCTGAGCCCCCCTGAGCCCCAGGATGGTCCCAGGCTGACCCTGCCCGAGTTGAGCGTGTTCCAGATGAAATCTCTCAGCTTCTCGTCAGACACGTCCTTGCCCAGCTCCTTCTGCAGGTCCGTGAGCCACAGCAGCACCTCCTGTGGGCATGGAGGGAGTGAGGGAATGGGGACAGACGGACAGACAGACAGATGGACATGGGGACAGAGGGAGTGAGGGAATGGGGACAGACGGACAGACAGACAGATGGACATGGGGACAGAGGGAGTGAGGGAATGGGGACAGACGGACAGGGGGACACAGGGAATGGGAACAGAGGGAAAGGAGGGAGTGAGGGCAGGGAATGGGGGGGAGAGGGACAGACGGACAGGGGGACACGGGGACAGAGGGACAGACGGACATGGAGACAGAGGGACATGGGGATGGGGACAGCGGGGGACAGAGGGACAGGGGGACATGGACACATGGACAGGGAGAGGGACAGAGGGACACGGGGATGGGAGAGGGACATGGACAGGGAAAGTGACATGGACAAGAGTGACAGAGTGACAGGGAGAGGGACAGACAGACAGGGAAAGGAGGGACACACAGCCAGGGAGAGAAGGGACACACGGACAGGAAGAAGGACACACGGACAGGGAGAGAATGGACATGCGGACAGGGAGTAGGGACACACAGACAGGGACACACGGACAGGGCAAGGAAGGACACACGGACAGGGAGCAGGGACACACGGACAGGGAGCAGGGACACACAGACAGGAAGGACACACGGACAGGGAGCAGGGACACACGGACAGAAGCGACATCGGGACAGGGAGCAGGGACACACAGACAGGAAGGACATCGGGACAAGGAGCAGGGACACACGGACAGGAGGGACATTGGGACAGGGAGCAGGGACACACAGACAGGAAGGACACACGGACAGGGAGCAGGGACACAGACAGGGAGCAGGGACACACAGACAGGAAGGACACACGGACAGGGAGCAGGGACACACGGACAGAAGCGACATCGGGACAGGGAGCAGGGACACACAGACAGGAAGGACATCGGGACAAGGAGCAGGGACACACGGACAGGAAGGACACACGGACAGGGAGCAGGGACACAGACAGGGCAAGGAAGGACACACAGACAGGAAGGACATCGGGACAAGGAGCAGGGACACACGGACAGGAGGGACATCGGGACAGGGAGCAGGGACACACAGACAGGAAGGACACACGGACAGGGAGCAGGGACACACAGACAGGAAGGACACACGGACAGGGAGCAGGCCCCACCTGGTTGGCCAGCCCGTGCAGGGGCCCGGCCAGGCCGTTCATGGCGGCGGCGAAGGCCAGGTAGGGGTCGGACAGGGCGCTGCCCACCAGGTGGCTCGTGTGGGCACTGACGTTCCCTCCCTCGTGGTCACTGCGGGGGGACAGCCCGTGAGCACCCCCAGAGCCACCAACAGCCCGATCCCGACCCCAAAACAGCTCAATCTGACCCCAAAACAGCTCAATCTGACCCCACAAACAGCTCCATCCTCACCCCACAAACAGCTCCATCTGACCCCACACACAGCTCCATCCTCACCCCACAGACAGCTCCATCCTTGCCCCACAAACAGCTCCATCCTCACCCCACAAACAGCTCCATCCTTGCCCCACAGACAGCTCCATCCTTGCCCCACAAACAGCTCCATCCTCGCCCCACAAACAGCTCCATCCTTGCCCCACAAACAGCTCCATCTGACCCCACACACAGCTCCATCCTCACCCCACAGACAGCTCCATCCTCACCCCACAAACAGCTCCATCCTCACCCCACAAACAGCTCCCACGGGGTTTTGGGGGTGGGGGGCATGGTGCTGCCAGCCTGGTTCAACCCCAGCCCTGCCCCATCCCTGCCTGCTCCTGCTGACACCAACAGAGCCCCCTCCCCTATAGGGCACAGCCCCCTCCCCTATAGGGCACAGCCCCTACAGAGCCCCATAGAGCCCCAGAGTCCCTACAGAGTGCCCTCCCCTATAGGGCAGAGTCCAGAGCCCCTACAGGGACCTCTCCCCTATAGGACACAGCCCCTACAGAGCCTCATAAAGCCCCCTCCCCTACAGGGCAGAGCCCAGAGTCCCAAAGAGCCCCCTGCCCCATAGTGCACAGCCCCTATAGAGCCAAAAAGAACCCCCTCCCCTATAGGGCAGAGTCCCACAGAGCCCCAGAGAGGCCCAGAACGCCTACAGGGACCCCTCCTCTCTAGGGCAGAGCCCAGAGCCCCACAGAGCCCCCTCCCCTATAAGGACTGGCCCCTACAGAGCCCCAGAGCCCCTGCAGGGACCCCTTCCCTATAGGGCAGAGCCCAGAGACCCCACAGAGCCCCCTCCCCTATAGGGCCCCTTCCCCTATAGGGCACAGCCCCTACAGAGCCCCATAGAGGCCCAGAGCCCCTACCGGGACCCCTCCCCTATAGGGCAGAGCCCAGAGCCCCCTCCCCTATAGGGCAGACCCCAGAGCCCCTACAGGGACCCCTCCCCTATAGGGCAGAGCCCAGGGCCCAACAGAGCCCCTTCCCCTATAGGGCAGAGCCCAGGGCCCAACAGAGCCCCTTCCCCTATAGGGCAAAGCCCAGGGCCCAACAGAGCCCCTTCCCCTATAGGGCACAGCTCAGAGCCCCCACAGAGCCCCTTCCCCTATATGGCAGAGGGCAAAGCCCCTACAGAGCCCCCTCCCCTGGTGACACCCCAGGCCCATCCCCAGCTGCTCCCACCTGTGGATGGTGAGGCAGAGCCCCCTCCCCTATAAGGCACAACCCCTACAGAGCCCCATAGAGCCCCCTCCCCTATAGAGCCCAGCCCCTACAGAGCCCCCTCCCCTGGTGACACCCCAGGCCCATCCCCAGCCCTGCTCCCACCTGTGGATGGTGAGGTAGAGCCTCATGAGCTCGATGAACTGGGGGTCGGTGTAGCCCAGCATGTTGGTGAAGTTGTGGGACCAGTCCAGGTTGGGGTCGATGGCGCCGATGCCGCTGCCCTCCCGGTAAAGGTTCCGGTAAATCTTGGCGGCCACGCAGGGCAGCTTGGCGATCAGGTCCATGGCGTCCTCGTACACAAACTGCCACCAGAGGGGTCAGAGCGTGCTCCCCTGAGCCCCCAGCACCCAAACCCACCCCAAAATTCAGCAATGCCCCCATACTCTGTGTGTAGCCTGTCTCAGTTATACCGGTTCCTTCCCCAGGTGTCACAGAGAACTTTTTATGAAAATCTTTTCCTTAGGATTTTTCCTCCTGAGAAGCTGAGAGGCTTCAGGAACAAAATGTAAACCTTGATTATCTGCTGCTGTGGAATGCAACACATGGATCTTTGATTGGTCCATGTTGGTTGTTTCTAATTAATGGCCAATCACAGTCAGCTGAGAGACAGAGAGCCTGAGCCACAAACCTTTGTTATCATTCTTTGCTATTCTATTCTTAGCTAGCCTTCTGATGAAACCTTTCTTCTATTCTTTTAGTATAGTTTTAATGTAATATATATATCATAAAATAATAAATCAAGCCTTCTGAAACATGGACTCAGATCCTCATCTCCTCCCTCAACCTGAGACCCCTGTGAACACCGTCACACTCTCTGGGGTGAAACACCACACACCCAGATGGCCAAAAGTGTCTTTGAGGTGAAACACCACAGATCCAGCCAGCCAAAGGTGTCTTTGGGGTGAAAACACCACAGCTGCCAACTTTGGTCAAGCAGCAAGGGCTGGACAAACCCAGGCCCGTTCCATCTGGCTATATTGGTATTTAATTCCAATATTTTGGTGCCCAACGTGGGGCAGCTCCATCCTGGGGATGGATCAGTCGGAGAAGAGACCCCTGAGGTGGCACCCTCACTTTTGCTGCAATATCCAGACAGCCAAAGGTGTCTCTGAGTGAAACACCACACATCCAGCCAGCCAAAAACATCTCAGGGGTGAAACACTACACATCCAGATAACCAAAAGTGTCTCTGGGGTGAAAACACCACACATCCACCTAGCCAAAAAAGTCCCTGGGGTGATCCAGGTGGCCAAAAGTGTTTCTGAGGTGAAACCACCACAGCTGCCAACTTTGGTCAAGCAGCAAGGGCCAGAGGAGCCCAGGCATGTTCCATCCAGCTATATTGGTATTTAATTCCATTATATTGGCGCCCAACGTGGGGCAGCTCCATCCTGGGGACGGATCAGTCAGGGAAGAGACCCCTGAGGTGGCACCCTCACTTTTGCTGCAATATCCAGCCAGCCAAAGGTGTCTCTGGGGTGAAACCACCACAGCTGCCGCCTTTGGTCTAGCAGCAAGTGCCAGAGGAGCCCAGGCACGTTCCATCCAGCTGTATTGGTATTTAATTCCAATATTTTGGCGCCCAACATGGGGCAGCTCCATCCTGGGGACGGATCAGTCAGGGGAAGAGACCCCTGAGGTGAAACCACCACAGCTGCCACCTTCGGTCAAGCAGCAAGGGCCAGACGAGCCCAGGCACGTCCCATCTGGCTCTATTGGTATTTAATTCCAATATAACCTTTAATTCCAACCCTTTACCTCCCAGTACTTGGCCCGGTGGATGCCCTCGGCGTAGGCGCGCGCGAATTTGCTCTCGCTGTTGAGGGCGGTGACGGCGGCGCTCAGCTGGGACATGGGGTGCAGGTTGGTGGGGAAGTTGTCCAGCATGGTCACCACGTGCGAGGGCAGAGCCGCACGCTTGGCCCACTCCCGGGACAGCCAGGTCACCTACGGGGACGGGACAGGGGTGAGATGTGGGGCTGGGGGCTGGCAGAGCCCCCCAGACGTTTCCCAGCTCCTTCCTGGGGCTGGAGGCTGGCAGAGCCCCCCAGATGTTTGCCAGACCCCCTTCAGATGTTTGCCAGCCCCTCCTGGGTCTGAGACCCCCCTCAGGTGTTTGCCAGCCCCTTCCTGGGTCTGGGGGCCGTCAGACTCCCCTGAACTGTTTGCCAGCCCCCCTTTATGTGTTTTCCAGCCCCGTTCTGGGTCTGGGGGCTCTCAGACCCCCCTCAGGCATTTGGCAGCTCCCCCTCAGGTGTTTCCCAGCCTTCTCCTGGGTCTGGGGGCTCTTAGATCCCCCCTCAGGTGTTTCGCAGCCCCCTCCTGGGTCTGGGGGCTCTCAGACCCCCCCCTCAGCTATTTCCCAGCCCCCTCCTGGATCTGGGGGCTCTCAGACCCCTCCTCAGCTGTTTCCCAGCCCCCTCCTGGGTCTAGGGGCTCTCAGACCCCCCCCTCAGCCGTCTCCCAGCTCCCTCCTGGGTCTGGGGTCTCTCAGACCCCCCCCTCAGCCGTCTCCCAGCTCCCTCCTGGGTCTGGGGTCTCTCAGAGCCTTCCCCAGCCATTTCCCAGCCCCCTCTCGGGTCTGGGGGCTCTCAGAGCCCTCCCCAGCCCTTCCCAGCCCCCTCCCACAGCAGTACCTGCTCCTGGGTTGGGATTTCTCCGGTCACCAGCAGCCAGAAGAGCCCCTCGGGCAGCGGCTCCTCTCCCCCCGCGGCCTTGGGCAGCTTCTTCTGGCACTCGGGAATGCTGTAGCCGCGGAAACGGATCCCCTGCGGGCAGGGAGGGTCAGGGGGGCGGTGGGATGGGGTGGGAGGGATTGGGACTGGGCGGGAATGGGTGGAATGGGATGGGAATGGGGGGGATGAGGTGGGAATCGGGTGGGAGTGGGCTGGGAATGGGTGGGAATGGGGTGGGGACAGGGTGGGATGGGCTGGGAATGAGTTTGGGACAGGCTGGGATGAGGTGGGAAGGGCTGGGAATGGACTGGGACAGAGTGGGATAGGGTGAGAATGGAGTAGGGACAGGATGGGAATGGCTGGGATGGGCAAGGATGGGTGGGGACAGGGTGGGATAGGGTGAGAATGGAGTAGGGACAGGGTGGGATAGGCTGGGATGGGAATGGGTTGGGATGGGGTGGGAATGGGGTGGGAGTGGGTGGGATGGGCAGAGAATGGGTGAGATAGACTAGGACAGGGCGGGAATGGCTGGGATGGGCTGGGAATGGTCTGGGACAGGGTGAGAATGGAGTAGGGACAGGGTGGGATGCGATGGGAATGGGGTAGGGAAAGGGTGGGAATGGGGTAGGGAAAGGGTGGGAAGGGTTGGGATGAGGTGGGAAGGGGTGGGACCATGTGGGATGGACTGGAAATGGGTGGGATGGACTGGGACAGGGTGGGAGTGGGGTGGGGACAGGGTCGGAATGGGTGGGACGGCTGGGAATGAGGTGAGAATGGCGTGGGATGAGGTGGGATGGGCTGGGAATGGGGTGGGAGTGGGCTGGGGATGGGGTGGGAAAAGGGTGGGACAGGCAGGGACAGGGTAGGAATGGGTGGGATGGGGTGGGAATGGGGTAGGGACAGGGCGGGAGTGGGTGGGATGAGGTGGGAAGGGCTGGGAATGTGTGGGACAGGCTGGGATGGGATGGGGCGGGAATGGTGGGGATGGGCAGGGACAGGGTGGGAATGGGTGGGATGAGGTGGGAAGGGCTGGGAATGGGCTGGGAATGTGTGGGACAGGCTGGGATGGGATGGGAATGTGGTAGGGACAGGGTGGGAGTGGGTGGGATGGGCAGGGAATGGGTTGGGATGGGGTGGGACAGGGTGGGATGGGCCGGGAATGGGATGGGATGGGGTGGGACAGGGCTGGGAATGGGGTAAGGACAGCGTAGGAATGGGTGGGGAAGGGCTGGACTGGGTGGGGACAGGTCTGGATGGGCTGGGATAGGCAGAGACAGGGTGGGAATGGGTGGGGTGGGGTGGGAAGAGGGTAGGGACAGGATGGGAATGGGTGGGATGGGGTAGGATGGGCTGGGAATGGGGCAGGACTTGGTGGGATGGGCAGGGACAAGGTGTGAGTGGTTGGGAATGGGGTGGGAACGAGTGGGATGGGCTGGGATGGGGTGGGATGGGCTGGACTGGGTGGGATGGGCTGGGAATGGGTGGCATGGGCTGGGCAGGGCAGGGACAGGCTGGGATGGGGTGGAAATGGGTGGAACAGGGCCCTACCTCATCAGGATCCAGCACCGAGGTCTCGTAGATCAGCCCTTTCATGCCCCTCATGCCGCCGTACACCTGCAAGGGACCGGGAGCTCACAGTGAGGGCTGGTGGCAGTGCCCGGTGTCCCCGATGTCCCCAATGTCCCCGGTGTCCCCACACTCACCATGTCCACGGTGATCTGGCCGATGGCCGTGCTGCCGTGCTGCTGCCTGAAGCTCTTGATCTTGGCCTGCTCCTTGGGGATCATGGTGGCCAAAACGTCCTTGAGGTTCTGGGGACAAAGGGACAGCGGTGTGAGAGAGGGGGGCTGAGCACAGGAGAGGGGGGGACAGAACAGGGGGACAAGGAGAAGGTGTGGGAACACAGAGGGTGACAGGAGAAGGGGGACAAGGAGAAGGTGTGGCAATGGAGAGGGTGACAGGAGAGGGGGGACAGAAGATGTGGGGCAGGAGAGGGAGTGACATGAGAGGAGAGGGGACTCCCCTTGGAGGGGTGATGGGAAAGGGGGTGACAAAAGAGATGGGGACAGGAATGGGGGTGACAGGAGAGGTGACACCCCTTGGAGAGGGGTGAGAAAAGAGGTGGGTACAGGAAAGGGGGTGACAGGGGAAGAGGCAACAGAACACGGGGCTCCCCTTGGGGAGAGGGGACAGGAGATGGGAGAGGGTCGCCCCCCCTTGAAGAGGAGTGAGTGGAGAGTGGGACACCGGAAAGAAATTATAGGAAAGGGGTGACAGGAGATGGAAGAGGATCCCCCTCTAAGAAGGGTGACAGGAAAGGGAACTCCCATTGTTCAACAGCAACAGGAGGGGGATTAAGGCAGAGGAGGTGACAAGAAAGGTGGGGACAAGAAAGAGGACGACACACGGCCTCCCCTTGGAGAGGGCTCTCAGGAGAGGCAGCCACAGGGCAGAGGAGTTAAGGGAACAGTGACAGGGTGGGGGTCACAGCAGAGAAGCCCCCTTACCGTGGCGGCGCTGGCGTGGCGAGCAGCCAAGAGGACACACGGTGCATTCTGTGGGACAAGGGACACAGAGACCCCCCCTGTCACCAGGGCAGAGCCATTTTGGGGTGGGGGTGCAGCCACATGAGCCCCTCCCAGGTGAGACCCCGGTTCCCAAGGACGCCGGAGCCTCGCCCACGCGGGCGGGGATCAGAGCCGGGATCAGAGCCCGGATCAAACCGGGATCAAGCCGGGATCAGCCGGGGCGGCCCCGCGCTGCCCCCGGGAGCCGCCGCTGGCACGGGCACCGCGGGTTCTCCTTGCTGGAGCCGCGCCCGGCCAGGAACGGCCGCGGTTTTCCTGAGCCGGGGAATCCGAACTTTGTTCCTCGCCCACGCGTGGGAACCGGGAACCGCGGGGACTCCCCGGGAACACCGCGGGAACACAGCCCGGCCTTGGCAGCGCCCGCTCCGGGGACACACCGGGGGACACCGGGGACACACCGGCGATCCCCCGGGGCCCGGAGCTGCGGCAGCGCCTGCGGCAGAGCCAGAACATGACTCGGTTTTTCCGCTGGCTGCCGGGAGAACGCGGGGGGGCCGCGCTGTAGAACCCCCCCAAAGCGTCTCCCCCGGTTCCCCGGGAACCCCCGGTCCGGTTAGGGGGTCCCCGGTGTGGCGGGCGTGGCCGTGGCCGGTGGCGAGGCCGTGTCCCCCCCGCAACAGGCGGCACCGGGAAGGGAAAATGCCGGCGGAACAATGGAGGCGGCGGCGGCGAGCCCAAGGTCAAGGCGGCCGCTGTCGCCGCCGTGTCACCCCCGGTGTCACCCTCCCGGTGTCACCCCCGTTTTGGGGGTCCCCACGGCTCGTCCCGGCTGTCACCGAGGTGCCACCGGCTCAAGGTCACACGTGGTGGCGGTGACACCGGGCATCGGCCGGAGGGGCACAGCGGGGACACAGCGGGACCCTCCCGGTGCTTCCCGTTGTGCCCGGGGGTGCGGGGGCTCCGCGGGGCTGCGGGATCGGGACGAGGGGAGGAGGAGGAGGATGAGGAGGAGGAAGGTCGGGATCACGGTTCAAGCCAGGGGGGCGGCGCCGGTCCGCTCGGTTTAACGGGGAGCAGGGCCAAGTGGGGCATCGGGAATATCCCAAAATATCGCCCGGTCGATAAAGACACCGCAGCGCCCGTTACGAAACGCCGGGGCCGCGGCCAAGGCAAACACACCGGAGGGGCCGGGGCTGCTGCTCCAGCCCGGTACCGGCGCACGGGGGTCCCCTCGCTGTGACCCCGGCGTCCTCTACGGCACCGAGACGCTGGGGAAGGGCGGTGGCGGAGGCGGCGGGGACGGTCCCCGCCTCTACCCCCCCTACTGCCGGTGCCACCGGGTGCGGGATCCCGGGGCCGGTGCGGGGCTCCCGGGGCCGGTGCGGGGCTCCCCGGGGCCCCCCACGCCCAGCGCTGCACAACGAGAGAAAGCGGCGGGACCGGATCTTCCAGCGGGGCTGCCCCGAGGCTGAGGCAGCACCGGAGCCCCCCGGGCTCGGACCGGGCCCAGAGCCCCCCGAGCCACTCCCGGTGTCCCCGGCTCTGAGAAGCGCCCGGCGCCGGTTCCCACCACGTGCTGCCGCTGCGGCCCCGCGCCCACCGCGGTCCCGATCGCGGTTACCCCGGTCCCATCCCCCCTCCTCCGCCGCCACCGCGCGGCCCCTTTAAGGCAGCGCCCCCCGCGTCGCCCCTTTAAGAACCGGACCCCCCCCCCGCTCTCCCTTCCCCCCGCGGCGTCGCCCCTTTAAGGCGCGGCGCGGCGAGGCCGGGCGGGCGCGCTCACCTTGGGGCCGCGGAGGCGCGCGGCCGCCCGGCTGCCAGCGGCGAGGAGCGTCATGGCGGTACCGGGACGGGACAGGCCGGGGCTGAACGGGACCGGGAGCGGGAGCGGGGCCGGGACCGGGAGCGGGGCCGGGGCGGGAGCGGGGCCGGAGCGGCGGCGGCCGGGGGTCCTCAACGTGAGGGCGGGACGGAGCGCGGCGCTGGTTATTAGCATAACCCCGCCCCCTACCGGGGCAGAGCCGTTTTCTATTGGTCAAGCGGCGCGCCGTGGGGCGGGGCTACGCTAAAGAAGTAGCGGGGGGCGCAAGCTATAGGTGGCCGCCGCATTCGCCTGATCAGGACCAGGGGTGGGGTGAGAGGGTACCCGCCCCGTCTTGTGACGTCACCGGCCGCAGTGCGTGACGTCACGCCCCGGTGTCATCCCCGCGGCCGCGCCGGTGTCCCGGTGGGGTTCGGCTGCGAGGGCGGGGGGCTGCCCCGTGACGTCACCAGGCGCTCGGCGGGGCGGTATGAGGTCACGGGAACCCATGACGTCATCCTGTAAGTGGCCACAGTGGCTTGAAGTGATAGGATGTGGCATGTGGCTCAACGGTGACGTCAGGGGGTGACATGTCACCACGGCCGCTGAGGCCAGGACATTGTCCTGCCGGCCCCGGGTGACACAATGGAGTGACATGGGGTGACATGGGGTAATGGGTGCCAAGAGAGGGGCAGAGCCCTCCTGCCGCTGCTGTCCCCTGGCCAGGTGACATGAGGTGACACAGGACATGGCAGAGAGGCCAGAACCTTCTCAGTGGCAGGGTGGGATGGCAGCGGGTGGCAGCTGAGAGCCAGCACCTGCATGGTGGATGGCATGAGGTGACAGAAGGTGACACGGGGTGAATGGGCCAGACCCCCATGATGGATGGCATGAGGTGACAGAAGGTGACACGGGCTGACCAGGCATGGCCGAGGGGCTGGACCTCCTTGGGGTGACACAGAGCCACCCACGAGGGGGACAACATGGGGACACTGCTGTCCCCACCCCACACACACACACCACACCAGAGCTGCCCACAGCCCCTTTATTGCCTGCAAAACAGAGGGGGGTCCCCAAGCCCCCCACCTCGAGCCCCGCTGTGTCCCCATGTCCCCCAAAAGTGGGGCAGGAATGTCCCTGAAATGTCCCCACAGGAGCCAGGAGGTGGCCCCGGCCCCGTGGCCGTCCCGGTGGCCCCGGATGGGGAATAAATAGGACGGGAGCTCTGCACAGGGTGAGGCAGCTGGGGAGGTCCTGGAGATCTGTCTGTCCTGGGGACATCCTGGTGGGTCCTGGGGACATCCTGGTGGGTCCCAAGGATGTCCCAGTGGGTCCCAAGGAGATCCTGGTGGGTCCCAAGGAGATCCAGGTGGGTCCCAAGGAGATCCAGGTGGGTCCCAGGGATGTTCCAGTGGGTCCCAAGGAGATCCAGGTGGGTCCTGGGGATGTCCCAGTGGGTCCCAAGGAGATCCAGGTGGGTCCTGGGGACATCCCGGTGGGTCCCAGTGCCATCCCGGTCCCCGCTCCCGAGGCAGTCACAGCTCATCGTGTGGGATGTGCAGCGCGTGGTCACACAGGTCTGTGGGGACAACGGGGGACAATGGGGGTGTGGGGGAGCCCTGGGGGACCCTTGGGTCACATCTGAGCTTTGTGGGACCCTCAGGATGCCCCAGACCCCCAGGAGACCCCCAGGACAAGGCAGCTCTGTGGGACCCTCAATGCTGGAACCCTGTGGGACCCTCAGGACGCATCAGAGCCCTGTGGGACCCTCAAGATGCAGAGATCCCACAAGACCTTCAGGGAGACATCAGAGCCCTGCGGGACTCCTCCTGCTGCCCTGTCCCCTCCCAGGACCAGTCCCTGCTGTGACCTGAGCCAGCACCAGTGGCATTTCCCTGCCTGTGTCCTGTGCTTAGTGACAAACGTGGCTGTCTGGACACAGCCACAGCCTGACCTGTCCCTGCTCTGTCCCCTCAGTGCAGGAGGAGCCCCAGGAGCAGCTGTGGAGACCCTCAGGACACATCAGAACCTTGTGGGACCTCCCAGGATGTGTTGGAGCTCCATGGGACCCTCAGGATGCCCCAGACTCCCAGGAGACCCCCAAGACATGACAGCCCTGTGGGACCCTCAGTGCTGGAACCCTGTGGGACCCTCAGGACACATCAGAACCTTGTGGGACCCTCAGGACACATCAGAGCCCTGTGGGACTCTCTGCTGCCCTATCCCCTCCCAGGACCAGTCCCTGCTGTGACCTGAGCCAGCACCAGTGGCATTTCCCTGCCTGTGTCCTGTGCTTAGTGACAAACGTGGCTGTCTGGACACAGCCACAGCCTGGCCTGTCCCTGCTCTGTCCCCCTCAGTGCAGGAGGAGCCCCAGGAGCAGCAGTGGAGACCCTCAGGATGCCCTGGGGCAGAGCATTGCCCTGAAGGTTGTGCCAGGTACAAAGGGAGCTGCCCTGGCCCCGTCCAGGGCCCCGTCCAGGGCTGCCCAAAGGTCACAGCGTGCCCTGACCTGGCTGTTTGTGAGCTGGAAATAGCCCCAGCATGGGACAGGGCCATTGGATGAGGAGAGGCCACAGAGTCAGCACAGCAGCTGCCCTGGCTCGGCCCCAGCATCCCAAAACAGCCCCAGGGCCAGCAGGGTCCCGGCTCTGCAAGGGGGTGCTGGGATTTGGGGAGGAATTTGAAACTCCTCCCTGCCCTAGGCTGGGAGAAAATCCCATCCCAGAACTGACAGAGCAGCCATGACCCCTGAAACAGCAAGAGAGACCCCTGGGACAGCAGGAGAGACCCCAGGAACTGCAGGAGAGACCCCCAGAACAGGAGGAAAAGGCCTCCAGGGACAGCAGGAAACCCCAGGAACTGCAGGAGAGACCCCCAGAAGAGCAGGAGAGACCCCCAGAAGAGCAGGAAAGACCCCCTGGGACAGCAGGAGAGACCCCCAGAACAGCAGGAAAAGGCCTCCAGGGACAGCAGGAGACCCCAGGAAAAGCAAGAGAGACCCCCAGAAGAGCAGGAGAGACCCTCAGAACAGCAGGAAAAGACCCCCAGGATCAGCCCCAGCTCTGGGCTGGCAGAAAATCCCATCCTAGCACTGACAGAGCAGCCACGACCCCCTGGAACAGCAGGAAAAACCCCCTGGAATAGCAGGAGAGACCCCCAGAAGAGCAGGAAGAGACCCCCAGGAACAGCCCCCGCTCTGGGCCTGGTATCTCCTCCTATCCCAGCACTGATGGAGCAGGAGAGACCCCTGGAAGAGGAGGAGAGACCCCCTGGGACAGCAGGAGAGACCCCCAGCTCCTCCATCTCACCCGTCCTCTTGCTGCAGAGCCGGTCCTTGACGTTGTCAGCCTCGTGTGACAGAAACTCGATCAGCTCGTCCTCGTACTCCTCAGCGATGCTCTCGCACTGCAACGGTGACACCGGTGACACTGCCAGCCCACGGGAGCCTCTGTTCTCCCTTTCCCCATTTCCCACCCTGTCCTGCTCTGTCCCCATGTCTCTATCGTCCTTTTTCCCCTGTTTCCCACCTGTCCCATCCTGTCCCCGTGTCCCTGTCCTCCCTTTTCCCTCATTTCCCACCGGTCCCACCCCGTCCCTATTGTCCCTATCCTCCCTGTTCCTCATTTCCTACCCTGTCTCCACTGTCCCATCCCTGTCCCCATATCCCTGTCCTCCCTTTTCCCCCCTTTCCCACCCTGTCCCCACTGCTCCATCCTGTCCCCATGTCCCTGTCCTCCCTTTCTCCCATTTCCCACCTGTCCCCACTTGCTCCCCTGTCCCATCCTGTCCCCATTTCCCCCATGTCCCTGTCCTCCCTTTCTCCCATTTCCCACCTGTCTCCACTGTCCCATCCCTGTCCCCATGTCCCTGTCCTCCCTTTCCTCCCATTTTTCTCCCCATTTCCCCCCATTTTCCCCCTCACACACAGCAAATTTCAGGCTGTTGATGACGTCCCCATCGAATTTGACCCCGGCCAGGTCCATCTTGGTGCCATCATGGGAGATGACTCTGACGTAGCTCTTGCTATGTCCCCACTGTCCCATCCCTGTCCCCATGTCCCTGTCCTCCCTTTCCTCCCCATTTCCCCCCATTTTTTCCCCCATTTCCCCCCATTTTTCTCCCTATTTTTCCCCCCATTTCCCCTCATTTTTCCCCTCACACACCGCGAATTTCAGGCTGTTGATGACGTCCCCGTCGAATTTGACCCCGGACAGGTCCATCTTGGTGCCATCATGGGAGATGACCCTCACGTAGCTCTTGCGCTGCGTGGCCGGGTCCAGCTTCTCCCCGTACTCCTTCATCTTCTCGCAGACGCGCTCCAGCAGCTCCGTCAGGTGCGCCTCGGACCGCGCGTATGGCACCTGCGGCACCGGGGAGGGGACACCGGGAGAGGAACCGGGAAGATGTCAGTGGGGACACTGGGAATGGGGACACCGGGAGAGGAACGGGCAGGGGTCAGTGGGGACACCGGGAGAGGAACCAGGCAGGGGTCAGTAGGGTCCTGGGGATCAGCACTGGGAGTGGGGGCACTGGGAGAGGAACTGGGCAGGGGTCAGTGGGGTCCCCAGGACACCAGGAGAGGAACCAGGCAGGGGTCAGCACGGACACCAGGGGGACACTGGGAGAGGAACCAAGCAGGGGTCAGTGGGAGAGGAACCGAGCAGGGGTCAGTGGGGACACCAGGGGGACACCGGGCAGGGGTCAGCAGGGACACCGGGAATGGGGACACCGGGAGAGGAATGGGCAGGGGTCAGTGGGGACACCAGGAGACACCAGGAAAGGAACCGGGCAGGGGTCAGTGGGGACACCAGGAGGACACCGGGCAGGGGTCAGTGGGGTCCCTGGGAAGGGTGAAACCAGGAGAGGAATGGGCAGGGGTCAGTGGGGACACCAGGAATGGGGATACCGGGAGAGGAATGGGCAGGGGTCAGTGGAGTTCCCTGGGAGTGGCCCTGGGAGTGGGGACACTGGGAGTGGTCCCAGGCAGGGGACACTGGGAGAGGGGACACCAGGAGAGGAACCGGGCAGGGGTCAGCAGGGACATCAGGAGCGGTCCCAAGGGTGGGGACACCAGGAGAGGCCCTGGTCAGGGGTCAGCAGGGTCCCTGGGAGTAGCCCCAAGAGCGGGGACACTGAGAGCAGAGACACCGGGAGAGGCCCTGGGAGTGGCCCTGGGAGCGAGGACACCAGGAGACGAACCGGGCAGGGGTGAGCAGGGACATCGGGAGAGGTCCTGGGAGCAGCCCCAGGAGCAGGGACACCGGGAGAGGCCCTGGGCAGGGGTCAGCAGGGTCCCTGGGAGTGGCGACACTGAAAGCAGAGACACCGGGAGAGGCCCTGGGAGTAAGGACACCAGGAGAGGAACCGGGCAGGGGTGAGCAGGGACACCGGGAGCAGCCCCGGGAGTGGGGACACTGAGAGAGGCCCCGGGAAGAGGTCACCAGGGACACCAGGAGTGGACCTGAGAGTGGAGACACCGGGAGAGGAACTGGGCAGGGGTCAGTGGAGTCCCCTGGGAGTGGCCCCGGGAGCAGGGACACCGGGAGAGGCTCTAGACTGGTGTCAGCAGGGACTCCAGGAAGCAGGGACACCGGGAGTGGCCTCACCTCCACCACGGACTGGCTGCCGTCGGGGTTGATGCGGAACGAGCCCATCTGGATGGTTTTCCTGGGGTCCACCTGGGCGATTTCCCACTCCAGCTCATCCACCAGTGCCCGGCAGGCTGTGGGGGACACGGTGACATGGGACACATGGCATGAGTGCTCCTGGGGCTGCCCACAGCCACACTGGTGTGACTGGGATGGGGAGGGGTCTCCATGGGCTGGAGACCCTCAGCCTGTCCCCCAGGGGGTCCAGCTGGTCCCACTGGACATCCCCAAGCTCTGTCCTGTCTTGCTGTCTCCTCTGTCCCCGTCCTCCTGTTTAGCCCTGTTTTCCCATTTCATCCTGTCCCCGTGTCCCTGTCCTCCTTTTTCCCTCCTTTTTCCTCCTGTTCTGCCCTGTTTTCCATGTCCCACACAGTCCCCATGTCCCTGGACTCTCTTTTCCCCCATTTCCCACCCTGTCCCCACTGTTCCATCCCATCCCCATGTCCCTGTCCTCCCTTTTCCTCCCCTGTACCCCCTGTCCTATCCTGTCCCCATTGTCCCCGTCCTGTCCCCACTGTTCCCCCTGTCCCTGTTCTCCCTTTCCCCCATTTACCACCCTGTCCCCACTGTCCCATCCTGTCCCCATTGTCCCTGTCCTGCCCTGTCCCCACAGTACCCCGTGTCCCATCCTGTTCCCATTGTCCCTATCCTCCCTTTCCCCATTTCCACCTGTCCTGCCCTGTCCCCACTGTCCCATCCTGTCCCCATGTCCCTATCCCATCCCATGTGGTCCCCCCGTGTCCCCCCACACCTCCGCAGTGCAGGTCCTGGCTCCGGCGCGCTCCGGCCGCGGGCAGCAGCGATGCCAAGGCCACGGCCAGGCCGAGCAGCATCCCCGGGGCTCCGAAGACTCCCGGGACCCGGCCCCGCATCCCCGGGGCTCCGCAGACTCCCGGGACCCGGCCCCGCATCCCCGGGGCTCCGCAGACTCCCGGGACCCGGCCCCGCATCCTCAGGGCTCCGCTGTCACCTGCGGGCACGGGGCAGCTCCAGCGCTGTCACCTGCGGGCTCCGGGTGGCCCCGCTGTCCCCACACCCCGTCCCACCCAAGGGCCATCCCTGCCCGGTCCCCCCGGCTCTCCTTAGGGCTTTATCCACGGTGTTCCCCTTCCCGGTCCGCTCCGAGTCCCGTTAGTGCGGCTGGACCCTACGGGAACCCCTCCCCATAGGGCAGAGTCCCATAGAGCCCCCTCCCCTATAGAGCACAGCCCCTACAGAGCCCCCTCCCCTATAGGGCAGAGGCCAGAACCCCCTCAGAACCCGTTTCCCTATAGGACAGAGTCCAGAGCCCCACAGAGCCCCCTCCCCTATAGGGCAGAGGCCGGACCCCCTCAGAGCCCGTTTCCCTATAGAGCACAGCCCGGAGCCCTCACAGAGCCCCCTCCCCTATAGGGCACAACCCAGAGCCCCACAGAGCACCCTTCCCTATGGGGCAGAGCACAGAGCCCACTCCTCTACAGGGCAGAGGCTAAAGCCCTTGCAGAGACCCCTCCCCTGTAGAGCACAGCCCCTACAGAGCCCCCTCCCCTATAGGGCAGAACCCGGAACCCCCTCAGAGCCCGTTTCCCTATAGGACAGAGCCCAGAGCCCCACAGAGCCCCCTCCCATATAGGACAGAGCTCAGCCGCCCCACAGAGCCCCTTCCCCTACAGGGCAGAGCACAGAGCCCCTAGAGGAACCCCTCCCCTATAAGGCAGCGCTCAGAGCCCCATAGAGCCCCCTCCCCTATAGGGCACAGCTCTCACGGAGCCCCCTCCCCTCCGGGATCCCCCACAGCCCCCTATGGAGCCCTTCGCCCCCACAGCCGAGCCCATCGCCTTCCCCGATGCCCCCTCATCCCGGTCCCAGCCGAGCCATCCCGAGCTGCGCCCCCATCCTGAACCCCAGGCCCGGCCGAGCCCACCCGTCCTGCGCCCCCCGTACCGGCCGCTCTCCCGTCCCGCTCCCTCACACCGGACCGGCTACCCCGGGACTGCCCGCGGCGCCGCCGGTCCTGGCGCGCCCCCACGGCCCGCACCGCAGCGGGTCACGGCCGCTCCGAGCGGGAAGCGGCCGAGCCGGAGCGGGCGGCGGAGCCGGTCGGACCGGTCAGACCAGGAGGAGCGTCTCCGAGAGCCGCGGCGGGACCGTCCCGCGAGCAGGCGGCGCCGAGGGCAGCCCCGGACGGGCGCCGAGGGCCTCACCGTTGCCAGGGCCCGGCCGCGTGGCGCTCGGCCCCGAGTGGGCGTGTCCTGATGTGACTCCGCCCACTGGAGCTGTCTGGCCACGCCCCCTCCCCGGTTTAGCTGGGACCGGGACCGGGTTCGTCGTGAGGTGCCCCCGGTTTGAGCCCCAGACCGCGTTTGGGTCCTGATCCGTCCTGCTCTGGTCCCGGTCCGTCCTGCCGTGTCCCCGGTCCGGTCCCGGTCCGTCCTGCCGTGCCCCCGATTTGAGTCCCGGACCGAACTTTGGTCCTTCCTGCCGCACCCCCGGTGCCAGCCTCGTCTATGCCCGGGTCTCGGTCCGTCCTGCCGTGCCCCGGTCCCGTTCCGAGCCCGGTCCCGGTAATTCCTGCCGTGTCCCCGGTGCCAGCCCCGGGCTGGCTCCTCTGCACTATGTCCCAACCCCGGTCCCGGTAATTCCCGCCGTGTCCCCGTGCCAGCCCCGCTCTTTGCTCTGTACCCGATCCTTCCTCTTCCCCTCCTCTCCCGGTCCCGGTCCCGGTGCCGATTCGGCTCCTCCGTGCCCTGCTCCCGGCCCCAGTCCCGGTACCGCCCGGTGCCCCCGGTACCGGTGCCGCCCCCCGGAGCCAAGGAGGACACGGTCGCACGGGGGTCCGAGGCTGCTTTATGAGGGCGCCCGGTCCGGCGGGCGAGCGGGGCGAGGGTCGGGCAGTGCTTCCCGGTACCGGCAGGGAAAGGAAGGGGAGCCCCGGGGCACCGGGCCCGGGGCGGGGTCGGGCGGGTCGGGGACAGCCCCGGGCCCGCTGCTGGTTCCAGTTCCACGCTCTGTGTCCGGTCTGCTCCCGGTGCCGTGTCCGGTCTGCTCCCGGTGCTGCTCCTCGCGGGGGATCCGGTCACAGGGCCAGCACCGGCGGGAACACGGCCCCGTCTGTGGGGACACCGCGGTGACACCGGGGGCATGGGGACACCGCGGTGACACCGGGGACACGGGGACATGGCAGGGGAGAGGGGACATGGGGAGAGAGGGAACAGGGCAGGGGAAGGGGGACACCGGGGTGACAGGGGACACTGCGGGGAGATGGGACACCGAGCAGAGAGCGGACATGGGAGGGAGAGGGGACACTGGGGTGACAGGGGACACCAGGGACATGGTAGGGACACAGGGGCACTGAGGGGAGAGGAGACATAACAAGGGGACATTGCAGAGGGAGAGGGGACACCGGGGTGAGAGCGGACACTGTGGGGAGAGGGGACATGGGGAGGGGAAGGGGGACACAGGGGTGACAGGGGACACTGGGTTGACAGAGGACACCAGGAGGGGAGAGGGGACACGGGGACATGGCAGGGGAAGAAGGGACACTGGGGGGACAGGGGACACCAGGGGGAGAGGGGAAATGGGGAGAGGAGAGGGGACACCGGAGTGTGAGGGGACACCGTGGTGACAGGGGACATGGCAGGGGGAGAGGGGACACTGGGAGAGGGGACATGGGGAGGGGAGAGAGGGGACATGGCAGTGGGAGAGGGGACATCGGGTTGACAGGGGACACAGGGAGGGGACACAGGGGTGAGAAGGGACACCGAGAGAGGGGAAACCAGGGGGAGAGGGGACACCGGGGTGACAGGGGACACTACACTGGGGGGAGAAGAGACACGGGGACATGGAGGGAGAGAGGGGACACCGGGGATAGAGGGGACACGGGTAGGTGAGAGGGGACCCTGGGGTGACAGGGGGACACCAGGAGGGGAGAGGGGACACGGGGACATGGCAGGGGGAGAGGGGACACAGGGGTGAGAAGGGACATGGGCAGGGGAGAGAGGACAGGGGGAACACGGCCCCATTTGCGGACACACAGCGGGGTGAGAAGGGCCACAGCAAGGTGAGAGAGGACACGGTGGGGGGACACGGGGAGGGCACAGGGGACACAGCAGTGCCATCTTACGCTTGGGGCTGCTCTGGCTGTCGGGCTCGGGCACCTTCCAGTCCAGCTTGCGGCCCTTCTCGTAGAGCCCCTTGAGCACCTTGCGGAACTCCTCGGGCTCGGCGCCCTGCGGGCTCAGCTCCAGGTACTTGCGGTACAGCTGCAGCGCCGTGCGCGCGTCCTCGATGCTGTCGTGGGTCTCCCCCTGGATCTTCAGGTCTGCGGGGACCGGGACACGCCCGGGTCAGCACCGGGACCCTCCCGGTGGGCTCCGCCCCTTCCCGGATCCCCGAGCTCCGGTACCGACCCAGGAAGTACCAGGCGAGGAAGCGCAGGGAGATCATCCTCTTCCTCGGGATGTGGAACAGGTACACGGTGTCGATCACCTGGTCCTTGGGCACCTGCGGGGGTGGCACGGAAATGTTTGATGAAAAATCATTTTGTTGGACTTTTTCTCGAAGTTTACAAAATGTAAACAATAATTATCTGCTGCTGTGGAATGTGACAGGCGCATCTTTGAGTGGTGTCAAATTAATTAATTTAATTGATGGCCAATCGCAGTCCGGCCGTCTCGGACTCTCTGAGAGTCACAAGATTTTATTATCATTCCATTCTTTTCCTTTCAAGCCTTCTGATGAAATCCTTTCTTCTCTTCTTTTAGTATGGTTGATATATTTTAATATAATATATTATATATTAATATAATGTATATAATATATATATAAAATATATATATAATATATATAATAAAATAATAAATCAGCCTTTCTGAAACATGGACTCAAGATTCTCATCTTTTCTTTCTTGTCTCTTCTATTCTTTTAGTATAGTTTTAATATAATATATATTACATATCTTAAATATAATATATATAATATATTTAATATAATATATTATATAAATACATATAATATATTTAATATAATATATATTATATTACATACTAAATATATGTAATAAATATATATATTATACAATATATTATATATCAATAATATATAAATGTACATATAATATATAAATAATGATATAATATATATTATATAAATAATAATATAATATCTAATATATAAATATATATTAGATATATATAATATGTATTTAATATAATATATAATATATATTTATTATATTTATTAGATATAATATATTATATATGTTTATTTTATATATTTATTATATATATTATATATTATATAGTATATGGTATATAATATATATATCATAAAATAATAAATCTGCCTTTCTCAAACCAGATTCTCATCTCTTCCCTTCTTGGGGTTGCCTGCAAATTCCCCAAGGGAGGGGACGGGGTCCTGCTGCAGGTCAGGGACCCCTCCCAGCCCCACCCCAGCCCCCCACCATGGCCAGGGAGGGGACTCGGGTTGTCACCATCAGGTTGATGACACGGAAATCCTTCTGCAGCCCGTGGCCCACGAACTTGACGCCCACGTCGATGAGGAAACGCAGCTTCAGGTAGGTGGATTTGAGCGTGGTCAGGTGCTTGGAGGAGATCTTGGCATCCAAATCTCCTGGCTTGATCCCCGAGTATTGGGTCAGGTAATCCACCACCTGTGGAGAGATCAGGGCACCTGGAGGGGGGTGCAGGGACCAGGGGCTCTGCCCCCTCCTCAATTCCCCTCTCAGCACACTGGGGAGGGGCTGGTGGTGTGGGACAACAGGCCCAGGTGATCATGGAGGACATGAGAGTGCAGGTGAGGACATGGGAGTGCAGGTGAGGTCACCACAGAGGACACAGAAGCACTCAGGAGCCCATGGAGAACATCCAGGAGTCCATGGAGAACACCCAGGTGCCTATGGTCAGCACTCAGGTGAGTGAGAGTCCAAGTGAGGTCACCACAGAAGACACAGGGGAACACCCAGGTGTCCATGGAGAGCACCCAGGTGGGTGAGTGTCCAAGTGAGGTCACCATGGAGAACACAGGAGTGCAGGTAAGGTCACCAAAGGGGACAAAGGGGCCCCTGGAGAGCAGCCAGGTGTCCATAGGGTGCGCCCAGCTGTCCACGGGGAGCACACAGGTGTCCATAGAGAGCACACAGGTGTCCAGATATGGTCACCATAGAGGACAGAGGAGTTCATGGGGAGCACACAGGTGTCCAGGTGAGGTCACCATGGAGAACCCAGAGTTGTCCAAGTGAGGTCCCCATGGAGAACACCCAGGAGCCCAGGTGAGGACACCATGGAGAACCCAGAGTTGCCCAAGTAAGGTCACTACAGAGAATACACAGGTGCCCAGGTGAGATCACCATGGAGAACACACAGAAGCCCAAGTGAGGTCATCATGGGGAACCCAGAGTTGTCCAAGTGACATCACCATGGAGAACACAGAGGTGTCCAAGTGAGGTCACCACAGAGAACTCACAGGAGCCCAGATGAGGTCACTGTCACCTGCAGAGCAGGCCCATGTCCCTCCTGGTGGCCTGGGGAGCTGTGTGAGCCCAGGTGGGCCCCCATACCTGTTCCTGGGTGGAGATGTAGTCATCGATGAAGGGCACGCCCTCGTTGGGACCCTGCCCACGCACGCAGGTGATCCGGGCCACCGACATCTGGCTGGGCTTGATGGTGGACTTGGTGCCATCACTGCGCAGCTCGGCCTCCTCCTGCCACCAAGGACGGGACACGTGGTGACCAACAGCCCCAGACGGTGACAGGGGACACGGGGAGGTGAGAAGAACCCCGTCCCCTCTGTCCCTTTGTCCCCCACCTCGTTGAGCGTGACGAACTCGGCGTCCAAGCCCACCAGGTCTCCAGCTTGGGGCATCTCGTTGAGCATCAGGGGGATGAAGGTGGCGTGGCACTTGCGCTGCTTGCGGGCCAGCGACGCCTCAGCCAGCAGCACGCTGGCCTCGATGGGGTTCTTG